ATCGCCGACACCCGCTAGTCGCGCGGCTCTCCCAGCAGGGACAGCAACAGACGAGACTACAACGGACGGCTGAACTTCTGCCAAGATGCGGAAGACCAACGTTCCTCCAATCACAGTACCTGCCAAGCTCACAGGATCAGATAGTAGTTCAATGCAAAGAAGAGGCTGCGAAAGCTTTCGAGCGCTGGCTAAAGACAGTACCGGAAAGCCATATGATCGTCTTCTCGGACGGCTCCAGGGCGACGAACGGAGCCGTGGGGTACGGCTTCGTCATCTACCGAGACTCCAAACGCATAGCGCAAGGGTGCGGCCGACTCGGACTAGCAGAAGTGTTCGACGCCGAGGTCGAAGGGGCGCGAACCGGCCTCAGAAGGGCTCTGCTCACCAATCGCGGTCATCCAATCCACATATGTATCGACAACACCAGCGTTATACAAGGCATCCGCGGCAAGGCGCCGGACTCGTCACAAGACGCGTTCCTCGAAATCCAAGAAGCGGCCAGGATATTTGATATACGGACGCACTGGTCCCCGGGACACCAGGGCATCGAAGGAAACGAGGCCGCGGACCGGCTGGCCAAAGAAGGAACGACACTGCCGGCGCGGATGGGTCAAATGGCAACACTAGCGGGCATCAAGCGGCTTGCAAGGGAAAAATTACAAAGCCAGCACAGGAGATGGTGGTATAAAGAGCGAAGGCCGCGGTACGCGGACTTGGGGCTTGAGGCAGCTCTGTCCAGCCCTCCTGAACTGGCCTTGCCGCGGGCTACGTTACATCACCTGCTGGCGGCACGATCGGGTCACGGGGACTTCGAGCAATATCACCGACGTTTCAACCACGACGACGCTCTAATGATGTGCTCTTGTGGAGAGGCGAAAGACGTGGACCACCTGGTCTACTGTCGACTAACGCTGGCGAGGAGGCAACGGTGGCCGACCCTCCACTCTCGCAGTATGCCCGAGCCCATAGGTCCTATGGGATCTCTCGAGGCCTACTTCAAGAGATTAATCACCGACCCACGAGGCTTCGAGGCCTTTCTCCGCGTGACGGACTTCTTCCAGAAGATCTGTCTGCGGTAGCAGCATCCACACCTAGGTAGATGTGAGTGCGGACTACAAAGAACCTCCCGATTCCAAGGGACGATTTGGGAAAGAATGAAACTGGGGCACCAGCGGGAACCGGGGACAGACAGAACGCGTAGTGGCCACAAGGCATGATTTGGAGGACGATGTAAAGAGACGACGTACTGTAGAGTAGGTAGCCTTGGCTCACGGCCCTCCACGCCATATACCCTTCGGGAGGTCTGCGGTAAGGGCTCTAGCCCGGCCGCCACGGCGTTAAATACAACAACAACAACAACAACAACAACAACAACATTCAACCTGCATAATGGAACCGCAGTTCCCCAGATTTGTCTTTGCTCCACACATCCCTTCGGTCAATGGTTTCGTGACTTTAGAATGGGTTTCCTCATCGTCGCTGTGGCACTTGTCGCCGCTCAAGGCGGCTTCATCTATGGGTTTGACTCTGGTTTGCTTCCAACTTCTTCAATGTAGTTGGTCAGGGGAATGCTGACTCAAGGCAGGAATCATCGCCACGACCTTTGGCCATGACAGTTTCAAGCTCAAGATGTACGGGCCGTCTATGGTCAATACTAGCTACCAAGGTACGACTCACCCAACCCCGAACCATCCAATATGACATGGACGCACCACTGACTCTTCATCTTGAGGCGCCATCGTATCGGTCTATAATGCCGGCCAGGCCATCGGCGGAATGACGGTAGGCTACCTCGCCGACAAGCTTAGTCGAAAGTACACGATTCTTCTCGCTTCGATCTTGAGTGAGTTCTCCCCGCTCGTGGCAAAGCACATACAATGAAAGCGTTTTTGATGTTTTTACCAGCGATCATTGGCTCTATACTCCAATGTGCCGCCGTTCAAGTTGGCATGATGATAGCAGGCCGTCTTGTGGCTGGCATCGGCTGTGGTCAACTACTCTCTGTTGTTCCCATCTATCTTGCCGAAGTTGCGCCTCCAGCGCGTCGTGGCTTCCTTGTCGGACTTCAGGGAATGATGATAGCCATCGGCTTTGGCGTTGCTAATTGGGTGTGTGCATGTATACATCCTATTTCTCTCTCATACACTGACCGTTTTCGAGGTTGGCTACGCAGGTGCTTTCGCCATGGGAGATGGTCAATGGCGGATTCCACTGGCAATGCAGCTCCCCATCCCTGTTCTCCTCTCTGTAATGGTTTTCTACGTACCGTTCTCGCCCCGTTGGCTTATACTGCGCGATCGATACGAAGAAGCGAGAACCGTTCTGGCGAACCTACATGGGGCTGCAGATAACGATGATCTGGTTGGTCGCGAGCTCATCCAGATCCGCGAGCAAATTCTCCTGGAGAGGTCCCAGGGCAACATGGACTGGATGACGGCCCTGCGCGCACTGTTCTCCCGAAAATACGTCCGCCGTACACTCACAGCCGCATTCATCGTAACCATGGGACAGCTCAGCGGCTCTTCAGTCATTCAGAACTTTCAGAACATCTTCTACGCCACTGTCGGGTTCACTGGTAGAACGGCGCTGCTCATCAGTGGTGCTTACGGCATGATGGGGATTCTCGGCCAGGTTATTTACCTCTTCGTCGTCGCAGACCGCTGGCCACGCACACGTACTCTATGGAGTGGTTCTCTGGTGCTGAGTGCCATGATTGCATTATGCATGGCTCTCAGCGCAGTTTATGGCAACAAGAACAACGATAATGAGGCAGGGGCGAGGGCGGCTATCAGCGCCATCTTCATCTACTCCATGTGTTACGCCATTTTCTTTAATGCCATGATCTGGGTCGTGCCCTCGGAGCTGTTCCCCTTCTTCCTTAGAACCAAAGGTCTGGCATTTGCAGTTGCTGCCAAGTCTGTTACAGCAATCGTGCTCTCGCAAGTCACCCCGCTGTCCATTGCATCCGTTAGCTGGAGATACTACTCGCTCTTCATCGCAACAAACTTGGCGGCCGCCGTCTTTTACTTCTTTTTCCTCCCAGAGACTGTAAGTAATATCATCAACTAGCTCGTCATCTCTTGCTAACTTTTGGCAGTCCGGGAAGTCGTTAGAGGAAATTGCCGAGCTGTTCGGGGATGACCTGGCAACAAACCGCCTGGGCGAGCTGGATGTGGACGCAAAGAATGGGATCGGGCCAGAGACGGAGATTCATGAATTCGCCGAGAGGCGATCGCAGGCTTGATAAGTTCGAATAATGGACCCCCGGTAGTCTTGCGGGCCTCTCTTCATACCTAACCAAAGTGCAACATCTTTAGGATAAGAAACATCACCGAAATTTTAAGTACGCAGTAGTAGCTCATCAGTGCCATTAATCAAGCCTCGTCCTGTCAGTGTTCGAAGGCGACTGGTAGTTTTAGTGTTTCATGTGGGATCAATGATTAGGTGAACTATAGAACTCACAGACTTGGCTATTCAGGTTAGTCCCAGAAGACAGGCAAAGAGTCAATAAGATGTCAACAGTTAAATCCATTGCATCGGGAAGAAACATGATGGTCATGCCCCAAACTCAAACTCATACCTCAATCAAGTTGCTAGCCGCTAGAATATCGACCGAGTAGACCGTTAATTCGATGACAAGTCCGATACTCCCCGCGATCTCACTTCCGCGAACCATCGAGTTCATCGCTGCGGGGCCGTGGATCATGCTGGGTGTCAGCGTTGCCACCCGGACTTCTTCCCGGTGCGGAGATGCTTGCCCGGATGGAGTTCGGAGAAAGGTCAAGTTGAAGGAGAGCTGATGATGCTCATGTCACGTTTGAAGATGCAGTACTACCTAGTGTTAGGGTAAGAAGATGTGGACAACATAAAGTTTAGGATGTCTGCTAAATGGGCGTATTTGAATTGCTCCAAGAAGTGAACAAGTTGTTCGAGACATTTCCTGTTCTAGTTATCACACTGCATACGTCTAGACTTTTTGAGTACATCGAAACAACTATCACGTCATTCCGCGGGCTTTCAATCCCGCTGCGAACGCTTTACAAGCTCGAGCAACAGTGTCAAATTCTTCTACGCTACTTTTTCGTACAACATGCACAGTCCAAACCGCAATATGGCATCTGAAGCCGATCGAATCCTCATAACCGGGGCCGCCGGTTTCATTGGCCAGGAGCTCATCACCGCCCTCCTTCTCTTATCGCCTTCCGTCCATCTTACAGCAATAGACATCACAGCCCCTCCAATTCCACCCCAAGCTCTTTCTCACGCATCTCGTGTAACATCACTCCAAACAGACCTTACCTCATCAGAAGCCGTCGCCTCTCTACTTTCGAGTCACTCGCGTTTCGACGCAATCTACCTTCTTCATGGCATCATGTCTGGAGGCGCAGAAGCGAACCTGGAACTAGGTCTTGCCGTAAACCTCGACAGCCACCGCCTAATTCTTGATGCCTTGCGTCAAGAAGCATCGCCGCATCGCGGAACTGTTGTCGTGTTCCCCAGCTCATTGGCAGTCTACGGTCCTGCAGCACCAGGGCAGTTCAACACCGAGACAACTTGCCCGATACCTCAGTCTTCGTACGGCGCTCAGAAGCTGATAATCGAGAAGCTTCTGGGAGATTACTCACGCCGCGGGCTGCTAGATGGAAGGATTGTGCGGTTACTTACCATCATCGTCCGTCCGGGTGCCCCAAGCGCGGCGGCTTCTTCCTTTGCTTCGGGCATTGTGAGGGAGTCGCTCAAGGGCGAGGAGAACATCTTACTAGTGGGTCCAGAACTGCCTATGTGGGTGTGCTCTCCGACAACGGTGGTCAAGAACCTGGTGGACGTCAGGAGCATTCCTCACGGGAAGTTTGGGGTTTCTAGGGTCTTGAATTTGCCTGGTGTTACAGTCACTGTGGCGGATATCTTGAATGCACTAGAGGTTGTCGGAGGCACAGAAGCTAGGAAACTAGTGCGTGAAGAGAGAAGCCCGCAGATCGAGGCGATTGTCGGTAGTTGGCCTGCTTACTTCGATGTTTCGAAGGCCATTGACCTCGGCCTTTCTCCAGATGAGGATTTGATAACCACAGTCAAGGACTTTGCAGAGCGCCTTCGGGCCGGTGTTTAGATAGCTTCCTTCCCGGTGAGTGGATGTTCAGTCTGATGGCATTTTCTGCATACATTGCATTTCTGAACAGACGAGCACAAAATCGAAAAGTCACACTAACATAGAGCATCAAAATTGAGAAAAGTTAGATCAAAAATGCATTCTATGGTGTCTTCGCGTCGGCTATCATCCCTCATCGCCCAATTCCAAACAGTTCACCAAAGACACTTGTTCACCTCACCTTCTTAGTCTTCAACATTTCAACCCACTCCGGCAGCAAATCATGCAAGTAATGAAGATTTGCCCTGCGCCAATACCCCGCCTGCTTGGTTCTACACGACAGAGGCGTATTTTCCCAAGCACCGGCGTATAAGTAAACAATCCACATGACGTCTAAAGAGGTCATGCCAAAATTTTCAGCCTCATTGCCAAGATTGCCAAGAAATCGCCCCAGAAGGAGACATCTGGCTCAGGATCATCGTCTCCAACGGTGACATGTCTCAGTCTCATGACTTTTGGTTCGATGCCTTCTTTGAGCTCTTGGATGGAGTAATCAAAAACGTCGACTAACTATTTGGCCACACAATCGAAAGGCTCCAACTTTCTATAGTATTCACCCCATGAGAGATGGAGGTTGAAGTCTTTGGGTTGAAGATAGTAGAGAGCCGAGGAGTTTTCAGGTGGAATGAGGCCCGGGATTTCGTCAAACATGAGGCCTGGGATGCGCAAGTAGTTCTGTGGCACATGAAATCGCTTCAAACTATACATGGACCCATTATCTGGCGGGGTGGATTCAGCTGATGACGGTGGTGAGGACATTTCTGAGGACTGAAGTGACTCTAATGTGCTAGATTGGTGATGTTCCAAGAGCAGGTATGATGCTGGAGTATGATTTGATGATGATTGAGATTTCAAGTGATGATTCTTGCCTATTAGTATCAATGTTGATGACTGAACTGAGATCCAACCTTTATTTTTGTCGTTGACACAACTCACTATTTAATGACAAAGCCACGGAAACATTCTTGGGTTTCCCAAAGCGGAGGTTGCATAAGATGAATACTGAACTATGTGGTGAACTCAATAAAGCACCATCTCCTTTGAGGATTTGGCTTTTACAAAAGTCTAGGTAAGATTGAAGAGATCCTCCATTCAATACAAAACCATTGTACTACCGTAGCGCCCGGTATAGATTGTGAAAAGCTGTACCATGGCCTCGAATACCACTTCAGCTTAAACACCGCCCACTTCTATTATCAACCCAACTTAGATCCCTGCTTGCAGCTTGCTCCTCCAATCCTCGACCCCCTTGAGAACGGGCCTAGAGCTCCCATCATACCCAGTCTTCCGCATCCACTCCGCCAGGCTACGAATGCGGCCAGGATGAATTCGATCCAACAACTCCAAGTCCCTCTTATTGACGATGCCCTCTCCCCAGAAACGCCACCATGCCCCGAAGTTCTGTCTCCAAGTCATATCCGATTCATCGCGAGCAACCTCCGGCCCGACGGAAAAGTTAACGTAGGCACCCGGGTACGGCTCCGCAAGCGGCGCGTACTCCTCAAACGGCACGCTCTTGTGGATGCCCTTCTTTCCTGTCACCTCAGTGAAGATCCTCGCAATGTCGGCGAAGCTGACTTCGTCGGTCGCCACTTCCAGGTTCAGGCCCGCGGACTCGTTGAGGTTGTCGAAGAGCCAGAGACTGTAGATGCCGACGTCTTCGAGAGCAATAAGCGGGATTTTGCCATCCTCTGTAATATTATTAGGTTGGTGCTCAAGACATCATAGTGATGATGTGACTTGGGGTGTGATACGTACTGGCAGGGTTTACCCAGAGAAAAGAACCATCCGGTTGCTCTGTCGGCGGAAACATTCCATCCAGGAGCATGTCCATGTAGGGACCTGTCGTGAGGACGGAGCTCTTCATGCCGTCCTGGCCTTGGGCCAAGATGAAATCCGTGACTCTTCCTTTGGAGTCGTTGTGACCCCAATGGTACCTCTCGTTCCCTGCTCAAGCCAATCAGCAACGCAATCTAACAGCTCGAATGACAAAAAAGAAGCGCTCAATTGTTTCTTACATCCCGACTTCTTCAGCGCATAATCGGTGCCAGCCCAGACGTAATGCTGAACACCTTCGTGCCTGGCAATCTCGTAAGCTCGGATGCCATAGAAGAGCTCATTCTTCTGGCCCAGAGTGAATCCGTCCGTGTTCACCCATGCACCGTAGACACCCTTGAATGCCCGGTGGAGATCCTGCTGGTTGTCTTGTTTGCCCTGGATGAGGGTGACGTTGGGGAGCGTGGCAAGTTCTTTTGCGCGGGCGTTGTCAACGTTACGGGTGAGGACCCTGACGCTGTATTGCTTGGTTTCAGCGAGAGCTGTTAACGATGTTAGACTGATGTGCAGATTTGGTTCTACCGAGAACGCTGAAGTTACCCTTGACGACTGGTCTTCCCTGGGCACCAGTGCCGCCGATGACGAGGATTTCTTTCAACTCTGACATGGTTCAAAGTAGAGGATAGATTTAGATGACTGTGCTGATAATTGTGTGTTTGATCACATTATGAACCAATTCAAAGAGGGTGACAGTCATTGTGCCTTATATGCATCCGTCTTGAATGATGTGGCCTTGCCTTGCGATCTACTTCTCTCTCACGCAAGCCCCTGAGATCGTATTGTCATGATATTTGAATATGATTAACAAGCCAAGTTCACGATTTACAATCCACTCGGATGTTACTAATTGCCAGGCCTGGTGCGCTGAAGTCACCGTCTCCCATGTACAGCCAAGCTTGGTAGGCTTTCTTGTGCAGAGATAGTAGAACTTACATAATTCCTTCGATGTGGTGTTTGTCATAAAGATCGCAGCCCACTCGGAAGTAGAACAATGTGCACATGTCAAGCGCAGATTTATTCTACGTTTCAGCTCCAAGTACAATGATTAATGATCAAGGGCAAGTTTCGACCTCTATGACACAAAGTTGGTGAGATACACAGGATGAGTAATCATTGAAGACCGAGACAAAATGAACGCTGACCGTGGCTTCGGAACTCTGACTTGAAGATTTGGAACCCAGCGCGAAATGAGACAAAATATGTAATCAAGAAAAGAGCCCCACTGTCATACTATGTATATGGTATTGCCGCTTCCACGAAGGCTGAGTCGGTCGGATTTGCCCAGCTTGATGCTCACAGGTTGGCCCCAGCATCTACCTTTGCACCTACTTCCCAGACGGATATCCACCGACGTCTTCTTGGAGAGAAGCGTGTAGTACAGGGTCGTCAGCTGACCTGACACCTTTGCAAGAAAGTAAAATTCTAAGTCTCGGCATATGGTCATAAGATGGTGCGCCCGATCTTTCTTCTACCAACCTACGCGGTTGAGCAACATGGCCTTAAAGGCACGGAGCTCATACAACCAATGCGCATCGATACGACCTCAGCTATTCATACGGTAAACCTGACTTCTCTACCACTCCATCTCGTCTTGGCAGATCAAGGATCACTGCCCCATGCAAACGAATGCAAGGAGCAACAACAAGCTAGTGAACAATGAATGAGGTACACCGGCACAGACGAGTGACGTATTCTCCTTTCAATGCTGACCTTGCTTCTCCAAATACTGCTGCCTAAAAACTCAAGAATGAAGACTGCTGCCTATTACTACCTTCTCGCGGGCCGACTCAAAGGCCGACTTACAGAGACGAGGGCTCATGCGATGTTATATCTCGGAAATTCGGGTCTTGGGAGAGAGATCTGAGATGGACCCAAAAGCGAAAGCGAACAGGAACTTGACAGACCGGATAACTAGAGCGAGGACTTTAGCAGCACGTCGTGAGCAGAGGGATTGCCAGAGCTTTCGGCCTTCAGACGATACAGCTCGCGTCCATCTCTACATTGTCCCTTTATCCTGCTCAGAAACCTAATCGTAGAACGCGTTGATGAAGTTCAACTGCCAAGGAAAGCCATCGATATGCTCATCTCGATGACGCTCCCATAAAGGCCCGAATCCATCACCTCAAAGACCGGATCCCGGCCCCGTCGGCCACCGCTCCTCGCAGCTTCCGTAGACAAATAGGCCACACGCCGCACGGATATCTCGGCTTGGCAAATGAATTCAGGCAGCGGGTACAGCCCTTTTGTTCCCAGGGTCAGCTGGGCGCCAAAGAAGTCCTGCAGGGTCAGCGAACAATGCCCCGAAATGGCCTACACTCATTAAAAAAAAAAAAAAAAGCAAAAAAGCCAATGACATGTTGTACACGTTATACAGACAGTTGATCCTTTTCACGGACAATCGAATCGGATCTCCTTAGATCCACCGGATACGAACAAGCGACATGTCGCGGGAGCTTAAAAACTGGATATTTCATCATTGCGGGTGTGGCGGAGCTTCGGAGAATAGACAAACAAACAGGATAGATTTTCATTATAAGTGCTAATTCGGCACACACGGGATTGACCCAGGGGCATAGTGTGCAAAGATATAAAAGGAGGCCATTATTCCTTTCCTAACGCCTCTGCGATGCTTTAAATGGACGACTCGTTCAAGAGATCTTGATTCCATGTCTTTTTGACGCGCTTTTCCCACACAACCGAACCTCTACCGGACAGCGATGTTCTTCATGCGGCCCGTTGTCGGCACCGGCTTCTCCAGTCTCAAGGCCCAAAGCAACATGTCCTCAGCGGGGAGGAAGACCAGCAAGGCACGATTGCAGAGGTACGCAACCAATGCGCAGAAGGTAGCGACGAAGGCGTCCATCAGGTAATGGTTTGCCGTGCCCACGATTGTCAACAGAATCCAACTCGGGTAAAAGACACCGAAGCAGAACATGGCCCAGCTCTTCCAGCGCTTACGGTTCTCCTGGATCTCCTTGAGCTCGACGTCATCAATGTCTAGCGACTTGTCCAAGTCGTTGCGCAGCAGGTAGTTCCTCAAGCGACCGAACAGGAGGTTGAGGATGGCCGAATCGGCGATGAAAACACAGCCGATAGCGAAGGCGTAGCCAAAGTGCATAGAGGGCATGGCGGCCAGCTTGTTGACAAACTTGCCGCTCATCCAGACACTCTCGGCGTTCTCGAGGTTGACCGTGTCGACGAAGCCGTACTCGGAGGGCATCAGACGGGGCGGAGCGCACGGATAGAAGATGAAGATGATGAAGGCGCACATGTTCAACAAGGTCATTGTGCGACGGACAGTGCAGAAGCGGGCGTGAGTGGGAGCCATGGCAAAGTAGTAGGCAATGAAGCCGACGGTACCAGGGATATGGATCAGAGAGTATCCGCGGTTCAGGATGGTCAGCCAAATACCACGGAAGTCGTCGATTTGAGCACCCTCGAGGAACCAATGGGAAACGCGCCATTCAACCCAGCGCTCGGGACCAGTTCTGGTGCCCTCGCCGAAGAACTTGGCCTCGGTCTCGAGAAGAAACAGGCCGTGCTCCTGTGCGACATCCCAGACAGCCTTTCTGCTGCCGTAGTAGCTCTGCGCCAGAGTTGCCGTCATGCGGTAGAAGAAGAAGGAGATGGCCCAGTAGAACATTTCGATGAGGAAGGGGAACTTTTGCAGGATTCTCGAGTGAACGTGTCTCGCAAAACGGCTCGAGTTCGGGGTCTTGACGCGATAGCATCCAAAGATGGTACGATATTTGGGCGGGAAAGGATCGGTCCGGATAGGATCGTAGGACTCGTCGGAGATGCGGGGTGAGTCCCCTCTCTCTTCGAATAGAGGTTCGTACGTCGCGTTTCCGCGGCGGAGGATCGAGTAGTTTTTTCTACGGCTGACGTACAAGCCGATGAGCATGATGGATACGATCAGCTGGTGCTGGTGATTAGCCTTGAGGTTTCATATGACGTGAAGCTGCGGCTGCGGTGGCCCAGCAGCGAGATGGCCGTGATCCTTACAATTGGTTCTACCCAGTCCGGAGTTCTCCATGTGTGTACTGCCTTCCAGCCGCCTTCGGGAGTGCCATACGGCAATTTACCACTAGGAGGCTTCACGTCGGCCATGATGTCTAAGTTGCGCGGGGGTTCTCAGAGTGTTATGGGAGTGCGGATTCCGTTCCTCTAAGAGTGTCGTGTGCTCGTCCTGCAGTGGTTTGAAGCGGCGAAGGACAGCCCTCGGGGAATCAGATCGGGTCGTTCTTAAAGTCGGAAAGTCTAATCGCTCAAAACAACGAGAACGTTCAATGCAATCGGGACGTCGTATAGCTGGTCGTGATGAAGCTGTCGTGTGTAGTGAAATACTCCTGCCTGTTTCGGGAGTAGACTTGTTGGTGGCCGTGTATCTTCCTTTAGTTGAGAGGACGGTGAATCTCGATGCCGACTCTTCGTGTAACAGCGTCAGACAGCGAAAGACAGACAGGCACTGATCATGCGACCGAGTCGAGGAGAAAGGGGGATATTCCGTGGGAAGGAAAACAAGGTGTTGAAGAAAGGGGACAAGAAGCGGCCGACGGGGGGTGCAAGCAGCGACTCACGAGCAGCGTAGTAGGAAGCGGGCTCCGCCGTTCATTTAAACGGATGGACCATTTTTTCGGTAGGAGTTGACGGTAGGCTGGCTGAGCGAAACACACAGCAAAGCCAAGCAAAGCAAGAAAGGGCGGATTTGGCTCGTGGGCAACGCGCAGTTGTCCAGTGAGTAGCAAGAAGGTGGGAACACACGGCAACAGTGGGTGCGATGCCAAGACTTTTGGGTTTCTCATCTTTTGCGCTGCATCCCTGCTGCTTTGCGTATAGGTATACGCAGTACGTACTTTTTCCTCCGTACATGCAATTCGTACCTGCCCCATAATACCTAAGGTAAGGCACTCGGTAGCCTGTAGCAGAAGGAGAGCCTGGGCATGTGCAAATCAGGCAATTGCTCATGTCGCTCCTTGCTTCGCTTGGCCCTGGGGGCTCTTGGCTTTTTCCTGCAGAGGCTCAGACTCGCGTGCAGCTACCTCAATTCGCACCTGCTGCGTGTGCTGCTTGGGTACGTACACACAATCCGTCCCCATCGAGATGGAACCGAGTGCTGTTTTGGGAAGGATGTCGTGTGTGGATGAAGGCACGAGGCAGGTGCGAATCTCGGGTTCCTGCTCGCCGTTCCTCGGGCCCTTCCCCATCCCCCATCATCATAAACTCTCGCAGCCTCAAACCTGCCTTCCGGAATGCCAGCCAGGTTCCATGGATTCCCTCTATGACGGTACCTGCCTTACCGTTGCGCCGGGAAGCTCAACTCTGTCTGGACCTTCCCTCCCATTTCGGCGAAAGATTGCAATTGCTCATCTTGAATGATTGGAAGTTGTGAGATTTACAATACCTACTACCTAAGGTAAGTATAGCTGAAGGAAGAACGAGTACGGACTGCATGATTCAGAGCGGGTACAAAGACAGGTACACGTACCTCCTCTTTCCCATTACGCCTGGCGGCCTGGGGGCCACGCGTCTTGGCGCCTTCCATGTCCATCCTCCACCCCATGCCCAGTGCCCGCCCACTCCTTCCTTCACGGCGAACTGCGTAGCCCTTGCACAACACAGCCATCATTCGTCAAGCCTCCTCCCGTCCTCCCGTACAGACAACTGTTGATGACGGAGTGCCTTACATGCCTTACTATGTACGGTAATTGCATCCTGCGCAGCTTTTCGGCATTCTGATCCTCTTCCGTTCTGCCAGCTCTACAGAGTAACATCTTAATCACCTTACTTACCAGTCACCGCATCATCACTTCGGCACGTCAACGGATGACTGACTTTGTTTGGTCCGATGTTGCTGCTGCTGCCATTATTCGCAATTACTCACTTACCCAATCTTGGTCCTTGCCAGCCAGCTCTTGGATGCCCTCGGCCATCCCTAGACCACAGCTCACCATCCATCCGGACCAACAACCAGCAACCATCACCACCACCTAGGAACGCCCTCAGCAGGACCTTCAGACTGTAGCATTGCCTCGCTGTCATGTGTCACTGTGGTCGTTGAAAGACGGTCAACAGAGTTCTCGCGACCAGTTGCTGTCCCTCTGCCTCGCTCCAGCCCCAGACGCCAGCCACAACCTTGTTGCCCATCTGCCGTCATCCTCTCCAATCATCAAGCACCCTCAGCACCCATCTCTCGAAAGGATTAGCCACTGTAGCTAGGCTGGAAAGCTCTGCAGGCACACTCAGGCTTCAGCATGCCTTTCTATGCGCCACAAGAACCCCATCTCACTTGGTTTCGAAAAGTAGTCAAGCACATCCCACCAATTTGCGAAACCCTTGTCAGATGAGCGACGCTATCTGTCCTCCCTTTTTGCTCCGAATCCCGACAGCGGCTACTTTAGCTCCAGCGGAATGAAGAAAGACCAGGGAAAAAGTGGTGGTCCGTCGGACAACGAGCATCGCCAGCCGAAGAGGAACCGTCAAGCCCCGTAACGCTATTCGCATGCTAGCTGTCTTGGCACGCCCGGTTGTCTAAGGCTCCAAGCCATTACAGTCTCTGCAAACCAGATGGAATGCAACTTCTGACAGCATCCCGCCCGCCTCGCTCCTCTTCTCGTTCCACGAAATACAGTTCCAACCTCTCAGCACTTACATAATGGCAGTTGGGTCCCAAACCCAGACTGAAGTCAAGCTGAACTACGGAGTACCTACATAAGATAGGTACTACGTCTCCAAAGTCACATTCGCATCCTTTCCAACAATCGAGTCAAGCAGGACGATGCGCCGGTCTTGCTGGCTGCAAGGCCGAGGACACCATTGAACGAATCCTGGGCCGGGGGACCGACCAACGGCTTGTTTCCTCAGTCTCATCTGTGATCGCCGGCCCTATTCAAGCTTGAGACAAAATCTCAGCATGCCACCATTGAATTCCTCAGCCGGGCCTGAGTCGGCGACCACCACAATCTGGGATCGGCATAGTCAACTGACAAGCTTAAGCAGTGGCGCTGTGAATCCACAGGCCTAAGCTAAGCTGTTCGCAACCATTCCCACATGGAACCGGTGGTCGGCACCTTGCCAGCAATGAGGATTTTGCTCGTCACCGTCGTATCGCCTTTCCATCGACTGATCTAACCATTCACAAGCTCATCTATCCATAGAAATATGGGACTAGAGAAAGCGCACGCGACTCCTTGCACCTCTCCTCCTGAACTCGCATCAGCCACAAGGGGTCACACACATATCGAACGCTATCCTCCAGGGTACTCGCGACAGCCCTCTATCATCCTGACAGGGCTCGATCAACAATCCTCCCACTGGCGCACTAGCCCAGTGCCAATCTTGTCTTGTCAACGCCTATTTCCGTATTTCGTCTCAAGTATCAAACCTGACAACACTCAGCACGCAAGGTGTGGTGGAAGGCCGCCAGTAGTCAAGGTTTCTAAATGCAGGAGGAATCGTCTTCACCGGCATCCATCCGTCTTGGCGTTGCAAATTGCTGGTGTTCAGACATGACGGCACATAATGAAACCACCTCGCTTTTCTGGATCCAAAAAACCACACATGCGACGGATTAAACATCTGTTGCTGGACTATCAAATTGGCATCGAGACCAGATGAAAGAAAAATAAACCTGTTTCGCTGCCTAGGGACTGTGGTGAAGATTTGCAATCCCTTCCAACCAACAAATCAAGATCTATTGGATTGAGCCAGATCCCACCGCTTTGCATGTCAAGCTTTCCGTCAATCTCGCAATAAAGATTGAGATGTCAGCAACCACACCAAACCCACTAGCCAATGCCTGGGGACTCCACTGAACGGGGACAATACGCGGGAGTAAAGAGCAATCCTTGTCTCTTGAGGAGTCGAGAGCATTCAGGGCAGTTCCCTGGCGACTGGTTAAAGCGGCCTCCGCGGACCGTCAGCACCACGACCGCGCATCTGGTCGGCCGATTCCTGAGTGGCCTATTCGTACGGATGATGAGGGAATCGCGGATGCAAAAAGCTTGACGCATACAAGGCTACGGCTATGCGAACCGACACGCAATTCTTGCTCATTCTCCCCCCACACTGTAGATGCCGAATCTGCCCTTGACTCGTGGGGGAGGGGTCTTACACTTCCGTAATTGACTATTCGTAGAGCACGTTCGACGCTATCTTTCAGAGATGCTGGTTTCGTCCAGCTTTCGGCACAGGTAACCGCTCAATCCCCAAGACTGGAACACCGCAACGCGCAACTCAAGTTGCATCCAAGACTGTTTGGGCTTAGCTTGTTGGTTGAGCTCAGACGTCACTCACTCAATTCTCAATCCCCTAATCTTCGATATGAGCTCAGGGCCTGTCTCCGACATGCCGATGGCCCGGCGAGCTTCCAGCCCCGTGCCCACATCTGCGATTGGACCATCGTAGGGGTTGCTCATGGTATATCTTACTTGAGGTTGATCTTTCATTCAGTCTTGCATTTGTGCCTCGGAGCTCACCTTGGTTGATAGGCACGCAAAAACCGTGAACAGGATTAGCACATGCGGTTGATACAAGGTTATAATCCCATCATCCCATCGCCGTTGAAGAAGGCCAGGACCTCGAAGACGTCTCTTTTTGGCAGTAGAGTTTGGATCGAGCTGTACAGGTTTCACAGCCCATCCCACTGTTCAACTCAACTCTTGGCTGTCACGACTTGGTTGCACGCAACGTGCCAACCTGGGTGTTGAAGGCTCTGCAACACAGAGTTCAACGAGCATCGCCGGCGGTTTAACTAGGCTGTCCTTACCAGATACTCGACCATTTCGCACCACGAGCCACCACAAGTACGTCACTAGCACCATTCTAGTCTCCCATCAACTGCGCAATTGATCTGTGAGATGGCAGTCTTCGTTTCGAGTTGTGCCGGCTACCCATCGCCTGTCGCAGCCGTTGTCGAGGCTTGAGTTTGGGTTTGAAGGGTTCACCCTAGCCGCGCGTCCACCGCCGGAAGAATGGAATCTGCCGCCGCACCCAATCTGTCTAAGCACCCAGTACTTGTGGCGGAGCATGCTTCTCCAACTGATCGGCTGCGTGGTTGCTTTTGACCTTGTCTACAATCAGGCTAAGCTATAATTGCGTGCGGGGGTTTGGGTAGGCAGTGTAGACTGCACCACATTCCTTCGGCCGGTCGGATTGGCCCCGCTCTATACCATCGCCGACCTCCTTCGCCGATGGTACAAGTCGGCCGGGCCTAGGCGTGGGGCCGATATTGAAGAACGAGGCCGACTCCCAGTACCTGCGCACGGCAAGGATGCTAGCCAAATGTTCACACGCAGCATACACAGTAGGGATTACGATGGTGGGATCGGCTTTTGTCTTTACTTTGCTAGTTGTTCTATCCAATAGCTGAGGCAAAGCAACGTCGTACCCAGTATCGACACATCCGCTAGACAAACCGTGACTAAAGAGCAAGACGGCATCTTGACTACCACTCCTGAATCGTAACACGTGGGAAAACCTAGAATATAACATGTTTAAATACCATAGATGCCAGCCTCGTCAACACCATCTCTCGCAAGAGGGGTCGTGGGAAGAAGCGAACAAGGTTCCAAAAAAGAAGAGCGCCTGGATCTGTCGAGATTGAAGAGAGTTTTCAACCAAAAATAACAACAAAGCCAACCGCCTCTCGCCCTTTGCACCACCTGTCCATCCATCCATCACCCTTTCCAAAGTCCAACTCAAAAACAAATCGTGGGGTTACCTATAGTAGGTTCGTGCCCCTTCGCGTGTCCCCCAGATAAGCAAAACAAGCGCCGCTTTCATGTCCCAATCAGTCAATACTGTGTCAAGTAGATTTGGTTGGTTGGATTGATAGTTTTTCCCGATGAAAATATGATGATGCGAACCCAAAAAAGGTTTTGTTTCGTATTTAACCCATGCTTTGTCTCCTTTGTGCCTTTTTCCACTCAAAAATAGAATTGCTGCTGGGGCTGGCCCGGTGGCGGTTGGGCGACGAAATCAAAGTTCATGGTGTCGACGCCGCTGTTCCAGGGGTCGGGCGATTCTGGGAAACGGTCAGCCTTGTAACTCTCAATCGGCGACGGATTGGTTAACGCTACTTACCCCACCAGATTGATTCATAGAGATCCATTGGGGACATGTATGTTGACGGGTCCAGGTTGGCAATGTTATCCATGCTGACGGGTGGGTATCCCATGCTGAGACTTGTTAGCATAATTCGAGGAATGAAAGCATCGGGAAAGGGAGCTTTGAATATGACGTACTTTGGTGTATACTCCGTCATTGCTGTACCATTCTGCATCTCGGCCATTGCGAGAGCCGCATCCTGGTGGGGATCCATGCCAAACGGTTTCCCGTCATTGTTCCCGTTGACGTTATTGCCCATCGGTCCCATGAGCATCGGCGGTAACGGTGTCCTCGCCCCGCTTCCGGTACCGCTTGAATCGGTCCCCTTCATTTGCGACGTACCCATGATGGTGCCGTGCTCGTAAATGTTACGCAGCGCCGTCAGCGCTCTCCATAATGGTCCAGACAGTTCGATATCCTTGTCCGTCTTGGGGATGTGAGCCGTAGGCGAGGTCGCCTCCTTCGCGGCCGTTGCGGACAGCGCAGCAATGAGGTCGCCCTGCAGCTGACGGACCTCGGGACTGTTCTTCGTCTCACCCAGGATACCGAGGAGCAGTGCGGACGAGAGACCGTGATACGTAAACGCCCAGCTGCGCGTGGGGATGACGGAGAGCTGGTGCATGGCGAGAAACATGCGAACCGTCTCGGCGAGGTTGTGCTGGCACTTGTCCGAGAGGTGGCGCTTCTGCTCGGGGGTGAGCTTGGTGCAGTCACGGCGGAGGGCGGGGCGACAGCAGACGGAGATGACGAAGGATGTGTGCAGGCGGACGGCGTAGTGCTGGAGGCGGTCAATGGCTCGTTTGCACTGTTCCTTGATGCGGATGTTGGGGGCGACGTTATTGCGGAGGTTTTCGACGGCTTCGCAGTTTTCAACCATTTGCTCGTAGCTTACTGTAGTTGCCACATCTGGGTTGAGCCGCCGGGAAATGATTTCGCAGAGGTGGTACATTGTGTCTAGGTAGCCGTATTCACCGGCGATGGTAGTTGCTACTGTTGGGATCGGACAGCAGGGAATGTTTGTCATGGGAGGACTATTCATATTAGAGTTTGTCTCATTATAAGATTCTCGCAGAGCTGCGGTTCTTACCGATCAAAGGATAGTGATGTGAGGGTATCGTGCCACACACATGTCCACCACAGCTTCCGGCGGATCATCTCCTTGGACTGCCCGTCATTCCGGGCGCTGTCCCGTCCGTCAGAGGGATTTGGCCGGTGCAGGCCGAGGGACTGGGCCAGTCTGCAGGTCAGGCCGAGCAGGGCCCACGAGGCTTCGGCCTTCATGTCGTTAAGGAGGACAAAGCTGGTGAGTAAGAGAGCTTGGATGGAGTCGAATGTGGGTCTTGAAGCCGGTGTGGGGTCTCGGGTTAGTGGATGTCATTTTTGTTTACATTTTACGGTCATTGTCCGAATAGCCGGATGGGACCCATTCTCTGTGAGATAAGGGGGCGAGAAGTGAGGAAAGGGAGGATGACTAACCGTAGTAAAAAGTTGCCGAGCCGCAAGAAATGGAACGATATTTGTATGTACTTTTGGGAATCCCGCGTGCGGATGTGATACGGTGAGTCGTGGTACTGCGACCCGACGGCTAGCAATGCAAACAGGATGGCTAGCCATGAAGCAGATACGGGTTTCGGCGTGCGCGCGGCGTTGCTTGCATTGCGAGCGCGGTCTTCAAGGTAGACCATGAGCTTAGACTCGAGGTCATCGATATCGACGACGAAGCCCCAGAATTGTTGGGGCGTTTCTTTGTATGTTCGGAACAGCCTTGTTTTGTTAGTCTTCCCAGTGTCCCCATCACGAGGTGGAAGAGACACTCACTTCATGACTTCCCGATCGGAGGGCAGCTCCGCCGAAATCTCCCTCGTCAGACTATCGAGATGTTTTGATGACATGAGCGGGAAGGGCGCAGAGGTATCAAGTCCGAGAATGGACCTCATGTCCTGCCTTATGTCGACGCCCTCTTGCAGCTCGTTGGCGCCGGACTGCTCTCTCAGCAGGGAGGGGATACTATTCTGGCCAAGATACCGCGTGACGGCCTCGGGGGCCTCGGTCTCGTCCACCACGCCTGCAGCTACTGGTCCCCGGGGGAGCTTATCAGTATACAACCCGTTGTTGTTTCCCATAAACGACGACGACGATGCTGCAGAAGCAAAAGGTCTCAAACCAGGATGGATGTGCTGGTCTTGCGGCAGTGAAGACGACAATGATGACTTACCGATGGCCGCGCGTGGCCAGGTCGCGCTGCCGGGTTCCTGCTTTAAGGGAGGTTGGCCCGCGGCGGCGTCCGCGGCAGGATCTTCGGGCGAGTGCGGTCTTTTGCGATTGAGCACTGATGAAGCCGTGCCGTTGCCTGCCGTAGTCGGCGCCGTTGTGGTGGTGGCACCATTACCGCCGGCGTTGCTATTGCCTCCCTCTGTTGTGACGGAGCCGGCGGCCTTGTGATTTGTACCGTGAGAGGCTGTGCGATTGGGCTTGTAGGAGCATAGTTGTGGGTGTTCTCGCTTGACGCAATTTTCGCATGGTTGTTTGTTGTCGCACTTTACCTTACGTTGGCGGCATGGCCAGCAAGCGGTGCCTTTGGAGGAGTCAGTATGAGTCAATAGATGATGAGATGAGTGATTTATGATATGGAGGTGAGATGAAGATGAGAGGATGTGAAGATCAAGTCATCTCATCTCTGTTACCTCAAGGATATGCGATGAAATAAGATGAGGGATGATAGGCAGACGCCATATCGCCAGTTCCCCGGTGGCAGAGAGAAGAGTCACCCGAGAATGGTTCAATCTCACTCACCATATCGAACCTTGCGGTGAGAGTGGATGATGCGGTTGGCCTCCTCGGGGGTGAGATCATCGATGGAGGCCTGGTCCGGGGTCGGGGTGGTTTGCGACTCGGTCATGATGGCGACGGGCCTTGCATCAGACCCGGGTGTCGTCGGTGGCGTCGGCGGCAGAGGTGAAGATGGTGGTGGAAGAGGTTACGGATACGGCGACGGCCACAAACGCAGCTGGTTGTCTGTCACGTACCGAGAGTCCAACAGGCCGTGGTGGCGATAGCTGCTTTCTCTGGGCCTCTGTACGGGACAGGCACAGAAAGGTGGAAACTCCCCCTTTCGAAGCCCGTCCGCCGGGTTGGAAGAATTTACAGTTCACGGAAGTGACGGGGGCCAGCCGGGCGGCCGATCGGAGACGATGAGCGCGTGCGGCGTGGAGTTTTGCGCGCAGGCGGCGGGCAGTTCACTCGGGAGTTGCGATTCCTGCAGCAAGACGGTTCGGCGTACGGTCCTGGCGTGTGTGGTCGGGTGTCTCTCTCTCTGTGTCGGGTTCGGGACGCCGGTGTTGGTGGCCGGAGGCGGGTAATGGATGTGGGAAAGACAATTCGGGATTTGAGAGGTCCCAGTTGCGGCGGTTGGTTGTACCTCCTTAGGTAAGGCAAGGTAAGGCAAGGCAATGATGCGTGCGTCTGGATTGGTTTTCTTTCTTCTTCTTTTTTTCTCTGCCGCCCGGGTGCGCGTTACCGGCCGTTGAGACGAGCAAACGAGAAACGAGAAACGAGAAAATGGAGCTTGTGCTGTTTGCGGTTCGGAGCCTGGCCAGGCTGGTTGGTGTGTGGTTCCAATGGTTCCAATGCGGCTCCGTTGTTGGCGAAAGAGGAGTCACTTCTTTTTTTCCCTGAAGAGGGGGCGTTTTGGAGGTTGGGGATTGGAGGAGAGGAGGAGCAGGTGAGGGGACCAGCAAAGAAGCTACAGCCTACTGAAGACTGAATGCCGAGATCCCGAAGCGACGGCGAGATGGGCGTTCGCGAATCGTAGATGGGTTCGCAGCACTGAGCAGTAGCAGTAGAGGCGATGACAGCTGCAAGGTAACGCAGTGCGCGCCATGCAATCGGGCGAAGCTAAAGAAAGCAGCAGCGAATTGCAAACTGGTCGCGAGACTCGACGCACCGAGAAGGAAGGGTTTCTCCGGAGAGTGAGTAGTCAAGGAAAGAAGAGAAGGGAGAGAAGATGTCAATGGAACACACTGGATACAGGACAGGACAGGACAAGGAGGCGCATCGAAAGAGACGGGAAGCAGCGGGGTCAAGCTGAAGAGGCGTTGGTCCAATGTCTATGTTTCTTCAACTCATTCGTCCAGTTGGCTGCCACGCTGCCTTCCCCTCCGGCTGCGCGGGACCCTTGGGATTTCCATCCATTGCTTAGCTAAGTCTGTTGATGAGTAAGAATGGACCAAGGAATAGAAGGAATTCCGCAGTGGAAACGCTACGGGTGGCCCTGCCTTCCAGCCTTTGTGACTGCACACTGATCGCTTTGGGGCCGAAGCAGCTTCGGATCACCCGCGCTAATGCCAGATTAGGTATAGGCCAGCTACACTCTTGTCCAACTGCCAAGACCCGCTCGTGACTTACCCCACTTTCGAGTCCTCGACACCTTCCAGACTCCCGTTTCTGCCTTCCTTCCTTCGCTGTCACTGCATCACCAAACTACCTACCTTACCTAAACTTTGCTTACATACACACTCGGCGATAAACAGCGCACGGTGCCTGCTCCACTTCAGAGTCTCTGTCGTCACCTGGCGGAGGCGGGAGGTGAGTCTCGGTGAGCGTAAACACTTTCGGTCTGACTTAAGCACCCACTCCAATTTCTGATGGATCTAACCTAAATTCAGACGGTCGCACCCTCTCTTCGTCACCCAAAGCTGTAGACTGACGACGGTTTGGAGGTCCCACGAGCAAATCAATATCAGTGATTAACCGTCGAAATCTGTAAAATTTCTCTGCTCTCACGTCATGTTACAACCTGCAAGGGCATATCGTCTTACGTGGTCCGAAATGTGGCCCATGTTGCGTCACTACATGCTGCTGCTCGAGTCAGTCACATCGTTATCCCTGATTTCTTTCCGTGATCCGAATGGACTTTATCAACGGATATAAACGACGTGATCGCGAAAGGAATTTATCGTGACCCGCTAGACAATATCGAAAGCCAAAAGAAAATACTGTCAAGATAGTCTCAACTACAGAAGGGTTTCCAGCTGACATGAGAGTAAACATGATTGATTAAAAACTACTGGGTACTATTCAAGTCGCCGTATTCACAACACAATCCAGCCGCAATTATTGTGCCATCTACAGCGACGCACTCAGGTGCAGGTCTCTTGATGAGCTTCCAACCCACACCTTCTTCGGGTACTCGCTGATGACCCAGTTCTGGCTCGCCGTGTCCCAGTTGCTGAGGTCACGTCTGGTAATCTCCGCCTTGAACGTCGCTGACGCACCGGCCTCAATGGGGATGCGCTCAAATCCGCGGAGGACCTTAACGGGATCCTCTGGGCCGCCAAGCGAGACGTAAAGCTGGGCCACTTCGTCACCAGCCACCTTGCCCGTGTTCGTCACGGTAGCAGTCACCGTGTAGAGGACGTCCCAAAGCTGCGGGTTGCCGCCAGGGGCCCCTGATGCGGGGTGCTTGGGCTGAGGGGTGCTTGCAACGGCGTTGGGAGGAAGGAACTCCTCGGCAGTCTTGCCGTAGGTTGGGTCGTTGGCAGACTCCTTGACGTCCGAGGTGTTCAGGTAGGGGTAGATGAAGTTGTAGATGTACCGGAACTCGTTGCTAGGGAAGACGTACTGGGCCGGGTCGGTGCTGTAGTTGCCAAAGGTGGGCGCTGCCGCCGTCTCTCCCGTTGTCGGGGCATACGCGCCGGCATTACCCTTGGTCACAGCCAAGTTCGAGTACTCAAAGGTGGTGTACGAGAGACCGAAGCCGAAGGGGTAGATGGGTGCAACGTCGGAGCTGTTCGATCCAGCAGTAGCACGATCAAAGTGGCGGTAGTCAATGAAGACGCCCTCGGTGAAGTCGTCCTGGGGAGCGGCCTCACCATTGTTGGGCTCGTACAAGACATCGGCACCGTAACTCTCGCGGTTGGGGCCCCATGTGAAAGGAGACTTGCCTCCCGGGTTGACATTTCCGTATAGGACATCAGCGATGGAGTTACCGGACTCTTGTCCAGGAAGGCCGGCCCAAACGATAGCGGTGATGTTGGGGTTGTTGATCATGTCAGTCAATAGGACTGGGCCGATGGAGTGAATCACAACAATGGTGTTGTTGTTGATCGCGGAAACGTTCTTGACAAGCTCGTCTCCTGCGTTCCAAAGTGTCAGGTTCTGGCGATCGCCCTCATTGCCTCCCACGTTGATAAACCCTTCACCGCCGTTGGCATTGACGAACACGATTGCCGTGGCATCTGCCTGGGAGACCAGGGCCGTGGTAGCCGCAGTGTCGTAGTTGCTCAGGATGCTCTCGTAACGAGTACCATCGGCAACAGCACGGGCAGACAGTCCCTGGTCAGGCGTGACCAAGTAAGGGTACTCTGCCGTTCCTGATCCCCACGCAGCGCCCAGAGTGCCATCGTTGCAGCCTCTGTTGTCGCATCCGTTGGGACCCTTGAGGTTGGGTCCGGCATCCTCTCCAACGACTGCCAAGAACTTGGGCTTGTTGAGTGGCAAGGCGCCGTTGTTCTTCAGCAAAACAGTGGCCTTGGCGGCAATCTCCCGAATCAGGTTGGCGTGGTCTCTGCCCTTACGGACATCAACGTGCTGGTTGATGACCTGGGTGTTTTCCTTGGCGTAGTATTGGACGGGTCCGACGGTATCTTTAGTCCATGAAGAGAAGGTGAGTTCCGGAACTGATTCCACCTCAAAGCCGACCTTGAAGAAGGCAGCCATGATACGCAGCGCCATGTCATCAAGGCGATATTCGGGAACGGTGCCGTTCAGGACAGCGACGGTCAAGTTGGTTCCCCAGAATGTAGTTCCAGTGTTGAAGAGAACGTCGCCCGGCATGGCCATGTCGAGGCCTGCAACAGCAGTAGCAGCACCGGCCTATTTCAAAGTCAGTATGGTAGTCCTTCGCTGGCTGAAGAAAGATATGGGAAAAGTGTAAGGTCTTTTCAAGCACCAGGGGGACACATACGTGTTGAGCTTGCCTACAATCATGTTAGCCATTATGCCTATACATATTCAAAGTAGAAAGAGGGACCACTCACCAATCAGACATGATGAACCCTTGGAAGCCGAGCTCTTCCTTGAGGAGTCCGTTGAGAAGCTTCGAGTTCTGGCAACCGTACGAGTTGTTGACCTGGTTGTACGAGCACATGATGGAACCAACGCCGGCGCGGATGGCATCGGCAAATGGCCACATGTAGAGCTCATGCATAGTCTTGTCGTCAATGTTGGACGAGATGGACTCGGTAATGTTGTATCCGTAGCCGATAGCTTCCGGAGCCTGTCTGAAGTGTTCCTGCTCGTTGCCAACAAAATGCTTGGCGCAAGCAATAGCGTGCTGCTGGATGCCCTTGACCGACTCGGCCATGGCGATACCTGTCAGGTAAGGGTCCACGGAGAAGCCCTCCCAGTTACGGCCTCCCGTTGGTGCACGACCGATAGGTCCGGCAACGGGGGCGAGGACTACGTCGATGCCCTTGGAGCGGTGTTCGAATCCAATGGCCTCGGCTCTTCGGTAGATCAAGCTTCTGTCCCAGGTCGCGGCGACAGTCTGGCCGGAGGGAAAGACGGAGTTGTAGTCGGTGAAACGAATGCCAACGGGGCCATCTTGCATGCAAAGACCGCGAAGACCGAGACGGGGAACAGAACCGACGTTTCCAACGCAAACGTCTCCTTGCCAACTGCAGTCATGTTAGCCATCTTCTGTTAAAGAGAAGACGGTATACGTACCCGACTCCAGTGGTCAAGTTGACCTTCTCGAGAAGAGTCAATTGGGAGACAAAGTCCTTGGCTTTGGCGTAGGCATCAGCCCAGCCGTCGGCGCTAGGGTCCATCCATGGTGATGGGTAGACTGGAGGCGAGTGTGCGAGATCGCGCTGTGGGCATCGTAAGTCTTTTGGACATTCTAAGAGCTGTGATAGACCGAGAGCGGAACTAAAAAAGCGAAGGAAACGCATGATTGCGGTCGCAAGATGGCCAATGGCGCGCACAGCTGTTTTGAATGATAATACGGAAGACGACGAATTGCAAGTTGAATAACGAGATCAAGAAGACGAGCTCCGTAAGCAGCAAGACGCCTTCCGTCAAGCTAGATCCCACGAGGACATGGCTCCTCTATACTGGTCCTTCTTCTCCAAGACAAACCCACGCTCCGCTCAAGGTGAAAGGTGGTGTCACAAAAACACGAGATCGACGGTGAACCGCAGCGGCAGCAACTTACCTTGTGTAGCTTTCCTTCAGGCGCCACGGCAGCAGCGACCTGGTCAGCCGCCGCCAGGAGGGCGACGACAAGACTTTGTGTTCTCATTGTGAACCCCTGCTTTTGCTGGATCAGGTGTATATCGGGGGAGTGACTGGCGGGACGGGGAGGACAGAGACAACGGTGGAAGGAGGTCCTAGTCGAAGTGAATCGGTGACCTGGCGTTCAATGGCACTGGACACAAGGTGTGAGCACTCGAGTAATCACTGGTAGGGCGGCTCGAGGTGGTGTCGGTGGATTTGAAGCTGTAGTCTCGTGGAAGGAGAGCACAGAACCTTGACCGAGAGATTGGATGAAGGCGGGTGCGGCTGCTACTTTAATGTTGACAGAGGAGCTGGGATCATCGTCCAGGGTAGCTCCCCCAGAAAACAAGCTCGCCCTTTTTCTTTCGGCCTCTAGGGTAGTATCCGTAGGCAGAGAAGGTGCCGAGGGCAAGGTGCTGGGCCCGCAGAGACGGAGATGTTGATCTGGGCTGGACCTGATGATGCAACAAGGTTTCCCTGCTTACAAGCTGTAGTGAAATGGGACCAACTTGTGGGCATATGCAGCACGCTGGACGGATGCTACCCCACCACACCACAGATGAATTCTGGGGACGGTCGTGGAAGTATCCCACCGCCTCTGACTAACACGCGTGTACTTTGTCTTGGAAGCGATGCCGTACTGCGTACACTGCGGGGAAGGCAAGACTCGGTTGGATGCGGAGAAGAAGAAGACGATGTATGGCGAAGACAAAGACGAGGACAACGCCAGCGTGCAGGAGGAAGGTCATATGAGTTGGAGATGGAGGGCCGCCTGTAGCTAAGACTGGGTCGAGTTGCGCTTGAGGCAGGCTCTAATTCGACTCTGAAAGGGGCGCTCAAGGAGTCAAGGACTCGAGGGAGCTTGCGTTCGAGACATTGGAGAGAGAGGAGCCAAAGTCCGGGGCGAACGCCGTCCCGAGACTGGGGAGAAGCGAGCGGCGTGAATGGCAGCTATCCGTAGGTGTGCTGGGTTCGCGGGGCCACTAGGGGCAGGGTGCAGTAATAGTATTCGTACGTCATGTCGAAAAAGGGCCGATCAGCAAGTGCGATGACGGACAGGGCGAGACCAGGAATGGCCGGACAGGAGAGATGACGGGACTCGGGCCCTCGGGAGAGATGAGTAGAGACTCGAGAACCATTTTGGTCTCGGGAAGAGGCACCGAGTGTCGCTGGAAGCTGGATGTGGCGTATCTGATGTGAGTAATTCGATGTTGTCGGAATGGACGAACGTGATCATTGACGTTTGGCATAGTCGAGTTTGCCCTCGCCAATGTTGTGTTTTCGCATTAGAATGTTGGCAGAGAAGGCAAAGACGGGAGGAGAGAAAGTCAACGGACCGGAGAATGGAGACCGGCTCTGGGGTACGTATCGATGTGGTTCAGTAAACAAATCGGAACGGGTGGGGAAGCGGGGCCCCTCTTCATTGCCCCAGAGCAAGAGGGAAAGTGGGAAACAACGCTCCACTGGGTGAGCCATGACTGCCCGCAAAGCCTCAATCACTCGGGGATTGGAAAGAAGCAATAATTAGCAGGAGATTGCGTTGGACGGTAGAAACGGCAGGAATCGGTCAGCGACCGGAAGGGAACATGTCGGTACGCGGGCCATTCCATCGTGGCTGCATGTATTCCGGCAGTACTCCCTACCATTCGCATGCTCCTTCCAACGCTAACGACTTCTTGGTCTAGAGGCGGTTCCCGGTCGTGGTGGCGTTGCGCCAACCCACGCCTTCCCGCCGTTGGCAATCCAGAGGCGTCTTCTTTCTTTCCTCTGCTCTCAGAAAGAGACGTTTCTTTCATGACGGCTTCGATGGAACTTGGACGCCACCAATTGGTCGACGTATTGCCAACTGGTTCCCACCGTCTGCAACAGCGTTACATCCGTGGTTAACCCGGGCGTATTTCTCCAAGCCTCAAGGTTCTCTCTTTTTCCCGTCTCCCCCTCCTTCTCTCAGTCGGTACTTAATGGAAATGGTATGCGCATGATGAGCAGGATTTTGAGTGCCTTGGGCTGCAGATCGGAATAAACGCTCTCCACACCACGCTCGGCATTTCATTCGCTTGGCACGCGTCTTTGTCATTCCGTCTTATCTAAGTATTGACAGAGAGTGCAATAAACAAATTTTTTACACAGTAAATAAGGAAAATGCAACGTCCCGGGATGGAGGCTCCAAGACATAAACTCAAAAACATGCTGGTGCCTGAATCATTTGCACTTTTTAGAGGGGACGGAGGCGCAGACGCACTTTTGCAAGTACCTACTTTGTACGGAGCATCCGTCTCATCTACGGATGTTAAACCGAATGCCCCATATATGCTTAAACTTGTACTTTTCCCGTCATCCCAATTCTCTCGCCGTTGCATGAAAACCATAATCTCTCTCTTTTCCTCGCACTGAGCACTGATGAGAAATCCAGCTCGTCCAACATCCAATACGGCGACTTACACGACGCCACGCCAAACCAACCAACCTTTACAGTCTACACCGTACACCTTAGGAAGGTACATTGTATGCTGTCATAGTAACGCATCCCCCGCCTCTCTGCTCTTCCTCGCCCACCCACACTTTTCTTCTCCATCTTCAATCTCCAGTTTGTCTCCCCCCTCATCTCCCCCGCATTTCGAACCCAGCCAATCCACTTGGTCCTCTGCTACCCCTCATCACCCAAAGCCTCTTCTCGAGTCCCCCCAGCTCCAGACTCCATCCATCGTCCCCGCGGAATACCGGGTACTGTCATACCCATCGTGAATCAAGCTTGAATGTACTCGCTACTGTGCGCATCGAATGTTCACAGTCAAAACGACCATGTGCCAAGGAGCGGGGTCTTCGAGTGCTTTCGGCCCGTTTACTACTTTATTGGAGAAGCTTCATCGCTGTACACATCGGCCAACTTCGGCTCTCGCCATGGGAGCTTGCAAAGAGAACGCAAAGTTTGCATGCCCTGCCCTCATGATCAATCATCATCAGAGTCGGAGTTCCGATCTGACGTACCCGTGCAGCTCGCAGCTCGCAGTGAGACACGTAACGTTCCCTCGTACCCGAGCAGGCGGAAGACAGTCTAATTCGACGCTTCATCTGTGTCCAGTCTGTCTCTCAAAATAGTCGGCGTGCCTGCCATTGGACAGCGAACTCATAATGTGCATAGCGGGGATTCGGCGAGAATTAAGCAGCAAAAGGCAAAAGAAGCTTATGATGACTAGATTGCCTATCTAGTTCCGCAATTACGCCCGATTAAAAGTCACTTAGCACACCCGAATTCCTTCGCCTTGGCTTCAGAAGATGGCACCTCTGAAGATCCCAGCCATGAACGCCACACGCGCAACCGTTTGCCCAACACCCCTTAGCCGGGCGAGCCAGAGCGGACTACCAAGCTAGCAAAAGCTCCAGGTAAGCCCATGATCCGGGTGATCCATGATATCCACCAGCTCCACGACTTGACAAACGGGCCGAAGGGCTACCCATTCTTGTGCTTCTCCGGGCCTGCTTTCCGCAGCCGTCTTCTGATGTCTCTCGAACTCTCAGTAGATACCAGGAAGAATCCTCCACCGCACGATCTTCTTGTACTTCTCCCAGTCCTCGCCGTACTTGCGAGAGCACTTCTCATCGTCGCGGCGGTCACGGTGGATCAACAAGACGGCAAAGTAAACAATATAAAAGTACGTGATGGGAGTTGCCATACCACGAGCCGCGCCCTGGATAACCTCGCGACCATCGGCCATCTTAAAGGCTCCCTCGAGTCCGGCTTGGGCATATCCGGTGCCCGCCGAGACGATTGTGTATCCAGCCATGCCCGTGGGCAAGCAGTACGGCCAGGCCTGGAGCCAGTCACCAAGGTAGTTGATGTGGCGAGCGACTCCCCACCAACCCGACACAAGGAGGCGGCTTCCGGTCTTGGTCTCGATGTACTTGAGGTGAGCGACACTTGGGTCGTCAGGGTTGCTACGGAACGCATTCTTCTGGCTGTTGGACAGACGGAAGATGGAGAAGGCAACGCCGATGAGCCCGACGATACCAGCCATGCCCAAGGGGCTCATCGAGACGGGGTACACGGCCAGGTAACGCGTCTGCAGGGAATACACAAACGGAACCCAGACAAGGTCGCCAAAGGAGAGCATGAAGCCGAAACCGTCCGTAGTGATGTCAATAGTGGTCAGGATCGCGGGCTCGTTCCACCAGCAGTCAATGACGTACGCAAGCTGGACGGCAGAGACGAAGATGCTGCTGTTCGTGACGAAGCCGTAGGTGCGGTGCTGTCTGGCCATCCATGCAAAGTTCATCAGAGACCAACCCAGCAGACCCGGTCGAATTTCCAGCCACTCCTTGATGTCGATTTCGCCCAGAAGAGGGATGGTAACACGGGGGTTGAGCTCACGCCCAATGTACCAGTCGTAGATGAGGTTGCCAGAGTGTCCACCCGCAGCCAACTCGCGGAGCTCCTTGTTGCCCTGCTTGACGCTGAAGCTTCGCACGTACACGAACGTCGCAATACCGTAGGCAATGAGCATGTTGGCGGTAACGACTTGGATGTAGTTGTCGGTGATGAAGGTCCAGAGAGGGAACTCGGCGCCCTGGGCGATGGTACCGGCGAGGCAGACGGTCAAGATAAACATGCTGGAAGCGAAGGCTGCATCTGTTAGTGAAGACCCGTTTCTTTGCGTTCAGATAGCTTACAGTTGCATCTGTACTTGAGGCGGCCACCAGAGGTGAGCTCGACGCCATCAACCTCGGTCGCGGGAAGGATACGGTAGAGGAGCGCGTTGAAGAGGTAGTATCCCACAACGGCAGCAGTGACCTTGTTATCTGCGAGACCCCAGACGCCCTCCTCGGGCCATCCGACTTCACGCTTGAGCTGGTCGAGCTTCAGGGTCGAGGGGCTCAGAAGGGAAGGAGCAGGGCAGCCGGACACGTCATTGCAGCTAAAGGTGAAGAGGTAGACGAGGATCGGGAGACCGAAAGAGATGCCGAAGGCGCCGACGCTGTGTTGCTACGGGTGAGCTAGGTATTCAGACAACAAGATTCTGAACTACTCACGGTCCTCCGAACTCATAGCCATGGGGCTTTTGGACCGCGTCCTTCTCAGCTTTGGACGTCATGTTGGCCGTTTCCCCAAAGCAAGTGCTGTTGAGTCTGGGTGATGGGATGGAAAAGGAGAACAAGCCTGTGTTGAGCTTCGCGTGTCTGGTTTGAGGTTATTGGCGAAAAGGTTTTCGTAGATGAAGAGGAGAATGTAAATATTTGTACGCCCCACCAGCCCAACGTGGAAATACGAATGCGACAGTGACAGCAGCTCAAGGGCTCAGTATCGACCCCGGATTCTGTTGATCGCCAGGTGGGCTGTGAAGGACTCTTTGCGCCGGAGCTCAGGTGTTCCGGGTGACCTCATGGAGCTCAATTCGATGACGCTAAGAAAAAGTTGAGTCGTCTCATTGGGCCAGACGAAGGGTGGGGCTACGAAACGGTTTGGGCTGTTCGGTGGACCGCCAGTCCCGTCCCGTCGTAGCTTCCCCGGAGGAATGGTTCCACCGAGCCAGGCGGCACCCGGCGGGACGTTCCCAAGCATCGGACGATATCAAAGCTACGCGGTCCGAAAGTTAGGAGTGGAAAAAGCTTCCATTGCGTGTGCATCTACACTGCCCCTTTCGGGCAACACGAGTTTTATTTATTGGTGGTGGTGTAAATCGTTGAGAGGAATCCCTCCCGTCTTACACCTGCAAGGAACATTCGTGACACTGGTCCAGCTGGACGTATCAGAAACGGGCGGGTCCTGTTGCGGGCAGGTTGTCGGCAATCGAAGGACCGCTTTTATCTGATACGCTGACTAAGATCGGTACAATGACTGACTGTGCTCCATGGCGGCAGGTGCAATAAGGATGCGCACGTGATCTGGAGATGGGGTGGGTACCTCTCCGGCCACTGCAGCCTGGCGGCGTTCTACCTCCGGCGAATGCTGCAAGGAGCGCCCATCCACCAATCAATGCCCACTCCCCGGTCACTCCCGTCATTCCCTGCAGATGAAGGCTGACGAATTGAAGTGACCAAGGTGGCTTTCGTGGCCAGGCAACTCATTCTACCTTACTCTGCGCACCTCGATAATTCTCATCCTTCCCCAACGGAAGTGTGTCCACGTGTCGTCATCGCTACTTCTCGTTGCATAGCAGAATCGATACACCACTCGCTTCTATTCCGGGTTCTCAGCGACCGACCGACTTCAATTGACGTCGTAGGGGTCTTCTCGCGCCCACGTCACCCCCGCGTCCCCAGAGGCGCCGACGTTAACGATTCTTCATTCCAACTCATCCTTAACGGCATTGCACCGAAACAGAGACAGAACCATGCATTTCCCACATTCCTCGACACTTTTTCTCCTTCTCGCAGCTGCGACAGCTCGCGCCGCCGATGCCGCGACGTCTTCAACGACAACGAGTGCACCAGCATGTACGGCGGCATCCAAGAGCGGCAGCGGGGCTTTCTACGACTTGCGGCCGGATATCGCCGTCAAGCCGGAGGAGGGCAAGTCGTCAAAGTCAGGCGTCACGAACGATTATCATGCCAGAGGATGGGACTATGGTCGCAACTTCACCTTGAACATTTGCGCGCCAGTCATTGAGGCACTTGACGACGTAGAAGGTCTGACAAAGAGCGAATCCAAGAATGTTAGCGCGTTCTATGAATACAAGAATGAGGTGTACTCCATTGGGTATGTATCCCACGAACCCCCTCACCGGAAGCGCAAATACTAATCACATCAATTTTCAGGTCATCATCCATGGACATTCAGACCCGCGGGCGCATACTCGTCCTGCAATACAAGAACGGTTCCCCATGTGGAAAGACAAAATCGAAACGATCCAAGGCCCACGACGGGGCTTCCTACAATAAGTACGCCGATGAGGAGGAATCCACGGCTTTGAGCGCCTTTGGCAACACCCAAAATAAGGTCACTGCCGACAAGGACGACTCAGACTCGACCACACGCCGCAAGTCTGCCACCATCTCCTTCCACTGCGATACCGAGCAGGTTGGTGGAGCGGCGCATATCTCCTTCGTGGGCTCAGACCCCGATGACTGCGCGTACTTCTTCGAGGCCCGTTCCCAGCATGCGTGCCCCAGAGCCGAACCGCATCAGCCCGGCAGTGTTGGCCCCGGCAGTGTGTTTGCCATCATCTTTGTCATTGCTGTCCTCGTCTACTTCGGAGGCGGCGTGTTCTACCAAAGGACTGTCGCGCATGCGCGCGGTTGGCGACAGCTTCCCAACTACAGCCTCTGGGCTGGTATTTGGGGCTTTGTCAGTGTACGTAGTATTCGCGACTCTTTCTCTCAGAATCGATTCTGACATGATTTGCAGGACATGTTCATTATCGCGACCTCTTCTTGTGCACAGCTGCTTCCTGGGAGACGCGGATACAGCCATCTGTCCGGGTCGCCGAGCAGAGGCCGCAACCGTGAGGATGAGAACCGACTGATAGACCAGCTGGATGAGGAGTGGGACGATTGAGGTCGCTAGGCGTGGGGTTGTATCATAAGCATTTGAGCATCAACTTTCCCTTGATTTACACAGATTGCGATTGCGTGTTGGAGCTGCGGGATTCTTTTCAGGGGATGTAAGTGAGTCGCAGGCAACCACCCTAGATACCCCGTGTGAAGACTGCATAGACGATTCATGATGTTCGCGCAAGTAGGGTGCTGTCTGCTCGATTTTCTTTTGTGTCACGCAGTGCTGGCTACACTTGGCGGCGCTCGATTTGGTGCCCCGGAATCACGTCCGGATGTATTGAAAACCACGGGGGCGGGTATGGTGTAAAAGCCCTGTCTGGCGATGATGCTACCTTACTCGTACGATTCTCTCGGATATAGGGCGAGCTTGACAGGAAAATGGCGCAGAAATATGTTTATTGAGCCAATGGTGGTGCAGTGTGCTCCCGAGATGCGTCTGCGTTCAGGTCCGAGTTGAAGTTTGGCTCCCGGAGATTTCACGACGTTCGTTCGGAGACCGAAACCGGGGCGGGATGATGCCCCGCTACCGCCCCTCTTTCCAGCGTGATGTCACGGCGGGTACAGCCCGCAACGTCGGGCGACACTGTTACGACCCTCAACTCCGAGTGAATCCTGGATTCCTTCTCACTTTGTTCTCTCCAAAGCTGAATCCCACGATATCAGAAGTGAGACCAAAGCAATCACAATGGCATCCAACAAGTACACTCTGGCCACGCGCCTCACCGTGAGTTCTCACCTCTCACCCCGAATGCTACCATGATACCATCCATATCATCCAAGGCCACGTCACTCCGGGCACACCAGCTAACAGACACCAAAGCTCGCAAATGGCAAGTCTATCCCCCAGATTCAGCTGGGTCTTTACTGCATGTCCGGCCGCGAAGCCACAAAATCTATCCCATGGGCCCTGACCGCCGGCTACCGCGGTTTCGACTGCGCGCAAATGTACAACAACGAAGCGGAATCAGGTAAAGCAATTGCCGATTTCCTTGCCAGCCCTCAAAACACGCAGGGTTTGAAGCGCGAGGACATTTTTTACACGAGCAAGCTGGCGAGCAGCAGTACCTCGTACGACGCCGTTCGCAAGTCGATCAAGGAGTCTGTTGAGGTTGCCGGGCTGGGGTACATTGATTTGTTTTTGCTGCATAGTCCGTATGGTGGCAAGGAGGCTCGGTTGACGAGTTGGAAGGCGATTGAGGATGCGATTGATGCTGGGGAGGTGAAGATGGGTGGCGTTAGCAATTACGGTGCTGCTCATGTGAGTTTGCTCAGACTTTCGAGAGTTCTGCTGGGGCGTTCCTGGAACCCAAGAGACGCTGACAAGATTCACAGATTGAAGAGCTGATGGCCTCGAAGCCTCGCATCGCCCCCGTCATCAATCAGATCGAGGTTCACCCCTTCAACACGCAGACTCGCATCAGAGAGACCTGCGCCAAGCACAACATTGCCATCGAGGCCTACGCGCCACTAGCCCGCGGCATGCGCATGAAGCACCCCAAGATCCTGGACCTGGCAAAGCAGTATGGCTGCACTCCTGCCCAGCTGTTTGTTCGGTGAGCAATCGCCCTTGATCCCAACCTCCATGCAGGTTTAGCCTTCAGAGGCTTCTTAGTGGGATCTCAGCAGCTGACTATGGTTCCTCTAGCTGGTCTTTGGACCGTGGCATGATCACTCTTCCCAAGAGTGTGCGCCAGGAGCGTCTCATTGAGAACGCGAACGTGGCCGAGTATGAAATCTCCCAGGAAGATCTGGCTGCATTGGACGCGCTCGATGAGCACTTGGTGACTGATTGGTATGTTGTCGAATGACTTGATGAAAAGTGTGTATGAAAGCGAGGCTAACAAAAGGCGATAGGGACCCGACTGAAGCTCCTTAAGTAAGGTCTATCAGAAAATTGAAATAGAAAAACTCCCAAATCATGATTTCATGCTACCTGTTTGACTGTGACCAATCAACCGTCTGCGACATGCAGATAACTCAGCCTCAGCTGAAGTGGATGAATGCATCACGTGGCTGCAAGCTGCCTAGAAATCTGGACGAATTCCCTCATTTTTCTTGCTTTCTCCCACGCCATCCCTAATGGAACCTTGACACCATCAACATGCGACTCTTAAACACCACGACGCTCAAGGTGACAGAGTTTGTCAGCGAAAGACCCAAGTATGCGATTCTTTCCCATACCTGGGGCTCGGAGGAAATTGTTCTCCAGGATACAGAAGCAAAGGACGAGGCTCCTTCTAGTGTCAAAGCTGGATGGAAAAAGATCAGGGGCGCCTGTGCGCTCGCTCTGGGCGATGGCTTTGACTGGATCTGGATCGACACATGCTGTATTGACAAGTCTTCGAGCTCTGAGCTATCCGAGGCCATCAACTCCATGTTCCGTTGGTACAGGGAAGCTGAGATCTGCTACGCCTACCTTGAAGACGTGCCTCCCTTGAGATACGCTTCGTTCATTGGCTTTCAGGATTTCGCCCTTGATCTGGACTCGAATCATATCATGCCCATCGAAAAGGATCAGAACACCTTCCTCGGAAGCCGATGGTTCACTCGAGGTTGGACTCTCCAAGAGCTTATTGCACCGCAAGGAGTCGAGTTTCACGCTACAGACTGGTCCTTTCTTGGGACGAGGAGTGATCTTTCGGGCATCATTCACAAACATACCATGATCGACAAAGTGGTTCTCGAGTCCAACGGAGCTTAAAGGCTGTCAATGTTTTCTGTTTGGAGTAGAATGCGATGGGCTGCCAACCGAGAGACAACTCGCGTTGAAGACGCGGCTTATTGCCTGTTAGGCATCTTTGAGATCAATATGCCGCTTCTGTATGGAGAGGGCGACCGGGCGTTCCGCCGTCTCCAAGAAGAAATCATCAGAACCATTGAAGATTACAGCCTGATCGCCTGGATGTCGTACGATGCGTCACCCCAGCCACACGAAACACGCTCCTCGGCTCTCGCGTCACATCCAAGAGACTTCGGTACTATGAGATTAGATACGACTTGCGTTCCGAAAGCCGCAATTGAAAGAGACTTTGACCAGGACATGAAGGGAATCAGTGTACAACAACCACCTGGTCCACGCTTGATCAAGCTAGATAAAGAGATGATGGTTAGGTGCATCAAGCCTTACTTTGCAGGCGACTATCGCGATATTAATCATCCACAACTTCAGCCTGATTTCTCGCCGCCTACATTATCTCCGCGTGGTATCTTAATTACCATGTTCACGACCAGGGTACTGAACCCACATCCAGATACCAGGCTCGCGTGGACTACTTTGAACATTCATTTACCAAAAGGCATATACTACCTCTGTGTCAAGCTGTCAAACGAAGAGACTTATATGGACAGGCGACCAGAGCTTTTCGGCGCAATACAAATCGACTCTATTTGGTCCCCATCTCGAGGATAAATACGTTTCAATCAACAACGTTCTACCTCCGCACAACTCCAGAGTACTATGTCCCATCCCCAGGAGAGTCATGGAGCCCCAATGCCGAATATTCCCAGTTGCGGTTTGACAGGCGGAACGAGACTGTATCTACGACCGTCCTTGCTACATACCCTAGTCTGAAAATGAGGATGAAAGGGGACACATATGCCTTCCAGACGGAGCTGCGGGAATTCGGAAGAGTGGCCGCGCTTATGTGCGATCCAATCTGGGCTTTCGTGGTCGAATTAAGAGAATTGAGAGGATATCGGCGGGTGTTACAGTTCGCAGTCTTGTATGGATATAATCCATGGGCAGATTCACCTAATCAAAGGTGGCGCTGTAAAGTCACGCTAGCACCCTCAAGCACCGACTCGTCCATCGGGTTTCATTCTTTATTGTCTTATACTGACGGAGTTGTGTCTCTCGAACAAAGCTCGATCCGCCAATTCCCGTGGGGTATCGTTGGGGCGGTGGTGCATTGGGACAACAAGGAGAATCATAGCTTTGTTGATGTGATGATACATCTAGAGAGTCAGCCTGAACAACCGTTCCAGGTCTGAATCACTATGTGCGCTCATTTTGATCCAAACTGAGGCTGGAGTAATACATCAGATGGAACATTATTAGACACTTTGGGGGCGATGCACATTTCTCATGTCAGTCCGCAACGAGATGATCCACGAACGAAGGTTTCATACTGATACATGATACGATCTCCCTGTGGAAGACAACTAGCTCCCTATTTCTTCATTATTTCTCTCAAAGCATCAACCTCGGCCTCCTTCCTCGCGAGCTGCAGCTTCAGTTTGTCGCGCTCCTCCTCAACACCTTTGAGAGCAGATTCTAGCTCCGCTATGCGATCTCGGCCTTTTTGACGATATCTTCGAGCTGCGACGGTATTGCGTTGTCTTTTGATGGCATTGGCGTTATCTTCATCAATAGAATCAAGATCAGTCGTTGGGGATCCGTTGGCTTTGCGTTTGGCGCCAGATGCGAAGTGATCGCGGCGCTGAGTTGTACGGGCTGGGGGCTGAGTGGGCAGAAGATCGGAAGTGGTGCTCCTTGAAGGAATGGTCGAGGAGAAGATGGACTCGGGGTTATCCGAGGTGATTGGAATGTTTTGCCGAGGGCTTCTATGAGAGGCCGTTTGAGATGGTCGATAGTCTGAGATAAATTAGTAGGACGATGGCCAGGTGAATCAACACCACTTGAACGTACCATGCGGCCCTGGTGATCGAGAAGGCTCGATGCTACCAAGCAAACCCAGAAAGACATCTTCCCGACCTGTGTCCAACGCCTCCAGCGCAGCGATGCTCTCATTCTGGCTACTCGTTTGAGGCAACTCTTCGGATTCAAGTTGTGGATCGAGAGGGATCTGATAGTCTGGAAGCTGGGATCCATCTCCTGAGTCCGTCGTGATGCCCTGCCACCCAAACATGGGGCTCAACGCCTGTGAAGAATCCCACCAGGTAAGCTCGCCAAGGTGGTTCCGGCTCCTTTGGTTGTTGTTCTCTGTAGAATACTGGTCGAGTCCAGCTGCATGTAGGAAATGCGGATGATTGTAGTGTTGCCATGGAGTCAGATTATGAGGCCTCTCTTTGAATGAGAGGCAGAAGTACTTTGACAAAAGATTGGGTTGACTTCCGTCTGGAGACAATCAAGGGAAGTCAAGTCTCCCTGTACGGTGTTGTTAGACGACGGCACGTTGAAACAAGTAACTGGAGAGATTCAAATCAGAAAGGGAGTTGGTTGGGTGGGGAACCGGTCAGCTAGATTAGGACGTGTGGATGAGTCGAGATGGCTCATAATGACGGCTCCTGCGAGCGGCCCTGAGATTGGTCCGTGTAGTACCCAGGAACTTGTAGGCGCCCATTATTTTGGTATAGCTTCGGGCATTAAGGGCAACATCCCGGTAATTATACGAAGTCTGTAAACCGAACCAATTCTCGCAATTGGTGAATATGGATTTCAGTACGATACAACTTAATTTGTGGTTGTTTTCGTGGCTATAGAATTAACATTACGTTTATTTGGTTGATTCTGGTAATGTGCAAAAGTAGATAATGAAATACGGATACTTGGCTGACGACAGATGCGCGCAGCCTTCAACTGTCTTTGTTGTTGCATCGTGCACCCCGCAACCCGGCGCCTAAAACCTATCGCACTCAAGGAAAACCCTCTGGAGACCAATCATACCAGCCCATGTCAACCTCATCAATGACGCCCCACTGCTCAATGAATTGCTTCTTCTTGTCCTCCAAACCTTCAGTGCAAAGAATCTCAAACACAGTTCTCCAGGCGCTGTTGACGGCACCAATGATCCAAGCATGTCCCGAACTCAGCGCCTCGCCCGCGAAGTGCATGTGACCATCGGCAGAGGGCCTCATCAACCACGGAAGCGTGCTGCTGAACTGACCCGGGCCGAAGATGGCAAAGGCGCCGTTGGAGTAGGCAGATCCGTACCAATCGTAGGCGTGGTATCCCTCAAATTGCGATAGGAGAAACTCGTGGGATACGCCATTGAGCTCTGCCAGGTTCCTCAGGGTCAAGTCAACCATGACGTCGATGCTTTCTGGTTGGTAAGGCGCCTGCTGCTTTTCGTTGTGCGGGTTCATGTATGAGCCTAGTCTGGAGGCGTCCTGGCCCCAGACGTAGCTGGCGATCATGGTTCCAGGGGCACCTGGGACATCGATGCCGTAGGAGGGGTAGACACAGCGGCGGATGGGAAGGTCGGTGAAGGATTGGCCACCCTTGAAAGGGCCGGTTGCGAGGTTTTCCCACCTGTAATTGGCACATTAGTCGAAACTCCGAGTTTGATGCTAAGGCTGAAATCATCTTACCAGCGAGTCTTGAACTTGAACCCAATCTTTGTTGAAGGATCGTAGCTGAAGTACAGAGTTAGCCACATGGGTTTCGAAGCAATCTGGCTGTAGGCAGGTAAGTGGACTTACTTGAGAGAACGGATGGCATGGTTTTCGAAATAGTTCAGGTCTAGCTCGGTCATGTTGATAGCCTGGAGGGCACCCAACGGAACAGTCGAGATGACATGGGCGTAGTCGTACTCCTTAGTGCCGTTGACGACGATCTTCAAGGAGCCATTGGCATTCTTCTTGATGTCGGAGACCCTATTGTGCAGAACGGGCTTGTTCTTCACAATCAGATTCATGCCCTTGGTCAACATGTCCATGCCGCCGTTGATCAGCGACCAGTTGTCAACGTCTGCACTGTCAAAGATCCACTGCTCTAGGACGGCTTGAGACATGGAGTACATGTCGTAGTGACCTGTGGCATCGTTGATTGTCTCCATCCAGTCGATCTCGGTGTTGGTAAAGCCCTGGTCCAAGAGGAACTCCCGGACCGTCATGGAATCATACTTCATGAGGAGGTTGAAACCTGTGTCAAAGTTGGCTGAAAGCGCTGTCGTCATGGTGCTGACTTGAGCCTTCCACACATTGTACGCAGACTGCGTGTTAAAGGTCGAGTTGAAGACCGGAACGTCGTACTTAGCAGGGGAGGCAGAATTTGGGTCTTGGAGAAGAGAGGTGATGCCATTGAATCGTCTGAAAGTGTTGTCCGTCCTGAATATGTAATGTTTCTTGACAACCTGGTCGCGTTCGGATACCCTCGCGTTGATGTAGGGAATGAGACTCCATGAGTCGTTCCCAATGATGCGGCTCATGTAAGGCATCGGAGGGAAGCGCATGGCGCCGACGTCCTGGAGTGCTCGTGTCAGCTAGGCAATGGTGCGTTGTATTGCGACAACAACCCACGTAGTAGTCATAATAGGCAGGGTCTGCAGGAGTTGACTTATCCCAAGCCTCTTGATCGAAATGGTAGGTGTAGATTCTCCCGCCAATGCGTCCGGAAACCTCGTGAATATCGTAGTCAATTCCGAGAGAGTCAAGAAGAATTGCAGCGTACAGTCCAGCAGCTCCACCGCCAATGATGCCGACCTTCAGGGGGACATCCTTCGGCGTCGGTACTCTACTATGGTTGCTGTAGTTAGACTCGTCCACAACCTTGCGGAAGAAAGCTGCGCGCGGATTCTTGGCGGCAAGCTCGCCATCGTTGCAAATATTCCTTTCTTCGAGCTGGACTGGCTCGGATTCCGGGGCAGGTAAAGCGAATGACTGTGCCAACAAAAGGGCGGTAACGAGCGTACGTGTGCTAAAGAGCGACATTCTCCCGGCGGTAAAGACTGTGTGATAGCCAGCGCGGCTGACAAGTGTGGATCTGGCCTCTGCCTTGCTTGGTGACACAAGTGGCAACGACATTGATGGCGGGATCAACATCTCCATTTATAGCGATGGTCGTTGATCGACATCTTGGTTGCATTGTTTACACTTGAATAACATGGACCAGCATTTCGGCCATGTCTACAGAATGCCCACTTCGCTCCCCAGAGTCTTGGGCCATTTGGGGCTTGCATATCTTTAGACTTAGGTCTTGCTGAGTTCCAGTTCTCATTCCTCTTTCCTGCTCCTAAATCTCGACACGTGGTTTGGACCCCTCTGCTCTGGAATGCGGCTCAGGCCCAGGACGGTCTCCGCAAACGCGCCATTCTTCCGAGCTGCTGGAGGCGCACGGCATGGGCTTCATTTCCTAGCATACCTCTGAGCAGTTAAGCTGAGAGGGCTGAGTATCACATATCTTTCAGCAGCCACATCAAATCTCCTCCCTTCAGGTGGAGAGTCAGAAAGGGTATAGCAGCGCAGTTTTGATCCGGGTAGGTGGAATATGAAGCGTGAAGGAGGAATAACCTTCGAAATCAGTCTGCATGGGTATTAGTACTCGGTGAACAAAAAAACGCCCCTTGTTTCTCAGACAACAGAACCGACTAACGTTGAACTCCAATATTGAACGATGTCTCAAATAGTAAGAAATGCTCCCTTCGACGAGAAAGTCCTCTGTTTTCGTCTTCAGTGGATTTTTTATTCTTTGGCTTAAGAATAGGAAATCAAAACACTGCTTTTGCGCCAGGTGGCTTTATAATCATTTTCGGATATAAGGGCTAAATGAAGAGACCGGTGGGATCCCGTCGCTATATGGATTGTGCACAGGTCGTGTAGGTACCCAGACTACTTTCAGTGTAGCTCGCTGTTCTCTGATGTGTAATATAGACTCGTTACGGATACATATCGTATCTCCTAGAAGCTCTCAATCGTATTTTGCATATGTGTCCAAAAAGAGACAGCATAGGTTGTTCCTGTGTGGGATCGGTCAAGCGACTTGTTCACTTGCCAATCAAAATATCCGTGTCCGTATCTGTCCCGACCCATGCGTGCGCCTTTGAAATACCATGCTACTATTGCCTGATGAACTTAGCGGCAAACCCAAGACATTTAGCTGCCGAGAGGAGGGTACAGTGCCGAGTCTAAATGGATCGCCTCATCACTCAGCAGCCGGAACCTTCTTTGTTAGTATTGCACACAAAGCCACCACTGTCATTCGGAAGCAAAATGAGTCCGGAAGCACTTTGTTGCCGAGAAGAGGCGGTGGGGGCGCCGGGGCATAGAGGGGTCAGGTCGGCGCCTTAGCAATGCCCGCTCGCCGGGAGGAGCCGTTACTCCAGACGGCAGAGACGCTGATTGATAATACTGAGTGCGAAACCGTGGTGGATCTTGCGTGATGCATACACAATCGTGCGAGATCTCCGGTTATTGCGCGATAGCTCGGTGGAGGCGGGGTGAAGCTTGGAGACAGCTGTCCACCAGCAAAGCATATAAGCAGGTTGCACCCAACCTCCAAGCAACAAGGCAGATATCAAGTCACTCACAGCTAACAAGGTAAAAACTCATAAACAATTTTCAACTTTCCAATCCTTCAACTCCAACACAATCCTCAACCAAATTCAAGAGTCAACATGTCTGTCACTAAGGTCGCTGTTGTCGGAGTAAGTTCACATATAATGTCACTTAACGTTCCGACACTAATTCCGGTAGGGTTCCGGAAACCTTGGCCCCAGCATCGTCCGTGGCCTCATTGACGCCGGTTTTGAAGTCACAGCAGTCTCGAGAAAGGAGTCCAGCGCAACATTCTCCGCTGAGGCCACTGTGAAGAAGATCGACCTTTCCTCAGTCGAAGCTGTCACAGAAGTTTTCAAGGGCCAAGACGCTGTGGTCTCAGTCGTTGGAAATGCTGGATTCGGGAGTCAAAAGACCCTCGCCGACGCTGCTGTTGCCGCTCAAGTGAAGCGCTTCATTCCATCAGAATTTGGAATCAACACCCGCAAGGCTCGCGGCACTAAGATTGGCGGCATCTTGACCCCTAAGATTGAGTTTGTTGACTATTTGATCGAGCTTTCTGAGAAGAACAGCTCGTTCACGTGGACTGGTATTTCTACTGGACCCTTCTTCGATTGGGTAAGCCAACAATCGCTTTCTCCCATTCTTACATGTCAACAGCGTGCTGACCGAACATAGGACTTCAGTGGAGGCCTTCTGGGCTTCGATGTCAAGAACAAGGCTATCAGAATCTTTGACTCTGGAAATGAACCTGTTTCACCATCATCTCTTCCTTTTATCGGAAAGTCCGTTGCTGGCGTGCTCAAGAACACCGAGGCGACCGCCAACAAGTACATTGACGTTGCTTCCTTCACCACTACTCAACGCGAGTTGCTCAAGGTTGTTGAGGAGTTGACTGGCTCTACTTTCACCGTCAGCAACGTCAAGACCGCCGACCTGGAGAAGATCGCGGACGAGAAGCTGTCCAAGGGTGACTTCAGCGCCTTTATCGACTTGCTGCAGCAGTACAGCTTTGCTGATGGCAACGACAATGCCACCAAGGACAATGCGGCGATTAAGTTGTTGGGTCTGCAGGAGGAAGACCTCAAGGCTGAGACCAAGAAGGCTCTGGCCGCATGGAAGTAAAGATTTATGAATAACGAAATTAAGCAGATATTAAAACAATAGAGGCTATGTCCCTATCAAGTATACTTGTCTCGCTCGCCTGTTGCGGAAGCTTGAACATTGACTCTGTGAGGCATGATTATCTTGGTGGTAAAGACAAAAGGGGCGGTGATATTTCGGGCGCCGCGTCGCCGCGTCGCCGTAGGAACTAATGTTCAACATCCGACGGAAGGAGAATGATAGTAATTAGGTACTATAAGAACCTAGAACAGCCTGAGACGCTGAGGAGAGTTCAACCGACGTAAATGAGCAAAGTCTGAGACCGCCCATACGTTCCACATGCGATTCCCAATGTCCTTTCGTCTGATGGCAATGCAGCCGAAGCCGCAGATAAACTCAATCAAGTCGAGCTATGCCGTCGCCACTCCAATCGTTCGCTGGCCAAACGGCACTTCCTTTTCGGGAATCGCCCATCCCAGGCTCCGTCTAAACTCTGTCAAGAAGCTTGCACATACTTATGATTTCTCAACTTTGCCGTGCGCCCACAAGCGGTGTGCTTGCGTGCATCATTAAGTTCGCTTGCTCCGCAAATTCTTCAACGTCATGGTTGTGGGCGATGGTGCTTTAGTCCCTCAATATCCTACTTGCACTGATGAACTCGTAAACTTGCCTAGCCCTATTCCATCACCGACAACATCTTGCGAACATGCCTATCGAGATTCGGACTGCACTCGAGAGCGATCTAAGGCGGTGTGCAGAGGTCGGGCACGTAGCTTTTGGCAAAAGCCCTTTCACTAAAATTATGTTCCCCGGTCACGTCCCGAAAGATGGGTTCTTAGGGCTTCGTACAACCGACTTGATCAGGCAGCTTCGAGACGACCCGACCGTTCGGATGTTCGTGGCAGTAGACACGGAGCGAAGAGGTGATTGCGCAATCGTTGGGTTTGCCAAATGGCATGTCTACGAACATGGCATGCCTTTGAGCTCGGGAAAGCTGCATTCTTGGGGCAAAAGTTGTAATGAGGAGGCTTGCAGCTTGGTGTTTGGAGGTGTGGGATTAATGAGAGACCGTCTAATGGCCTACAAGCCGTGCGTTTGTGAGTTGTCCTCTTAGATCTTCAAGTCTGAAGAGTACTAGCTCCCCTAACGCTAAGTGATGGCAGACCTTCATATTTTAGTGACAGAACCCCAGTATCAACATCGCGGCGTGGGGCAACATCTCCTCGCCTTCGGAATACAGGAATCACTCCGGTTAGAGGTTCCGATATATCTTGAGGCAACGGAAGCTGGCCACTCTCTTTACCAAAAAGTCGGCTTTGACGATATCGAAGTACATCGCGCTGACTTGACGAAGTTTGGGGAGAACCGTCCTCACATGATTTGGGGAATGATCCGAGAACCCTACTCCTGGTTTCCCTGAACGACTTGCATATTTGAAAGTTCAGCATTGTTTAGTGAGAAGTAAATAAGGGAGAAATGTGGAACGAGATGAAATCTATTGCAAACAACCGTCTATCTTTTAACGCCATGCTATGCTACCATGTTCCTATCCCGCCTTATACAATGCGATGCTCCATGATCACATCCAGTGAATCCGAATGTTACTGTTTCCTTAGGAAGTGTAACCGGCAGCACGGTCAGCAGCAGTAGCCTGCGCCATCTTCTCTGTCCCCACAGAAACAGTGGGAATCCAGCCCTGAGGGTTAACATCAGTGCCAGTAGTAGCGATGCTGTCACCGGTAGAGTTGACACCGATGGTAATGTAGCCAACAAGGCCATCCTCAACGCTGTCTCCGAGAAGAGAGACGCTGATGAAGGGGCTGTAGCCGTCTTCGCTAGCGCTGGATAGAACAGAGTCCTCGGCATTGGTGGTGCGGTTCAGGGTCTCGAGGTGGGCGGAGTAGGGGCTAACGGCGTACACCTGGGAAAGGAGGTCCTCCTCGAAGAAGAGCTGTCCAACATGCTGAAGAGCGCTCTGGCTGAAACCAACACCGTCGGAGGCATTGGCTTGAACAGCCACGTGGATGTGGGTAGAGCGAGAAGTGTAGTAGCCGGGGAACTTGGTAAGAAACTCGATCATACCAGCCTCATCGGAGACCTGAATGCCACGGAGGAAAGTTTCATCATCGGTAGTGCCATCAGATCGCTTGCTCCAGCCATCAAGTAACTCAGAGGTGTCGGGGTCAATGCCAGTGAAGGAAGCGTATGAGCCAGTCGCATTGCAGGCCCAGATAGAGGCCGAGGCACCCTCGAGCGGCTCGCAGGTCTCGACATCAATGATTCCGATATCAAGGTAGAAGTCAATGCCTGACTGGGTTTCGCGGAGGTCGTGGCGGACCAACTCGCCGTCCACACCATAGGGGCCAAAAATGGTCTCAGGGGCCAGGAGGCAGGTGTTGTTCTGGATGCTGGTGTATTGAAGAGTGTTGCGCTTGGACATGCCGTGGACGTTGGGAAGAATATCGCCATTCTCGACGCGGCGCTCATAGAGGCGCTGAGAGCGCTTGGCAATGATTTCAGCTTTGCGCTTCTCAATTGCAGCAGCGCACTTATTGGTTGAACGGCCAGCGAGAGCTGCCTCTTTCTTTGCGTTCTCCTTGGTCAGCTTCTCAGGGTGAGCAATGACCTCGGTGGCGGCCAAAGAGAGAGCAGCAAGAGTGAGAGTAGTAAACTTCATCTTGTCGTATACGGTGCATGTAACTTAACGCCAGGACGTGGTGAGAGAGAGAAAGAGAGAGAGATTTCGATGTAAGTGAGTGGGAAAGTTTGGAAAGTAGTCTTAGTGAAGGTCTGAATGAGGTCTTGTTGCTGCTTCTGATGATTTAAAATCTCCTTCATTGCGGTAACTGCAGCTTTGCTTTATACGTGTGTCTTCACTCTGAAGTTCAACATGATTTTCTCGTTACCCACAATTTGGCATCCCCTTCCGCATGAGCTCCCATTACGACTACTCTGCGCCTCGACTAGGCCGTCCCGATAGAGTGGGTGTAGGATGGAGAACCAGGATCCGTATTCGTAATCCCTCGGTTCTGGTTGAACAGGCTCATCTGGTCTACTGGATTTTGCACCTAACGTTCCAGGAATAGAGTGTGGTCGTAGCTTAGCATGAGAAAGTTACGTGACTTATCCGTACATCCCCGGGATTCAAGAGGGAGGAAGGCAAGTTTTCTGCCCGGAACGTGGGTGATGTTGCGCTCGGGAGGTGGGAGGACAGGCCCACAATACCCGCTTCGTCCGACTCAGCCTACCGGGCCGCCTCCCTACTCTTACTGACACCGAGGCTCTGGCCCGGATTATCCCACCGGACGTCCTGTCACTGGGTGTTGGCGTGTATGTCAACGTCTCTACGGACCTCGCGAGACCTCTCTGACCGGGTTCTAGAATAAAACGCCCCTCCCGCATAGAACATTAAAGGAGGCGCGGATGGGATGAACACGACGACTCATGAACCAAACATCCGATAGCTTACGTCGCATCCAACCCCAAGGCTGACTTGAGGAATATGGCAGCTTTCATCGTGGTTCTAATTGGATATCTTTGTTTCTTGTCATCCGACAGGTCAAGTCATGAAGTAGGGGTCAACCGTGCCGGTAGACGTAGATAATCTCAACGCACTGCTTGATAAAAGTCTTTTTCAATGTGGCAATTCTGCATTCCGAGAAACTCGGGAATAAGCCACGCCGTTTGTTTTGGCGGAAGAATGCCTAACATATCTTCCATGTCCTGATCTTGCGTTGACTGACATACATGTATATGAATGATTGGCCTCGTCTCAATGCGCAACCTGCAAATATTTGAAAGTATTAATTAGTAAGGGAAGGGAGGTAGTTGGTTCATTGTGCGAAGACTTCAAAATATTGTGACCCTCTGGTCGCTTCGGTCACTCCGCAATACCCACCTTTCGGGCTCCCCCGAAAATGAAAATCAAGTAGAAGATCGCCGATTATTTATCTCCCGTACATGTGTTACCACAATTAATACACAATATCTTTGTCACAATGTGGCCCAATAGAGTCACCTCGAGTATGGGCTACGTGTGCAATGTTCTAGAGTCAGCGATTTTGGATCTACGATGAGAACTATCGAGAGTTGTGCGATGAAGACATTCAACCGTCGACTGTGAGTTTGGTTTTCATAGCTTCTTCGCATTATCTAGATGGTCTGCAGGTGGTGGTATCCCGCACGACATGAGTAGATACATCACATGCGAAATAACTTGGGGATGTCGTGGCAAAGTTACTGTCTCAATTGACACTGACACCAGGCCTTTCCATCTCACGGAATGGTGGCGAAAAACGAAGTACCAAGTTTGAAGATGAACGGAAGGTAATAAATACAATTTTGTTTCCAGTATTGCGGTCCCGGCATACATGATCTATCACCCTATCCCGAACCCCCCACGTACCGTTTCGGTTGGTCACCTGGCAAGGATCATGAAACTTGGGCGGGCTCACCATCAACCACATATAGAGCTCTGATATATCATTATATCGATGCCGTCAGCTGCCAAACATAGATCCGTTGGTCGATAATCGCACGAAGGCTGATAGTAAACGGGAAATGAACATGGGATTTTTGAGTGAAAAACTCCTGAAAGATACATCAGAGACACTGAACATCTCCGCAGTTGTGCTATCATTGCAGGAAGTGCTTTCACTGCTAGCAAATTTAAGCCTAAAGAGCTGAGCGAGATATGGCGACTGAATTATGTAGCAAGAAGTGATTCAGTAACATGAGCCTAGAAGCAGCCGCCTGGAATACCACATCTCGTTTGCGTCAGCCCAACAATTTTCGAGACACCACGTCGGCAAACAGTGTTGATCTAGGCCTCATAACCTGAGTCAAACGACCAACCCGTCACTGTAGATTGGGGAAGCCATTCACTCGTTGTTAAAGATTGACAATGGCATTCTGAAACCGGAAAGCTTGCAGACATCTGCCTGTATAGCTTCAGGCTTCAGGTCTTACGAAATATGTCTGTCCTTAATGCTGGAAATAATGCTGTTATTTGCGTAAGAAGTTGCAAAAAAATACCTCCTGATTCAGTGATTAATATAGCAGAGACTTTTGCCAGAGTCTGAACTGTTTTCTCAAGCGAAACAATGTGTTTTGTTCAATCAAGATCTAGATATCCTCGAGAAACGTCACAAAGGTTTAGTGCTCCGGAAAACCACTCGAGATGTTCATGGGTCAAGTCTTGAGAAGTTTCTGTAGCCAATTGAAAGGAGCATTGCTAAATGTGGACTTCAAACCCCCATGCCCAACCAAAGACACCTCGACAGCCGCCGATATTGACCAGAGACAGGAGACTCTGGAAGGTTTTGGTCTTAGCGACTAGCTCATTATCAATACCTCAGTGCCCATGAAGATCTTGACCCTTAAATGATGGAACACTAGCTCTAGTGATCTTTCGATTTCACTCACAGATCTTGTAACACGATCACAGAAGAGTCCCGGCAAGCTCTTCAGGTGAGCATCACCCGTGTGCGATGCTGACATCTTTGGAACTATTGAAATCGACTAATACAACTGTGTACTTTTCGTCGGATAAGTTCAAGGTGGTATGAGCAATAATCATCGAAAACGGATTCTAAATGGGGCTTCTTTTGCCGATGTTGACTACAACTAACTCCAGTTCAATTGAGCAACGGTCTCCAAGCGCTAGAATGCAGACTTTGACCACGACCTATTCTTGATCATCTTTGATTTATTTTCCTTGTTCGCCCAATTGGAGAGTGCAATTGTTTCCCTGGTTAAAGAAATGACTCTCTTGATGCTCGAAGTGAGTTACTGAAAAGAGCTCCTGTCCTCAAGCTTTGTTTTGGACACCTGCTGAACAATTGATGGCTTAGAAATTGTGCCTCGACCTCGTATTTCTTTCTTGAAGATACTTATCTAGACGCATCGTCAACTATATATTTCGGCAGGGATCCGAAGCTAGGGTGTGTGTGATTTGACTGCAACGTCCACATATGCCAGCACGAGAAAAAATCGCATTCAGGCCTCAATCGATCTTATTCTTTGCAGTGCACGTTCACTTCCATCATGTCGTCAAACCACCCCATTGCTCCATCGTCGATGTATTTCGAATCACTCAGAAGGACTTTAACGGCAAATCCCAGCTTATGGAACGGACTGACACTTGAGTGCGCAATCTGCAGAGACCGTATGAACCTTGTTGGAGACGGTTTACCTTCCTCAGAGAATATTGGTTCTGATGGAGTCAGTCGTTTGCATCAAGTTCATGGTCATCAAAACTTTGCGAATCTGCACCCACGTTCGCCCAAGAATGCCATCGTCCTACCGTGCGCTCACATATTCTGCAAAGGTTGCTTGTTCATAGTCTGTTACTCAGATTACGGTCTCCAAGACTTCCTGCCCACTAATGTGTACCCAAGACCCGATCCAGTCTGTCCAGCTTGTCGAATCAAACTGGTCTACCCAGATTGCGAATTTCGTTGTCGTTTTCCTGGCATACCATTCCCACGCTCGAGCCAAGCAATGAATATCTTCCCCCCAACACTCCAAGGTGGTATCACGCAAGGTTCACGTAGATGCAACTCATGTCGGATTATCGCAGCCTGGTATGACTTGCAGGACCGCGTTGACCGCGTGATGGAAGCCTCTATGCCTTATGACAATTGGATCATTACCGTTATGCCTACTCGTATTGCGGGCCAAGCCTGCTTATGCCGCACTGAGGTGTACTTGGAACGGACATTTGGAGAACGACTCGCCCAAACCGCGCGCCATTTGCGCATCGATACTGGGTTATGGCCTTGGTCAGGACCGCAGGTTTCTGATCAACTGAAATTTGTTCTGAGATGGCGGACGTGAGATTGAAGGATAGGTAAATGTAGACAGAGCGGAAAGCTAATACTTCCATGTTCTCGCGATCTTTGAATAGAGTCATAAGATTATTTCATTTCTGATCAAGGGAATTTCCCACAAACGAACGAGTTCGGTTTCAAGTCATGCAATAACACCCTCTCCGGTGATCCATGCACAGAGAAAAGCTGGCACCGTTGAATGCTATGTTTATACTAAAGAGGCGTCATGTTTGTTGTACGGTGTGTAAGACAATGAGCCTTCGTGTCTCTTCAACGGTGTTCCGATGTTTGCACGACGATGGTCCGACCGAATGTCAAAGCGCTTTTTGGAGACTCCGTATCCGCTTGCCAACCAAATAATAGTATTCAGTGAGCTGGATGCCTGACCGACAACTGCACGCACAAGGTTTATGTCGAGAAACATTGCACCGCATATCGACGCCTTATGCGCCAGTGGACCAAAGAGGGCAACATTGCCCAACTAGGTCCCACTGGTGGCCGTTTTCAAGCTTCGCGGCTTGCGCAACCGGGGATCGGAGGGGTTGCCGTGAAGCGAGAAATGGGCGTATGACTGGCCAGTGACGTCTCCGTGTGAGCCTAGCACGCCGATCAAAATTGTGGGAGAATCTCACTTTGCGGGGTTCATTCGTGGGCGGGAGGAAATTTCTTGAGACCCGAGACTAACACGAATAGGTATTCGCAGGTCATCACTTGTCAACGATCATATTTCCCCGATGACGGTTCACCAACAGGGTCCTCTGTTTCTCAAAATACCAGTCAAAGAACATTATACGAGGAGCTCAGCCACGACCGACAGTCCCGACAAAGCGGTCTGGAGGGATGCTGGTGACACTGCGCGGCCGTATGTCCGAAAGCTTTGTTTGCTGCAGGATTCGGGTGCGTACAGACGAGTAAGACCTATGTAAGACCCAAGTCTTCGTCATGTTGATCGTTCGTATTTCCGGAAGAGCACACTCGTGGTCAGGGTTGGCCGATGCAGGAAAGCAAACGCATGATCACGAAGACGTGCCGGAAGATCAACAAATTCTGTGAAAGACATCAAGAAGTTCGGACATGGTCAGAATTGGTATAAATCCCGCTGAGGTGTCCTCTCCCACTATTCCGGTTCTCATCTCCTCATCATTCCAATCATTCTCAGCCCTCGGACCGTCCAAACTCCAACTACAGCAACAAAAAACAGACCTCAACGCTGCATACCCGAACTCTATTCCTCTTGAAGCTACATTCAAGACCCTTTGAACCCCTTCCAAAGACCAAAACCCTCTTCATCCGTTCAATCATGCAGTTCCCAATCATCATCGCAACCGCAGCGGCCCTGTTCCTCGGGGCCGAGGCCGGTGCTGTGCCCCGTCAAGACCCCCATATCACCGACTTCCGGATCTGGAGCGAACAGGGGTGCGGAGCGGCCGGTAACCTCGGCGTCTGGACCATCACCAAGTCGCAGACCGACGTGTGCCAGACAACGTTCAACGCACCGGACAATGTCGTTAAGGCCATTCGCCTAAGCAGCCTTACAGAGGGCTGTGAGAGTAAGACCCTGATCAACCGTCTATCATGAAGCAAATGACTAATTCTAGCCAAGTGACTGCCTACCCTACCGCCGATTGTGGAGAGGGAGGTCGCCAAGTCGGCGTCCAGACTTGCGAGGAGTGGAGCGATGTCGCCGACAACTTCTTGAGCTTCAAGGTCACCTGCTCTTAGCCTTTCCCGCCACTTATGGGGACCTTCGCATTTTCTGGAGTTTTTTGATTTTGTTTGACGATTTGGGACCGGAGAAAACGGTGCATGGATGCATGAGTTGGAGTTGAATGCAGACACAGCATACTTTATGGACCACCCCTTTGGAATCACGACTGACAATAACGACGCCAATAACTAGGCTTGGCATGATAATGATAATAAACTCCTTAGATACTACTTTCTAAGTAATCGGACACGATCATTGATCTATAAATAAATCCCGACGTGGCTTTCGCGTAAGGAATCAGAAATGATGGCCAAATTCTCTAGGTCTAGCGTACACATCATCTCAACGAGCAGTCAAGTGAGACATCTAAGATACATTCCCAGTAGAAATGAATAGGCATGGGCTAGAGTTTGCGTCTAGGTAAGGTAAACCTCCGGAGAAAGCACGTGGTTTGCATAGTGGTGGACATGCTCTTGATGGTCCCCGAACGACACAATTACCTACGAATACTCGAGAGTAGGTTATCGGCGATCACACTCGGATCAGTGTTGTCGTTATTTCAAATCGAAATTCCCATGAAGAAATGCTCCAAGGTTCCTGAAAGCACAATTGTCATAGCTTGGACCCTTGAACGTGGAGACGGCTCTTAGTAGTTTGGCGCCTGTCCTAGAACGGGGTGAGTCTTGAATGCATGATGTCAAGAAAGCCATAGTATCGGCACTAGCGGCACTTCATCGTCATTGCGCCCGGGTGCCCACCTCGAGCTACATATCTTTGAGATTTCCCAGATTATGATACCAGACTTCATCACTCGATTCTTTGAACATTGAGTTAAATTCCCTCTCGGTGCTTACTATATCGAACCTGCAATCATCGCAATCATGAGCCAACCAATTGGACTGACAACGATCCCTAGGCTGCTGCGTGAGTGCTAGACGCCTAATATTAGCCTTGAATATGTCCGCTTGAAAGCTAACTTGCATCCTTGGGTAGCTGTCACGGGCACGTTCGCGCTCCCATTCACGATCTACTACGCATTCCTTAGCCTTCGCGTCGTCAACGAGCGTCTGAAATCTAAGCAATACTTGGGCGACAACTCCTCAAAGCCTGGAGCGGACCCCGAATCATACAAGGCCAATGCACTCTATCTTGCTGGCCGATCGCATGTCAATTATATCGAAAACGTGCCGCTTGCTTTCATCCTTGCTTCACTGATCGAGGTCAATGGAGGAAACCGCAAGACACTGAGCTGGCTGCTCGGGAGCTTCTTTGCCTTCCGTGTGCTACATGCTGAGCTTGGAATCATGAAGCCCGAAGGCATGGGCAAGGGCAGACCCATCGGCTATTTCGGCAGCATCGGTGTTCTCGGTGCTTTGGCAGGCTACGGGGCTTTCTTGGTCAAGGGATATTGGGGATACTAGTTGACCTACCTCTCAATACATCGAAATTGTAGACAGGTTGAAGATAAGCAAAGACGAGAAGGTCCAAAAGCGAATCGTTCAACCCACTTACCCTGTCAAGCTGCGAGGAGTGCCAATGTGCACTGCAGCTTTCTTCCTACTATTGCGGGGCTAAGAGAGATTGTGTGGACTTCAGAACCAGGGATTTAAGGATCTATGAATGCCCGCGAGTGTAGCCACTTATTAAATTTACTTGGGTTCATCGGCTGAAAGCATTAAGTCCACACCAGTCAGCATCTGTAATCAAGTCTCCAGTCCATTGCTGGGCATCGGTGTTCTCAACCATTAGGCAGGGTACCGGGACAGTTGATCGCAACTCTTGGTGGGAGCATCGCTTGAGGGCCTGCATAAGGTCGCTTCGCTATTTCCCCGCCTGCAATTTATTAGACGCTTACGTCGTTGGACCTCACCCAAACCTTAATCACAACAGTCTCGCATGATTCGCTATTTCATTACAATGTCCCTGGATTAACGGCAAAAACACCTCCACGAAGCCCAATTAGTGTACTATCTACTCCCGGCTCTTGGCGCCGAGCTTGGTCGGGTTCCTTGCGCTCTCCACGGGTGATCGTAGAATGATTCAGGTACGGAGTATTAAAGCCGTCAAAGATCGCTCTGAAATAGTACTTCTGCTTCTCGGAGGCTTTCTCGTACATATTCTGACCCATCTTGCCTGCAATGCACTTCTCTAAGATTGTCCTGCTTTTCGCGCCTCTGATGGCCATGGCTAGCCCTGTCACCTTGGAAACAAGACAGGACAACACTTGCTGCTATCAAACCGAGGTGAGGAACGATCCATCCGATCTGTCGGACGCCAGCTCGCTAACGCTTACACTGCCCAGGATGTGAACGCCCTCATCTTTGTGACCAAAGGCCAGTCATCTCAGACTCTTGACACCCTTAACTGGTGCTATCTCCAGGTTGACCGGTATGCGGATTCTCCGAATACTTTTATCTATTAACTGCAATCTGATTCTTCGGTGCTAGCGACGCGACTGATCCAGACAATTGCGAGAAGGCGACGCGATCGTACTGGGCTGGGTACTGCCCCTCGGATGGCACAAAGGTTATCCCGTGCCCCTAGGTGCCGTAGTTCGTGAAGTCTGCGCCACGCAGACGATATGCCATACGGTGTATGTTAGCAAGTTGTAGGCAGTTGAGCGAAGCTGCCAATGAAGTTATGAGTTTGATCATAGCCTTGAATAGCTGCTTACGTTCCAAGAACTCGGGTCCTCGGTCCTTCAATGAACCCACTCTCTCAATCAGCCCTACACCATAATGAAACTTGTCTCTGTTCGCGATTTAAGTACAAGGGCTCCGCCGGCCTTCGCTATCGCTACCAGTCTACCAGACCACTCGGGCGATTATTCTGGGATGATAGCGTCAAGGCTAGGCTCAGCTCGGCTGACATGGCAGGGGACCATCCTCGTTCCCGTGCTTAAACTCAACACGACCAAATGTTACCAGTCTTGATTGGCTAGTATGACAAGCATCACCGTGGCTTGAGAACCACGAGGACAATAACTCCGCCCCTCCTGCCTCCTTCGGTGTCAGCCTAAACGCTCACCGTAGGCCTCCCCGATAATAGCTCAACGCGCACGGCGCAGCAGCCGGGAGTATCTGGCTCCGCCATGCAGCTTTCTACTTAAGCTTGTGCGCGCCATCTTTCCCAGGTTTTGCATTGTTCTTAACTAAATTCTCCAGCATTTCAACGTCCGTACACACCCAAGCCAACAAACCTACATAACTTGACCGTACACGTAAAGATCCGTAATCGACGATAAACCCGAAAATCCCGCGACAAACCAAGACCTTCTGCGTTACATAGTAAATACACCATGCGCAATCCTTTCAAGCCAAGACAGGCGCCTTCTCAAAGCTGGGCAGGGAGACCGAGAGCTCTGTCAGCCGATGACCCAGTCTTTAAAGACCTCGACGATGATGAACGGAAGGGTATCGAGAGCAACTGTAGTAGCCAACAACAAAAGACGTCACAAGAATCAAACAGAGTGCCGCTGAAGCCTTCTGGGTCGGATAGCGCCGTCTCTGTGGGAAGCGGATCATCTTCTCATCACAGCGTCAGCACTGATATCGGTCAAGGCTATGCCGCAATCGCAGGAGCTTTCTCTGGCACCGACCACTCTGGACATTGATCGGGGAAGAAGGCGTTGTGCTCTTCTCGAATTCTCTGGCGGATTCTCAGGCTTGTGGTTCAAAGGGATACTTCTTTGAATACGCAGGAGATGAACAATGGAGGGCAAGTCATGTTTTACGAGCGAAAGATACCCAAGAAATCCTTTATTTAACAACGGATTGAACCGCGCGAAGTAATCAGCAAGTGATATACACAGACCGCGCTCCATCAGTCAAGTAGAACTGTCCATCCTTGTTGGCAACAGGAACGCAAGAATGGTCCTCGTATGGGTTGACCGTGCTGACCGTAGCCTTTCCACTGCACCCGGCATTTGCCCAGAACTTGAGCTTGCAGACGTTTCCGCCTCTGTTTGCGAAGAATGCCCCGTAGACACTTCCCGAAAAGTCTTGGCACCGACCAGAGGAGACGTCAAAATTGTTGGTATAACTGCCAGCACAGCCTCCGTCGTGGAAGACACCCAGGCTGACAGCATCGCGCTTCTGCAGTGTAGCGGGCATGGCGGCAGCTTGCGCTCCGAGGACCGAGACGAGGCCAGATAGAACTTGCGTGAGTTGGACCTGAGGTGAATGCAGTTAGCATGCGTATTCTGTCAAGATTTGCTACTTTAATGAATCTACCATTGTGAATGTTGGGTCTTGTCCTCAATCACTTGGGGATTTTGTAATAGTCTGATCGCAAAGTTGATGTTGTTGTCTATTAGTCGTGGCATTTATAGTCTTTTACGCGCTTGTAAAGTTCTCTAGGTAGGCAGTTCTGAAAGACCTAGATACACAACTCTACTCGCATTGAGCGGGAACGTACGACTAGGGATACCTAGACGAACCACTGGCGGAGGGGAATTCGCAGCAGACTCTGAAAGAAGAAGGCAGTATCGGAGTTCCGCCCTTCACAGGTATAGGTTTCCATTTTCTTGGTACATGAAGCAGACAGTTGATATCATCATCAACAGAAATGTCTCTGAGACCCATAGTTCAGGGTCATTGCCCGACTAGAACATCTGTCCCGAGCGACTAAGCCCGCTAGTAGTATAATTTCCATGTGCGGTGCTTACTCACACTCCCTTCAAGCACTGCTGCCTATGAGGCTGTTACTCAGCACCATGACACCAATGTAACATCAACCTTTCTAGATGCAACATATGCTATTCGATCAGCCGATAAAAGACATACACAGAGATCTCTTATCAAAGTCCCTGATCCATGGGATTCGTCTACATGGATATTCATGAATCGGGGTTTGGGAGTCGGGCATATCTTGGCCATCAGAATCTAAACTGTCATATGGAGCGACGACCTCATGAATTAAGTATACTGGAAACCGTTTCCAAATTTGAGAAGGGGTATCATGATTGCTTCTCCTACGCATGAGAGTCTCTGTCAACTACATAGCCTAACATCAACTTATACTTCAACCTGCTTTGAGTTGCCCGGCAAAAGGACTGCGACCCCTAATCTTCTCCCCATAGATACACAGCAACCAAGGGACAAGCGAAAGAAGCAAACCAATACCACCTAGTAGACTTCCCGCAACACCATACCCAAGCCTCTGGAACATGATGTTTGTGAACAAAGGGAACACTCCGGCAAGCAGGTTCCGGCACATAGACTGTGCTGCTAGAGCGGAGGAGGCATATCGGTGGTAGGTGTCCGCCAGATAGTTGAAGACGGCCAGATAGATGGTGAAGATGCCAACCGTCACGGAGGTGATTGCGAGTGCCGGCACGATCCAAGGGACGTTGGGAGACGAGCTCCAGCCAAACCAAAAAAGCCCAATCGGTAGGAAGAGTGACTCAGCACAGGCAGAGTATAGTCTCCCTTCCGGCGTTGCCATCCGCCGAGGCATGAACTTCTTGAAGATTGGCTCCTGGAAGATTGTAATCGCCGCCCCTATTACTGATCCAACAATGACTGAAGTGTAAATACCTCCTACCTGACTGCTGTTGAAGCCATGCACGGAGCGGAATGCCAGACCGATACTGTTGAACTGCATGTATAGGATCGCCCACGCAAACGAGACCCAGGCAGAGAACCAAAAGACAACGGATTCGGTGCAGAGGAGTTTCAGGGGGAAGGAGAAGCTCCGCCATATGATACTCATGTCAAGCTCAGGGCCCTCAAAATGGGCGCGGAACCTAACGCGAACAGGTTGCGACTGGCCCTCGCCCAGCTCCTCGGTGCCTTGACGGAGTCCGTTCTTGTCCCCAATCGGCGACGAGACTCGCAGCAGGCGAATGCCGTCGAAATGGTTGTTGAGAGCCACGCACTTCCGCTCAAGTACAACATTACTCCGCGTCTCGGCGAAGAAGAAGAAGATGGCTAACGTCGTGGAACCGACAGTGATCATTTGCACGTAGAAGATCCATCTCCAATGGAGGTTGTCGACGATTATACCGCTAATCATGGGGCCTAACCCGGTCCCAATCATGATTGTAAGCGAGTAAAGGGCCATAGGCGTGTTGCGATTCTCCTTGTGGAATACGTCTCCCACCACACCTCCGGTCAGCGTCGCGAAGACTGACGCCCCATTGCCTGTAATCAGACGAGAGACCAACATGCCGGGGAACGACTGTGTCACCGCGCAGCCCAGGGTTCCCAGGAAAAACACGGCACCTGAACGACGAAGACCCAGTAGCGGCCGTAGATCTCGCTGATCAAAGCTAATATCATGGGCGCGAAGCCGAAACCCAAGACGAAGAGGGTGATGCCTAGGTTGAATTCAGTGTTCGTGAGACGCCATTTCTCAATCAAGGGGGCAGCGGCCATGGCATATGCGCCGGCAGAGTAGGCGGCTAGAGTCGAGGCGAAGAAGGTTCCAAAGAGTACCGTTATCTTCTTCCGTAATGGCCATGCGAATGGTGATTGGTATCTAGTATCGAGGGATGATGGGCAGTCCTCCTCGAGGAGGCCCTCGATGCCGTTTGATCGCAAACATTCTGAGAGCTGGAATGCTGGATCTAGCGCATCGATGTTGAGAGGGATATCAATCACATCTGCTGTGATTGCGGTTCTTTCTCCAAGCGCGGCTGGATTTGATTTCTCCTTGACATGGTCAATGTTCATAACCTCGGTTATGTTAGACCGTTCAATGTCTGAGTCGCCCGCGGAAATGTCATCCAGAGGCAAAGGGACTTGGCCCATGGTTGAGTGTGGTCGCATCCTAGGCCATCTGCGTCGGTGATTGCGATAGTTACATTGAGCAAGTCAAAGATGACGCTGTGGAAAACTCACTTCGCGCGCGCGTTGGGATGCAACGGCACCTTAGATCCATCGCTTTTGCCCTCGACCTGTTGAATCAAACAGCTGCCAAGTGATGCGGGCACGGAGACTTCTCCGCACGCCGCGTTGTGTATCCGCTGTCCGTCCACACCTTAGGGAGTCGTCCGCTGGTCAGGCTCCGATGATCGGAGGACCCTAGTCAATCCTCTGCGTCATTGTTTCCATCCGGTCAACCGGCTCTATGTACAACTACTAACGGACGGATACACCTCCTCATTATCATTGTGCAGGGTTATGCGACTGGCTTAGTGAGAGTGCCAGGGAATGTTCATGATCAACCATTAATTGGTACGATCGGCCATAGTCGGTGACCACGGCGATATTGCAGACGAAGAGAGTCCTCATGGTTTCTCCAACTGCGAATCCCATCGCCACTCCTTAGTTTTGCTACTTGCAACGCACGTGGGAAACAATAAAGGAAACCGAACATGAGTAGCCCCTTTTTATGAAGACAGCATTCTTTATACATGTCCATTGATCGACCAAGCAAGCTTCCCCAGGATCGCGTGGCAGATCGTTTGGATGAGACCTCCGCAGGATCGGCGGTTGAAAGCGTGAGCGGTCCGGTCCGCGGCAACCCGCCGGCATGCTTCCTCAACCTAAAAAGATGTACAGCCTGGTTCATTGGCACTAAACAGGGGGAAGATGCAGCACTTTCCCCAGAAGACTGGAACTCAGAGGGGTTATCGGGGAAATGCATGCCTTCTGCGGGCAAACAGATCGTAGGGCGAATATGTCGGCTAATATCTCAAGCTATCAGGACGCCTCCCCGGAACCAACTATGGTGCGGGGTACGGCATCTTATCTCGGCCCTTGTTCTCTACTTTTGGAAAGGACTTAGATAGTATTGGGCAGAATGAGATATCAGTAGGGCCTGTCAAGATCGGAGTCACTTCGCCGGATATCTCAAGTCTCATCATATTACTCTCTTCTGGCAAGAGTTGGTCAAGAAGGGATTCTTGGCAACTCACGGATTCCTTGTTTCCCGACCGGATGCCAGTGATGGGCAAGCGTGGATATCACGTCTCCTTCGCATCAGGGTTCACCTCCCTCCGACGCTGACTAACACTCGTGAGATATAGCGAAACTGGGCTCAAAGCCCACGGCTCAATCCCCCCATAAGTATCCCTCGGCCGATGGATGCATTCTCTTTACTCATACAAATTTGAATCAGATTGATCCAGTGTGCCTATCAATAGACTTCCCCAATCCTCAACCAAAATAGGTGTGCTTTATGTGCCATATATGAGTCGCTTTTCTTCGGGCTTGCCATCCCTCGCGATGCAGCCATCTAAATGAGTATAGTGACGCAAAGTTGATGTTGGGACAGCAACTCTGGTGAGAGGGGCTTAATTACTATTTTCCAAAATGAGTAATCGGGAAGCTCATGCCTGGGTAAACGAGGTAAAGGTCCCAAGTCTCACCTACCTCGCTTGGCCGCGGCTCATTGGCACTATCACGCGATGGTGGCTATGATGGCTTCATTGCGCCCAGCCTTCGCATGAGGAAGGAACCAAGACTTCGGTTCAATATGCTTACCCGTCTCGTCTCTTTCCCCGAGGGACAAGACACATTTGGGGACCTTTTGTGAAGCAAACCTTTTCAGCTGAAGATCAGCGAGGTGCTGATTTGTTGATGTTCCCCGTCGCTCCCGAGAAAAGTTGGAATCCAGTCTCGCCACGAGAAGATGCTGCCTGGCGAGTCCGCAAGCGCGTCTAACCCCTGAGTGTCATGCAAACTCTGCGCGGGATGAGGATCATATCCCTTGTCTGAGATGCAGCCTGGAACTCGGTTACAACCGATGGAAGGGTGCCCAGACCTTGCCATGGTTGCACCATCGGCATCAGATCTCACGCACTAGACTGCAGCTCACAGCTGGTACTGACTCCAACAGACGATCTAGAGGTGATCATTAGATTTGCCCACCCGGAAGGTCAGATCATATTATTGCAGCGAGATAACACGAGAATTCTCACAACATGTCATGAGAAGGCGGTGTGGTGCTTAATGTGTTCATCAAGGCATAGAGGGCAAGCGCATAGCAAGGCGTTGAACAAGTCCCAACGCCGTGTGAATCTCGAAATGTGCACCTACAACGAGAGAAGCGCCTTTATTTGGCCGGCATCGTCAATATATGCCAGGGCAGGTGAAGTCGAGATGCAGCTTGTCCCAAGTGAAGGATCATCGCCTTACCCAGCCAGACACGACCAACTTTGAGCATAAACGGCAACTGGGGCAACAGACACTTTCTCTCTTGAATCAACTACAAGTTGCACGTATTTGAGTGGAGAAAAGTGCGAAATGAAGTACACGGACAAGGACATGAGAATGAGGCAGCAATTACTATCGGGGTCATAGATGAGACGAAGTTCATGACCATGTTGTACAGGTGAGTTTGGGTTTGTGCATACTTCACCAAAAATAAGGTGATTCTCATCAGATAGTACCTTTCGGAATATATCTGATAGTCTCGCCACTATCCCAATGATGGAGCATTCACACTGAATTGGAAGAAGTCATGGTGTTCCTTTGCTGCACGATGTGTTATGAGCGTGAAGAGGTTCGCCCGCAAAGCTCAATTGACGCCCCACGGGATAAAACCGGGTCCCAACGCCAAAATTTTCCCACTTCAAGCCTTCGACATCTTGTCCTCAGATCGCGTCATCGGCCGAGTGGACCACAAACAGAAACTATGACACAGAACTTTTCGCACCAGACCACTGGGACTGCGGGATGGGAAGCCTATGTGCTTGTCCTTTGACAGTTCGAGAAAATGAGCTAGGGTCTTGGGGGCCATGTTGGGGGTCCAAAGAGGGTCTCGAAGACTCCAAGAAGCCTTTCAAGGAGCTCCAGATGCTCGCAGCTCCATCCTCCATGGTCCCTCATAGGTAAATCTCGCATGCGGATACCCTCGGCGCACCACTGGCGGTTAGACTCTTGAGTCTCTAGAGCCTCCCGATCCTTGTATGTCGGGACAGTGACCTTTGGGACCTTTTGGTTTTTGGCTGGGCATCATGTTCGTATGTGCAAGGGTGCCTACTAATGCGGCGCAACCTCAACTGCTCACCCCCAAGACAACGAGCCGATTCCACCCAGACGAACCTCTCGCCACATGGCGCCAATTCGGTGTAAATAAGACGTGATCTCCTTGGCGGGGCCAGCTCTGCGACAGACATAAAGTCTTCTGGCAGCCTTCTGGTTCATCGCTCTTTCGGATCGTCTTCCGTTCTCCAGTCTTCCGTCTCCATCTGGCGTTTTTCCCTGGTCTCTGATCGTTTACACCCACGACGACAGGATCAGTTCACTGTCACCACATCGTCAAGATGTCCAAGCTCTTAAACAAGTTTGGCGCCTCGTCGTCAGCCACTGCCGCCGACGGTGATCACAACAAGCATGGCGATCTCCCTGCCGCGACAACTTACGATAGTGAAGTTGGTGAGTCTTCTTCACGATGATGGTCGCGGAGCGCTCTCCGTGGGCTGAGCTCTGCTGTCGCACAACCGCCATCTTGCTAATCAACCATCCCAGGCCGCATCGAGCACGCCCGCGAAAACAAACGAAAAATCGGTGTCACCACTGCCATCTTCCTCATCGTCAACCGTGTTGTCGGCACCGGTATCTTTGCGACACCCGGCACCATCTTTGCACTCTCTGGTAGTGTCGGTCTTTCCCTCTTCATCTGGGTTGCCGGCATGATTATCGCACTCGCCGGTACCGCCGTCTATCTCGAATGGGGAACCGCAATCCCCAAGAATGGAGGAGAGAAGAACTATCTCGAATATGTCTTCCGCAAGCCAAAGTTCCTTACCACGGGCCTCTACACCGGATACGTCATCTTGCTCGGCTGGGCTAGTGGTAACTCTGTCGTCTTTGGCGAGTACATTCTGCACGCCGCCGAGGTCGAGGTCGACCGCTGGAACCAGCGCGCCATCGGTCTGGCTTGCATCACCACCGCCTTCTTGATCCACGGTCTCGCCCTCAACTGGGGTCTGCGCCTGCAGAACCTTCTCGGAACTATCAAGCTGGTCATCATTGTCATTATTATCCTTTGCGGCTTCATTGCTCTCGGCGGTCACGTCAAGCTACCCGAGGACCAAAAGCCCAAGAACTTCCAAAACGCATTCGAGGGAACCACCGGCAGCCCCTACGGTGTTGTCACTGCTCTTTACAACGTCATCTGGAGTTACATCGGGTACAGCAACGCCAACTATGCCCTCAGCGAGACCAAGAACCCCGTCCGTACCCTCAAGATCGCCGCCCCTGTCGGTATCATTACCATCTCCATCCTTTACATGCTGGTCAACGTCGCCTACTTTGCCGCTGTCCCGAGAGAGGAGATCCTGGAGGGTGGTCGCCTTGTGGCGGCGTCCCTTTTCCGTAATGTCATGGGCGGCACTGCTGAACGTGCTCTTTCGGTCTTTGTCGCCCTATCTGCCTTTGGCAACGTTCTCAGTGTCATCTTCTCCCAGGGCCGTCTCGTCCAGGAGCTTGGCCGCGAGGGTATTCTGCCTTGGTCGCGTTTCTTCGCCAGCAACAGACCCTTCAACGCCCCCTTGGCCGGTCTTTTTGAGCACTGGCTGATTTGCGTCATCACCATGCTTGCTCCCCCTCCTGGTAAGAAAACTCGCTAGAGACCTGTGTCATGATGCATGCGTACTAATACATTTATAGGCGACGCTTACAACTTCATCCTCAACCTCATTAGCTACCCCCTCGCCATCATCAACGTCTTCGTCGCCGGCGGTCTCGCCTACCTCTACCTCAACCGCAAGGAATGGAACTGGAACCCTCCCATCAGCGCCAGCCTACCCGTTGTCATCTTCTTCATGCTCAGCAACATCTACCTCGTCATCGCACCATTTGTGCCTCCCGAGGAGGGCCAGAACGTTTACGAGAGCCTTCCCTACTATCTTCACTGCGTCGTCGGTATCGCCATCATCGTGGCCGGTGGTCTTTACTGGGTTGTCTGGGCCAAGATCCTGCCCAAGATTGGCAAGTACGAGTTGGTTCGCGAGACTGTTGTCGATGAGATTGATGGCTGGGAAAGGAATGTGTTCTTCCGCAGACCTTATGGCGAGTCTGTGCCTTCAGAGCGTCATGTTGGGTCTCCGGAGCCTGAAGTTGCCAAGTGAACTTCGTTCGCCGCTCACTCTGACTAAGCATTGTCATCATATATTATTTTCATTATACCCTAGAAGCATAATTTACCAGTTTAATGTCATGAAGGTCTACACTTTCACCTGTCTTGTCAGTACACTGTGACAGGGGGGCCAGTCAAGTGCCTTGAAACCTGAATCTCTGCCACTTGTGGAATGATTATTGGCACATGTGCATTTCCTTAGTACATCATGTCAGCAGGCACCCAATGAGATACGTCTCAAGGAGTTCTACTAAGAGATGATATTGGCATCGGATACATCCAGGCCAAGCACATGTTATCACACCTAGCTCATGAGCGCTTAGAAGCGTGGACCTCGTTAGGTTCACCGGCAGGGGGTTGAAGCAGCGCCTCATTAACGATCGGCATCTCTGCAGACCGGCGATCAGATCACCAGTGTATAAGCCTGGTACCATGCTATTCTGCGAGGGTAGAATCGACCTGCATGAATAACGGGGCTTAAGTTCTCGAGGATAGGAAGATCACCTAGTCCCGCGGCCTTGAGGTACGTGATGTTATGCAGGCCATGGAACTTTCAGCAAGTCCCGATATGCGTGAGCCACTGCCTCGGACGCCAAATTGTGAACAATCTCGAAGTCGCCGATAACACAGCTACAACCTTGCGACTCACATGCATGGGTGGTCCGGTTAAGACGACTTAGATAAATATGTTCTTTGTGCGATTCGGACCCTGAGAGAACTTTCAAGTCTCAAATACCTACTAAGGCTAAGGAGGTTTTCAGGGGGGGGGGGGGATATGTTGGCGAGGCCAAGATACGGCTGAATCTACTAAACCAAATAAATGAATGACTGCATAGCGGGTCATGCAAAGCGGCCCGAGAAGCTACGAATCCGACCTAAAAGTCAGGGCAAACCACCAAGCGAGACCTTCGCCCGCATTATCCTCCGCGGCACCGCCGTAGGTATGACCACCCTTCGCCTGCGTCTGCCTTAGCAAAAGCAACTTTATCAATGTCTATGACTTTGTACCAAATTAGTCGCCAAGGAAATCAAGTGTTTCCCAAGCCAAGCAAAGAGCCATCTCCCAATTTTAAGTGTTATTAGGAGCATGAGCCTTTCTTTGGTGATCTACTCCAAAGTGCATTCTGTCATGATCCGGAAGAATGTAGGTATCCAGGGGGCGAGGGAACCGGGGCAAGGGAGCAACCCGAAGATCAAATGCTCTTGGGTGTGTGGGTGTGTATTGTAGCGGAAACGCCGTGGCTTGCAGGGTGGATTGCCTCTCCCCGTGATTCGAAGGCAGTTAATCACTAGTCTCTCAGAAATATCTGGTAGTATACTGAATCACGCGTGCTACAGGGAACGTTGATATGGGTTTCCTCACCACTCTGGGCTCAGCTGGACTGCACCGGTGACCACATACCTAGGTCGCAGAGTGGAGATGTGCCGGTGCTTGATATGCAAGATGCGTTGCCAACTTGCCAAATTAGCAAGCCTGAGGAAGCGAGCCATTCGCATTAAAGTACCGCCTGCCCTCCAGTCGCTTGCATTTGGCCATCGCCTCTTCCAACTCTTCCCCAACTCTTCCCGAATCCGCGCTGCCAATATTTCACCCTTCAGTCTTCGCTCGTAGATCCCAAACACAGAACTCTTCGCCATGGATGTTCTTGGGGCAATTAGCTCAGTCATTACCATCATCGACACTGCTTCCAATTCCTTCGAAGCTCTGAGGAAGATACAAGATCGTCCGGCGGCCTTCGATACCGTTGGTCATCAGCTCAGTGTCGTTAGCAACTTACTCCACGACATCCTTGACAAAGCGGAAAGCAACAACTCCGCCATCGAGACCGATACAAACGACGAATATCTCAAGGGTGTGAGGGAATGCCAAGCCAAAGCTATAGCTTTGAAAGAAGTCTTCCACCATCTTGAGGAGGAATACAACAAAGCCGAAGATTCCGAGCGGGTATGGACGGACCATTTCAAGAACATCTACAAAGCCTTCATGAGAGGCCAGAAGACCAATCGGGTGGAGAATTTGATGGCGGATCTGTGGAAATGCATAGAACGTATGGCGGTGATAAAAATCATCGGCATGGGCAAGCCAGTGCAGCGCAATGTCGACAGTGCTATGAAAGCACTAGAGAAGAACCAGCCGTCTCTGGATGATTCTGAGTTCGATGTGGGGGGGTTTCAAGCAAATCAGCAAATCAGTCCAGGGGCAACGGGCACGCAGAATAATATCAAAGGAAACGACAACATTGTCAATTCTGGTAATCCTTCGGGAGAGTTTGCGGGAAGTCGAATTGGCACTGTTCACTACGGAGGTAAGCTGGAGTCTAAGACAAAGTAATTCTATCTAGCTAAGTAGTGTTCATAAGGAAAATACGACTACTTGGATAAGATTGTCGAAATTCGCAGGCGAGACTTTCTCTACAAACTTGCGGGAACGGATTACGATGCACAGCTGAGAAACACCAAGGCTCGTTTATCCAACACTTGCGAATGGTTCCGCCAGAACTCCGGATATCAGGAGTGGCTAGGCAGTGCTGAAGGCCTTCTCCTGCTCTGCGCCGATGCAGGCTGTGGGAAGTCAGTCATAGCAAAGTACCTCGTCGAGGGATTACTTCCCAAAGCAGATTCAACATCCATTATCTGCTACTTTTTCTTCCAAGAGAGCGATCCTCAGACTAGGAGCTATCTGAGTGCCGGCAAAGCCCTTCTGCACAGGTTTCTTCAAGCGAATCCTGCATGCATCGACGAATGCATGAAAGCCTTGCCCAGCAATCCAGATGATATCCCGGAGTCCAGATACCGGGATGTTTGGACCGTGTTCAAGACACTTGCCAGGAACTACAGCTCTGGGCAGATCATTTGTGTACTCGACGCACTCGATGAAAGCGACCCGGTCCATCGAAAGGGCTTCATGGGCTGCTTAAAAGACTTCATTTTCAAAAACGACGCCCCATCCGACACAAGATTCGTCATCACCACCCGAAAAGATCCACAAATTGAGAGTTTTTTCAAAAACTTCTCCTCAAATATGTACCATGTGGACGGCGATAACGACAAATCAAGAAACCTCATCCAAGGAGAAATTGCTATGGTCATGAAGGACCGCCTGGCCAAACTAAATACCACAATGAATGGCGTCAGCAACGCCACGTTGAATACCATACGCAAGGGCTTGATAGAGAAAGGATCAAGGCAGAGGACATATTTGTGGATGCATCTTATGTTTGAATACATCGGACAAACCAGATTCTGCAGTTCGCAAGAATGGAAAGACCTCTTTCAAAACCCCCCCGATACCGTCAATCTAGCATACGAGAAGCTATTACAAAGAGTTACGCCGTCTGGAAAGGAAAAGGTCCGCACTCTTCTGGCTCTTATACTGGCTGCCGAGCGACCCCTGACGATTGGGGAGTTAAGCACTGCGGTCAACTGCCGAATCAACAGACTTGAAAAACGAAAGGTTAAACTCGAGGAAATCACGGAGGCTAAAGAGTTTGAAACCTGGATGGCTTGGCAATGTGGCTCTTTTGTGACCATACACAGAGGAAGAGCATTCTTGGTTCATCAGACAGCCAAGGAATTCCTCTTGGATGCTCCAAAGACCAGTCAAGAATGCTGGCAAGGCTCAATGACGGAGCACGTCATACATCAGTACATGGCCGAGTCTTGCATTTCGTTTCTCTCTATCCCCGTATTTCGGATGCAAGATTACAACGAGAAGTTGCGAACACAGATCTTGGACGCGAAGCAGAAGCGACTTAGGTGTCTCCAAGATTCTTTGGCCCGACCCACTCGTACCTCGACAGACGAAGTTGAGGACAGTTCCACCGGGGAGGAATCCCCAGGTGAAGATCTTCCTGAAGATCTCCCCTCTGTGTACTCTTCCGATGCATATCTTTCCTCTTTGTATTATTCTTCTGAAGATCGCGACTCTGAAGATCGTGACTCTGAAGATCTCGATTATGGAAATCTCGACTCTGAAGACCTCGACTCTGAAGATATCGACTCCAAACATCTCTCCGTGGATTCAATCGACAACAAACCTTCACTCTATAATCTCATTAAGAGTGATCGTCTCCAAAACCTCCCTTTGGAACCTTTCATGCTCTATTCAGCGGTACATTGGATGCGTCACTTTCAAAGGTGTCAGCGAAGGATCGACTCTGATCCGCAGAAGATAGTAGACATTGGCGACAAGTTCTCAAAATGTTATCTGAATTTGTTCACAGATAATCATGCAAGGAGCTACAAAGTCTGCGATGAATGGAAACAACGGGTATGGTATCTCGTATTAATGGCTTCCAGGCATGCTGAGGTATTCAACCATTTAAGGAAGAGGAGATTTTCATGGGAGGGAGAGCATGGGTTTGGCGTCTTGTCACCAAACTCTTTCACTATCTCAAGCTTCGCATGTCTGTTTGACCATAGACGTCTCCTACAGTTCGCACACCTCGTGCTGAAGGAAGATGCCAGGTCTATGGTTAGTGAGCGTTTGAAATGCCATGCTTGCAAACTCAACATCAAGCGCAGTCTCTCGCCTCCTCAGCTTGCGGTCTACGGCAGCTCAACTTGGTGTCTTGATTATCTTCGAACTCAGGGACTCGACATGAATTCTCAAGACGAGCATGGGCAAACTTTGCTCCACAAAGCAATGTTGATGAAAGATGATCGGATTGTCACGTATCTCTGGGAGTTAGACGCTTCACGAGACACTCGAGACCGTAATGACATGACACCACTCACACTCGGTGCCATGGTGGACAGCCCTTGGATGAGAAAATATCTAAAACGTGCCAGTGAGGCCGATATGTGTTCTCTGCTGTACGCCGCAGCCGCAACGAAGATACCGGACTCGACCATGCAGAACGTAAGGATGCCATCGGGTGCCTCTCAAAGCTCTTCATTTAAGTCTTGGGGGATATTTCACAAAATTGGCCTACTTAAGAAATATCACGGCTCTGCCGGGAGGGTTTCCATAATACCCAAGTTACTCAAAGCCGGAGCAAAACTTGATTATCGACACGAGGATGGCCTCACAGCACTCCATGTCAGTGTTCAAGATGAGAGAAGAATTCACAACGCGGTCTGTATCTGCGCGAAGATGCCTTCAAGCGTTTTTGTTGTTGACAATGAGGGCAACACGCCGCTTCATACGGCCACATTGGCAAATAACGTCTACGCGATGCTTCTTTTGTTTGGACACAATGCTGATGTGAACAGTAAGGGGCAAAGCGGGGAGACTTCATTACATATAGCATGTAAAATGGGACATCAAGAGGCAGCTGCAGCTCTGGTTTTTGTCGGAGCAGATGTTACCATCAAAAACGACGACGGTCTGACGGCCACGGACCTCGACCGGCCACCGCCGCTGGATATTGGACTTCCGAGGATGATACGCATTCGTAACAAGCTGATAAGAACTGTTAGCAGTCTCAAGTATCTTCGAGGATTCAGGTACGCCAGCAGGGCGCTATATGGTGGAAGATATGGACTGGATGCTAGAATGAGCCCAAGGGATGGAAGACGAAGTCCACAAGGCAAAAGAGCTTTACAGATAGAACCGACCATTAGAGCTGGAAGGCTCAGGAGAGTTGGAAGATTGAGGGGAGTTCTTCGCTAAGAGTCATGAGTACAGTATTCCTACTGGATATATTTTCGCCGTTACCAGAAGTAGTACCATCCTCGTCGCCTTGCATGCTTGGCCGATTCAGCATCACATCAACCTCAAGATGTCCCTGCCAATAACAGCGCTACATCTATCACGACTCAATTGACTGACTGATCAACTGAAACAAACAATTCTCTGCATATTCCCTTTAACCGACTGAATTTAAAGCCTGAAGATGAGATGATTGCATTTTGTGCAGAAGTAGCCAGCAATGTCACAAGACTTGACTCCAGAAAGGAGGCATGCCGCTCTCAAAATTTTTCCATTGACTTGAATGTGTTAATATGGAGAATAAATACTGCCTTTCTGCATCCATGGCCGTAACAACTTCCCATTTACCAAAACGCACCCGTAGTTCTTAAATCATTCACGAAATAAGTGAAGTATGTTAAGCCTGAAGTGTCTATAGTTTGGTAGACATTAAGAGGCCGGATGATTGGCGCGCTGAATTCCATTACTTGATGTGAGCAGCCACCTTCCTGGGTAATGTGAAGCCTCATCGTACCAATACGTTGAGACTGTACAACTTAGCTGATCTAGCAGAACCCTTTATCTGACTGAAAACAAAGAAACGAATGAACTTTGGTGACTTGTACGCTTCTGTCGGAAGTTCGGAAATGACGCGATCCAGCAATATATGTACCCACCTGGACAATGGAACCTTCTGGCATTGATGTTTCTTCGTAATCTGCGTTTGGGTCCCGAACGAAAGCACAAATAGACGAGACGACTGCACATGACGAATCAAACCCACACGATAAACTGTCTCCGGCTAGCATGTCACCGGCGTGACGCCGTCAAGGTGGTTCTGGGTGAGCGATCCAACAGCGAGGAGCTCAAGATAATCAGGCATGATCGTGTCCTGCGCTCCATCGTACTTGAGAGTTTCGTAAGTTCAGGATGGGATCAGGGACTGTAAACAATTGTTGTCGGTGGACTCGCAACCTCTTTATTTTCAAGGTCCAAAAGACCAAGGTTGGATGACTTGAAGGCATCCAGGCTCCATGCTATTAGCGAAAACATGGAATGAGATACGATCGAGGAATTCATTAAGATGAGCGAGACCTAACTACCTTGTACTAGCTCGAAGCTACTCTACTCCTTCATAATTGAATAATTAGGATTCTCAGCCCTTAGACTAAGTTAATACTTTTTACATTACGATAAGAAGGATCTAGCTAGTAAATTATTAGATTAAGATATCCTAGAAGCTTTCACGAAGAAATAGCCTTAAGGAGTCTGGCAATGCGTTCGTTGACGTGCAAGGGCAAAGCATCCAAGAGCTCGTTCAATTGACTGAGAGAAGGGACAGTATTGGATATGCGTCAGCGATGAAACTCCATAGTACGAAATGATCAGAGTTCAGTTTGAAAAAAGATATTATGCAGTTCATAACATCGGGCTACTCAATAGATCTCAAATTGAAGCGCAGGGCTGCGTAAGACTGCTGAGTATAGGACAATCTTGAGGCTAACGTGTTTTTAGTCATGTTGAACTTTCAGTAGGGCCCCGCGTGTGAGTTTTGTTCAATGCAGTTGAACGGGTTAAGACTAGACAGAAATTGTGAACCTAGGTCCAATGGATAGCCTGATTCTCAAGTCAGATTTCCTCATTATTCCCCAACTATTATGAACAAATTTCATTGAGCCACGGTCAGGGCAATACATCGGCTGACATCTTGCGGGTACTGAGAAAGTAGGTGTTCACTTCTGTTCTTGCGCTGGTGGTAAGATGAGGTGTAGCCTCCAGGCTCTGTCTCTTGGACACCGGATAGCATAGGTAAGAAATGGGCAACCGGGCTGTCTTCCGGTACCAACTGAGAGAATTAAACTGATGGATCTTTAGGCTCGCTTCTTCAAAGGCCAGGCGAATACTCCCAGCGAAGAGCAAAGCATGAAAGAGCCCAAGAACAAAATGAGCGACTCATAACGGCCCATCCCGTACCCCCCACTCACCGGTTTCGTTAACAATCCAGCAGTAATCGGACCAGTGGCCAAGTTTCCGATCCCCTTGCCAAACGCCATCATGCTGTACACGGGCTGCGGGTCGTCGGAAAGCATTGCCCCAAACTTTGGCCAGCTGATGAGGAAGCCTCCAGCAAACATGCCAAAGACCAGTGCAAAGATGACTAACAGCGGCAGAGAGTGGGCGAATCCCCAGAGTGTAAAGGACGCTACTGCTGACGTAAAAGAAGAGACGAAGATGAGCATAAAGACGTTGTTGGTGTGGTCGGAAAGCCACCCGAAACCAATCTGCCCAAAAACGGTTGCCAAGTTGTGCGCTGCAAGCAGAAGCGCTCCCATAGTACCGGAAAGCCCAATGGCACTGGCGTATGAAGGCAGATACAAAGACGGGATGTAGTAAGCGAAACCCTGGAATAGGTTCGAGAGTGCGAAGCAGTAGAATAAAGGCTGTCTCAGGAAGCTGATGTCGAACATGCGCATGGCACCATGAGGTGATGGCGGTAGCCGGCCCTTGATCATGTGTAAGATAGGCGCAACTCCAAGGAACTGAGCGACAGCTACAGCCCGGAGCGTCGTCTGGTAGCCATATTTGGACAACAGTACTTGCAGCAGAAAAGGCATCCCAACGCCGCTAAATCCGCCGCCGGCGTAAAGAACGCCGTATGCAAGTCCGCGCCGGGCGACGAACCACTCGTTCAACATCCGCAACACCGGGAAGTAGAGCATCAAAAATCCAAAGCCATACAAGACACCCTGGGTTGCGATGAGGCCCGCGATTGAGGTGGCAAAGGACGCGCCGACCAGGGACGCGACGCACATTGCCCAGCCGATGACGACCATGTGTTTCTGGTAGCGGTGGAATCTTTTCACCACAGGCGCAGCGAGGGGCGCTCCGAGGAAATAGATACTCGTGGATACCGTGCCAATGACAGCAATATTGGAGTCACCCTCAAATTGTGGCTGAGAAGAATAGTATTCCTGAAAGACACCAAAGGTCAAAGGAAATCCTAGTAAGGTTAGTGACACCGCCCCATAAGACTTTTCTAGAGAGTCCAACAATACCCCATAGAAGTGCCTCAATAACGAAGCTGGAGAGCAAAAACTTCCATGCTGCAGCGCCCTTGTCGGTCGGCGGCATAGTGTGGATCAAGGTGTTTCCGTCTTCCTCATCACTCTGCGGCGCCGAGGCAACGGCGCCGGAGTTCGGCATCGGGCGCAGTTCAACCGACATCTTGACCGCAGCACCTGAACGTGGAAGATGCGCCTTTCAATGCAGGCCTTTCGTCGAAACACTTTCGAGATGCATTTTGAATTTCCTCTTGTCCCCCGTGGGGTAGTCTAGGTTTTTATCACAAAGAGTCTTGAAAGCCCGACACCGGTGCCGGACCGGGACGGCTTCCGGTTGTGGGGTAGCAACACTGGGTCGAGAGTCATTTTCACATGAAAGGGCGCACACCTTTCCTAGTTTGTGAGGTACTTTTGGTCGCTTCGAGTTATGCCGTCTAATAAGCTTTGTAAAAGTAATCGTTTTGTGCGTAATAGGATTGATGTCTTGGATTCTCCTTTCTTCGTGTTTTCTACTGCTGTTTGCTAGATTTCCTCACGATAGTCGTTGGAAGTTTTGGCGAATTTAATCTCTCCAGAGTTAAACTGAACTAAGTCCAGATTCGAACCAGAAAGTCCCCTTTATCACGTCAACCGCCAATTGACTGTTCAAGTAATATTTCGCCACTCTCCAGTGTGAAACATCTGCCCCCAAAGCATGGCCTAATCGCTCTTTTTGGTCAGCGGCGGACTTGGACATTTTACTTGACAAACGCGTGCTGCCAGTTGATAGAGACACGACTTCACTCTATTTAAGCAGCAAGTTTTGGCGGACACTTCTGAGCGTTGATCAGGGAGATGGTGTGCTATGAATCATACTGAGTAATGGGATCTGCGTGCCTTCAATTGGTTGAAACACCAGTCCTACAATCCTACAATGTGCCCGATGCAGTAACGTAAGCTCGCTGGCCGACATGACGCATTGGACCCTGATCCTTCGGGCGCAGGGGTCTTTGCACTGTCAAACGACGCCCTTTGGAGTTTTCCCCAATGAATAAGGTACATCTACCAAATCCTCTTGTCAACTCACATCTTTGTTTGATATTCGTTTACGACACAGAGCTCGATGGAAAATAAATGGAGAAGCGCACACCCTGGCTTCGAGGTTCGAGCTGCGCAAGTCGCGCGCATCCTGATCAAAGCATTTTACTGGCGAGTCATTTGCATTTTGCAAGTTTAAAGCACAACTTCACAAGTCACATCATAGTACTCCGTCGCCGCAACAACATCCCATCGAGTAATTCACCCTCAGCATGACAAAGACCAGCCTTTTCGAGGACTATGTGGTCACCGACAGAGGCGGCGTGATCGAAAACAGACACGCAGTTCACGCCGCAGTCGTCGACACCAGCGGCAAGATTCTCTATGCAGTCGGCAACCCTTCACGAATGACGCTGGCTCGCTCCGCATCCAAGCCAGCGCAAGCTCTCGCAGTGCTCGAAACTCCAGGGTTTGACAAGTACGGCTTCAATAGAGCTGATATAGCCTTGATGTGCGCATCTCACAACAGCGAAGAGCGGCACGTCTCGAGGGCGAAGTCGATGTTATCTAAGGTTGGGGCGCTAGAGACGGACTTGCGGTGCGGCGGTCACCCTTCGATCTGTCCAGTCGTCGATAGGTCCTGGATCAGATCTGGGTTTTCGCCAACCGAGATCAACAACAATTGCTCTGGTAAACATGCGGGCATGTTGGGCGGCGCGAAGGCTCTGGGTGCGAGTTTCGAGGGCTATCACCTCCCAAGCCATCCGATCCAGGACAAGGTGAAGCAGGTTGTTGAAGACCTGAGCGGGCTTAGCGGTGACGAGATTGAGTGGGCAACTGACGGCTGCAATCTTCCTGCACCTGGGCAACCCCTCTATTCGATGGGCCGCATGTATGCTGCCTTTGCCGCGGCCGCAGATGCTATTGAAGAGGACGGAAGCGCTCAGCCGGTGAGAGTGAAGCATATGTCCGATATCTACAACGCCATGGCGACATACCCCGATATGGTCGGCGGAGAGGGGCGTTTCTGCACTGTCCTCATGGAAGCGTTCGAAGGCGGTCTTATCGGCAAAGTTGGCGCAGACGGATGTTACACCATCGGTATTCGCGCATCAGAGTCCACGAAGGAACTTGGTGTGGAAGGAGCCGTTGGCATTGCGGTTAAAATCGAAGACGGAAGCCTCGAGATCCTCTATGCTGCGGTGCCTGAGATACTGGATCAGCTTCAAATTGGCACCCTGGAAATGCGGCGAAAATTGGCGAGCTTCCATCACTTGAAGCGCACCAACACCATGGGCGTTGAGACGGGTCAGGTCTCACACGCCTTTAGCGTTCGCCATGTGGATTGACTTATATTACGGGCCCTTTGCAGTGGAAGTAAACTTCCCAAAATGGTTTGGATGGATTGAGAAGAGTCATAGAGGGTTGCTTTCTCTCACTGGATGATAGAGCAAGATAGATGAGTTCATATTACCAAGCAATTGCGGGGTGATTCACTTTCACCTACCTTAGGATGAACATGAATATTCAGTGAAGTGAGGTGACCTCCCAATGTCTTTCATCCATTGAGTGAAACCAGCAGCACGGGTTTAAGCCTGGGATGCAGAATCTGAGGGACTGAAGTTAGGCCGACTGAAGTAAGCAAAGCTTAGCAATCACATACCGAAACATGTGTGCCTAGCGCTCACTGGCACTGCACTGAAATGCCCCTCGTCTTATTCCCGTTTGCTGCGTGCCTGAACGAGTCGATGCATCCCCGCACGCCATGATAGTTGAGGAGCCACTGAAAACCAAAGTAAGGTAAGTGATGTAGTAATTACATGCGTCTTGGTCTTGAGTGCCAGCATAAACTGGATCGTACCCTATCGCCTGTCGTGATAACACGTTCACAAGATCAGCGGTCTTTTCTGCGACCCTCGAAGATTAGCAGTGATCTGAGGGTCTGGACTGGCGAAATTCAGATGTTTGTTAATCATGGTCGGCGGAAAAGCCTCGAGACTACCGCCAAGCCCAAGGGGTTTACTTAGGTCATGATGCTATACGAAACTCGCAGATCTATATATCCAACGCTTCCCCCTCGTTCGGTTGGATTCAATTCTTCTTCCATCATCACATTGTTTTCGACCGTTTATTACACAGTAAGTCGTCGAAATTTTCTCATTCACATCGCACATCATGTCTTCCATCGCCAGAGATGACAAGACCTCATCGTCATTCATCCCTCTTGCCGGCGTAGCTCAGGACGGCTGGTCAACAGAGAATGAAGCAACGGCAACGTGCCTCTGTGGCGCCGTTCAGCTCTCATTTGTAAGAATTCACATCAGTTCATCCCATAACACCAATCCAAAGCCCAAGAATCATCGCACTAACAGCCCCTATCAGCCAACCCAAGGCCGCGGCCTCCTTAATCGCTTCATCTGCCACTGCACAGACTGCCGCAAAATCTCCTCCTCAATGTTCTGCTCCAACTTCTCCATTGCCGACAGCCACCTCCGTCACATCCGCGGTAAGGAGAACCTGAAATCTTTCAGCCAGTCTCGAACCATCGCGACGGGCAACGATATGGCAAATCACTTCTGCGGCACCTGTGGCACGCTCATGTACCGCGTCAGCTCCGGCCTGCCAGGCATGAGTATTCTCAGGCTCGGTACTATCGATGACTTCCGCCTCGTGGAGACGAAGCTCAAGCCGCAGGTCGAGCAGTTTATCGACACGCGCGCATCTTGGTTGAAGCCGGTTGAGGGAGTCATGCAGTTGGATCGGATGCTTACAGCAAACGACATCAAGAGTCTTTTATAGATAATCCATAAGATGAAGCATGCTTAATGATATTCGGGATGCACGTCCAAATGCACTGAAATGGAAAGGTACCAGTCTTGGAGACCCAGGCCAGTCGAGAATTAGTGTCACATATGACATTTGCCAAAAGCCAATAGCTCACAGTGGTATCATAGTGCTACGTACTCTTCCCTGCCCACAATCTGACCGGTCCTCTGATCCTTCAGATAGAAATGCACCTTTTTCCTTGGCGGGACCGTGGCTTCCGGCGGTTCTCGAAAGTTCATGGCGACTATTCGCTTCTCTTCCGGCACGAACCCACCGTCACCTTCATAAGAGGTATCGAAGGCGTCCAATTCGATGCTATCGCCGAGAACAATGCTGTGCTCAATCTCAACTACCCGCTTTGCGATAGACCATGTCAAATTTCTCTCCCAAATATTCCTCCCGGGCTGCATGAGCTTCTTCATCAATCTCAGGGCCTCGAGTCGCAGTCTTAGGTGGCGGCACCTAAGAACCACCATGAAAAGAAGAGAGCTGTATCCGAGCTCGAGGACGCTTTCGGGGCCCCAGCCTGCTGAGGACTTTGACGCCTCTGACGAGCTTTCCGCCTGCGATGCGAGAACGATAATGGAACGGAATTTGTCCGTGTGCGCGTCGTACACGCACTCTCCTTCGTCTTTCTTCTCGGATGCCAAGAGCGCAATCCTAGCCACGAGGTAACGGATGTCTAGCAGCCGTAGCATGTCCTCCTCCTTACTGGTATACCTCTCCTCATTTTTCATCTCCCTATATGCCTTGTACCACGCGTCTAGATCGACAAGAATGAAATGCCGAAGCCACTTTCCATCTGGTTCCGGGCCTTCCTTCCCGGTCTCAAGCCAGCGGTCGGTAACACATGCACATTCCATGTGTCGGACAAGACGTACGTGAATCGTCAAGAGTCGAGCGTGAGCTTCTGCGACGTTCTGAATCCGGCTGGTCGAGGTCGATATGGGTTGGCGCACTGTTGGAAACGTCGTTGGGTTGATGCCGTATCGGTACGGCGCGATGCTAAGCTGTCGCATGACCGGCGTGACGTGGTTCCGCAGAAAGTCGGACTCGTTATGTATCTCATTCAGGATGTTGATCCCGTGCCGACAGTGGGTAGTCGCGTCTTTTGGGTTTCGACGGATCAGCTCTATGCAGATGAAGAGCACACAGACGAAGAGAATCAGCGCGCGGTCTGTCGTCGTGCGGAGGAGTTTGATCGCCTCGTTGTAGTGCCACACAGCAAAGGAGCTTGCTTCCCATGATCCGTTGCTGAATGTCTCGTACACGGAGCTGAGCGCCAGCACAGCATGGCTGGCCACAGGTTCTTGGTCCGACATTTGGATCACGACATTAGTCCAGAAGTATGAGTTGAGGGACCCAGCAAAGGCCGGCGCCGTGACCTTGCGGTAAAAGTCCATTGATCGCTCGGCGTAGACGATGCTGGCTCTGGTCGGCTGTGTAGCCCGGATCGAAGTTGTGTTGTTCACGGGGCATGATCTCAAGAGTTGCGCCCAAGAGTACGTTGTCGTAGGCGGGGAGATGTAACCGTCACATCTGCGGCCGGTGGAGATGCATCTCGCGCAAGATGGACGCGCCTCGTCGCATTTGATACGTCGGATCTTGCAGGTTGTACAACCCGTCTTTACTCTTTGTGTGTCTATTCGGGCCATTGCGGTGGTCGACTCAAAGGTTGACGAGATGGCCATGACAGATCAGGCGTAACGCAATTCCATGACATCCAGCTGTTTCAACTGGGTCGTCCAACGAGAGGTGCAATATCAGTCCAGCCGAGAACACAAAGAGTGATAATGCGGGGGACACGTACTCGTTGTATCAATCATATAAATCCAATGATATATGACCAGTGGCAACACAGATCCTGTATACAATACATTAACTTGTCAAAGTTTGGAGGTCAATCTTGGTCTTCGAGGTTTGAGCAGCTCGCTTGAACTAGTCGCTTGAACAAACATCCGCAACAGTCAAGCGTTGGCAGCAGGTCTGGGCGAGTATTGGTTTCGAAACGAGATTTCTGGGGACTGCAAAGAGCTTAGACAAGTTCGGATGCCGTGGGGCATTTAACGAACACACCAATAGTTCGTTAATACTGGAAGCTTTCTTGCCCGTGCCAGACCTGGGTTTTTTGGGATGAAACCGTTCGGCTACCGGCGGCGTGCCAAATGGGAACAGTTTATTGACAATTGATAGAACCTTGATTGTCAAAAGAAAAGTTTGGGATCGTGGTTGAGGCTGGCAACCGGGTATATGCATGATCCGAAGCTCAAACCCGCCATGTGAAGTTTATCTAGGGGTTCCAGAACGCTGAGTATGTGCATAGATGAGGAAACTAGAATTGCGAAGTAAGATTAGTTTCTCCTTATGCAGCTTAGTACCATAGTCTGGGGAAGCCTAGACGAGCATAGCTGATCGTAGGGCTGAAGGTCCAAGCAGCCGGTAAGCACAAAAGAGTGCAGTATCGTACAACATAATGGACGGGCCGCGATATGTGGAAGTGTTCACCGCTCACCTTGCCGAGGTGAGGCGCTCACCGATCAGCCCTGACTTACCTGGGGATCGACGGTCCAGACCGCTATAGACCGTAGCGTGCTGCATTTGGACTGGTGCGAGAACCGAAGCGAGCCAACAGAAAGCTCCCCTGAAAATAGACCAATTACAGCTAAGCTTTCTTCGGAAGCCTCCGGCCTGAGCACCGCCGCCCTTGTTGCGGTTTGCCTCCCCTCCTTCACCGCATTTCTTCAACGACACCCCGCAACCATTCCTGCAATTGCCACCTCCCTTCCACCGTCCGCGGGTGCTCCCTCGAGCAGGTTTCGATATGACCTGATACACGTGGCGACTGCCGTCGAAATGCCACCCAATCGAACCCATCCAACATGTCGCCGTTTCGCCCGCTGCGGCCGCGGCCATTAGCCGAAGGGTCACCGGCCAACCTACGGCAAAATATCGATTCCAATCCTGATTCCAGTGCCGAACCCGGTACCGGTACCGTACGCGGTCCCGGCCCTGGGCCTGGTCGACCTAACATCAGCCTTCGCCGGCCTGCGCGGCCACGCAAGACCAACAGCGCCTGCGATCCGTGTCGGAGGCGAAAGACAAAGGTGGGCTTCGGCTTCCCCTGTCTTGCATTTGCCACTACGGTGTTGTTTCTCAACGTGCCAATTAATTTACATGCCTTGGATTCCGTTGCGTGAGGTGCTAATCGCCGTCTTGATAGTGCGATGGACGACTCCCACGATGTGTCATGTGTGATCACCGAACGGAGAATTGCGAGTATACCTATACCGTCAGACACCGTGTTACTCTCGCCGAAGTGGAGCAGTCCAAACGAGGTGGCCCTGCCGAGATACTCGAATCTCTTCGAACCCTTCCGCCAGAACAAGCCCTCGAATTGTTTCGCAAATTACGCAACGAGACCCACGGCCAGGCTCTGAATCTTGCTCGCCCATCCGATCAGCAACATCTTAGGGGCCTTCTCCCGCCGACGCAGAACAGCCTTGGTTTCGAATTGACGATTCGACACCCTGTGGCATATCCTGCTCTGTTTCCGGTGCCATACACGGACTTGACTCTTGGGGCCTTACTTCAACCTGTGACGAAGGCATGGTTGCAAGGACAGCAAGGGCAGCAAGATGCGTATGTCAATTCTTCTCGAATGTCTGATCCAGATCCTCATTGCCAGAGGAGCCTGTGAACGTTGCTTCAACAGACACACCCATGACAAGATGGCTCGAGGCACGGCCGAATGCCACCACAGCACACTGACTGATAAGCCACAGATTTTCAAGACAGGTCTCCCCTTCCGAGGTTCCATACCTGACTCCCGAACGAGATGAGGGGTTGAAATCAGGATCAAAAACCAGTTCACCTGATCATACGGGGGCTGCGGCTCCCAAACCACTATTCGACGAACGGTTACGTCTGCTTGATATCAGCAAGTGGACAAACATCCCTATACCGAACGACCTTGCCATCAGTATTATATCGCACTATCTTGACATTGATTACGCTACGATACCCCTTTTCGACGCCGACCTGTTTGTACGAGATTTGGTCAATGTTCAACATTTCTTTTGCTCCCCGTTCCTTGTCACTGCCGTCTTGAGTTGGGCATGTGTATGTTGCCCATCATCCCCTTTGCAATCATCAGGGGCTGACACAAACAGCAAGCATATACGACCCTCCATACCGATGCCGCCGCTTTCAGTGTAGCTCTTTTCGCGGAATCTCAGCAGTACTTCTCTGCTCAGCAGCAACCAAATAGCGTCACAACAATTGCTGCACTGCAAATCCTAAGCATGTGCGCCGTGACGTACGGCAAAGACGACATGAGTCTTCGGTTCCTGCAGGAAGGTGTTAGGTTGGGTAAAGCGATGGGCCTCTTTAATGTTCAGTCCGAGGCCGAGTCTGCGACCGTCTGGCTTGGCGGTCATACAGAGTGGACGAGAGCGGCGTCATATACGGCCTGGGGCGTCTACAATTGGGTATCGTGAGTAGCCTTTACGATGTGAACATTGCCATTGAAAGACGCTACTAACCTACGTAGGGTGTATTCCCTCCATTATCGCGTCCACGAAATCCACACACCGCCGTTGCTGCCGATGCCTCGAGATCTGATTGTATTTTTACCAAGCGACGATCCGAGGTTAACCAAGATAACATTTCATGCCCAGCTTCTCAGTGCCGCGAGCGACATGTGGGTGATTTTCAAGGACATATTGAAAAGATTCTACGGCCCTCAATACCATAGCGCCACGCTCGATTCGACACTGAGATTCGCTGAAGGAACCTATCACCGTCTGCTCTGCTGGTCTGGCGCACTTTCTTTGGACATGGCGCGAGGCGAAGAAAGCAACCACAGCGTCATGCTGTTGCAGTACGTCTGGACTAGATCCAGATCTTTTGGTGTAGTTTGACTGACATCGGCACAACAGCGTTTACTTTCACGCCGTGGTTACCGATCTATTCCGACCTTTCCTCGCAACCGAGTACAAATCACAACGTCTCTACTCCTTCAGCACACAGCACGCCACACCCGAGGCAGTCTATGCGTCGTCCGTTACACAGCTCAAGCGACTACTCCTGCTGTACCGCCTGAAGTACAAGAATGCGAATTATTCCGTCCTTTGGCAGACTGCAGTCGTCTACGTCGCCAACGCCATGATCCAGGAGGGCGGATTGGCACTACAGGCCGACGGCCAGCCCGGCAACGAATGGAAATTTTACCTGGATGTGTGCCTCGCAGGCCTAGAGGACTTGTATGCTTCATTCCCTGTCTTTGGGTCAATCGCCCAGGGCATGGTCGGCATGGCGCTACGACACTCGGCGATACGAACAAACAAAGCTACCCGCGTTCTGGCGCAGCTCGATGATATTGAACGGCGACACGCATCTCTTAAAGGCATGACGGATAAGACGGAGGCGCGGTGGATCATCGATTTGGACTTGGCGACGACTGATTTTGAGGGGGCTCAAGCTCGCAACCTCGTTGAAGAGCTTCAGAAGTTGATGGTGGAGCAGACCGAGTCTGAGAACTGGGCGAAGATGGACAACATTGATGAGAGTGTTTTGGCCTGACTTCTTGACCTGTCCTTGGCAAATGCACCGGGATGGATATACTCTTTTGTTGTATTGGACTTCTAACCGTTAGAAAGATATCACCCCACCCTCGACAATCTTCAGTCATTCTTACCCAAAATATGAATCAGGACCTTCTGCGATACACGACGTGGGAGCTTGATAAGCAATGAAATGGGATCGGAGCCCGATCTCTAGGCAGAGCTGACGTAGACCACAACGAACTCTCCGTTGAACAATTCGGAGGAGTCTTCGACTGTGCCGATGGCCGCGACTGCTCGGTCTGAAGTGACCCTGTGCTGGCGGTGAAGGAACATGCTGGTTTTCGGTAGAAAATCACGGAAAGCAGCTCTAGGTAAGAATAACGCGCTGGTCACTCGGATGATTTCAAGTTTATTTCTCATTGGTCTACGGAGCCTGTTTTGTGATTGCCCTCGATCAGGAGGCATAGAGACTGCTCGTGTAATTCTTGATGAGACAAATCAAGGGCCTCTGGCAGACTGACAGGGAAAGTAGATGAAAGATTGTCTTGATCTCTTCCAGCCGCAGTTGAGATTCCCAGTGATGTTCCCCTATCCAATACCTTACAAGCATCTTCAAAGTGGCTGATAGTCCATGGGAGGCCATCAACGACGTGTCTTCAAGATCTCGTATAACTTGGCGTTCCTTGTATGCTCGAATCATTCCCATGACGTTGTTTCGCGTATATTGGTGATGACTTTTGGAATGATTGGTTTTGATTCGGTTTGTGAGGGAAAAGCATTCTTACCAGTGTAGCCAAATTACCGAAGGAAGTAGGAGGCGAAACCAGGGGCCTGCTCGCCACTATGATCATTGCCTTATCGACCGCCGTCGTCACCGCCTCTATAAGGCTCTCCAAGGAGCCTAGCCCATCTTTCCTTGGCCTTCTCGTCCAAAGGCTGACCTTGCATGTGCGCGCCAAACAACGTCAACCTGTTCCCGTAGAAGCACCGCGACTTGCACTTCAACTTCATGGTCAGCTTAAATACTGGCTCGGTCCCATCCCTCCCAATGTGAGTGATAAGCCAAGTAAACGTGGTTAAGACGTTGGCAAGCTCTCTGTTAGCCGTTCGAATAGCGGCGATGGCATCGTCAGAGGATTTATCAACGTTGCCGTCATCATCTGTAGTGACGTCGACGCCCAACAGTTCTGCGCACGAGGCAATGAGTTGATCGGCGTGCATGTCGCCCGTCTTCTAAGCGGATTTCACTTCATTCCGAATCCTCATCGTCTCCTTGTGCGCCGGATAAAGACAGTCTTCAAAGGCCTCTCGCACCTGAGCTTTTCCCAAATCTTCATCATAGATGTTGATACGAGTTTTGAGTTCTCGAGCACATTTGGCTACATGCTTTCCGTCAGCTAGATCTACTAGAAACAGTCTGTGAAGAGTACGACGATCGATCTTAGAGATACGGTCGGCATCGGCGGCGTCGTACTCAGCAATCAGCTTTTGAATGTTGATCTCGCCGGGTAGACTGGGCGTTGTGCCAGGCTGATTACCCAACCCAGGCCAAGTGAGATGGCCATCTGGGCCCACTGTGACGGACTTGTCGATAAGCCCTGCGTTCTGGCCCTGTCGGATCTTTTTGATAAAGACTTTGTAGTATTCCTTGGCATCTTGGATATCCTTTTCATGTGAGATGGATGGACTGGAGGGGCTGTCGACATTTCTATTCTCGGCTTCAAGCTCAGTTGACGCCTGCGTATCTCCAATGTTCGGACGAGAATATGAGTTGATAGTCACCACCTCTGGCCAGACGTCTTTGGCGCTGACCATAACTGGTGATAGATCTGATCCTGGTAGGGCTTCAAGGCCTCGAGGCGAATCTCTCCATCGGCGACGGGACTCCAAAGGTCCGGGTTGGACTGAATGTGGGAGAGGTAGAAAACTTCGGGAAACGAAAGAGGAGGCAAATTTGAAGATGGGATGCCTATCATGATCATGTGGGAGAGGCAGTCACGAGTGCGCAAGCTTTTATGTGGGTTGATTTTGACGCGATATTTGAGCGTAAAAGAGGAAAGAAAGAATGCAGACTGCGATTGAAGGAAGCACCGCGGTCTCCTTTGTATGAATACAAGGCAGGAAGTGATGGAGAGTGGGCCGAGGTAAGGTACCTAAAAGGTACCTTCGGTGTCCGAGGTGAGGCAGTCAGCGGAGTAAAGAACAATCCAGAGGGTAAGATGTATGTACAAAGCAAAGACCTACGGGGGCCTTGCTGCGTCGCAGTGAGAGTATTCAGCTTATTCTGAAGTGATTTTTTGAAGCTAACGACAATCTCTTTTGGCATGGCCGTTCTCATGCTTCGGCACCGGAATTTCTGCAGTAAGTCAAGGACCTATTATGCTCAAGTTGAACAGAATCATGTCCAAGTACTCAATACCGAAAGGGAAGACGGGATGAAGGCGGCTTCAGATATTTTGAATATGCTCTCCACAAGATCTACCTGCCTACCCAAGACTGTCTTGCTCACCTACCTCAGATGGGATCAGCTTCAGCATCATCAACAACCAGCTCCTCTTCCTTCTCTTCGACCTTCACCTTCTCAGCCCCCAGCACCCTCACACCTTCGTCCTCCGGCTCCTCTCCCTTCCCCCAAGCCTCAGGCCCAAGATACCTCCTCGGCCAAATATTCATCGCAGTCTTCAACCCATCCCCAACAGGCAACCCAGCATGCACAACCCTTCCATCCCCCGTCCCATTCCCATGCAAATTCACCCAAAACACCGCATTACCCCTCACGGGCTTAAACGCGATCCCGCCATCATCATGCTTCCTCCACATAGTCCCTTCACCATCCTCTCTCCGATGCTGCGGCGTCACAGCCTCAATCTTGGGAAACCACGTCTCGCCGCCGGTACACTCATCTTCCAAAATCGCGAAGAAGCTCGCCACACGGTTCCACTTCCTTTTACGTCCCGTCCTAACATCAGGTTGGAAATCATCGTACCAGTCGTGGTGGACGTTGAATCTTTGGCCCTGTGTATACCGCACCAACTGAGGCGGCCCAATCTCATCCCGCCCGGGCGCCATCATCGTGCCCAGGAACCCTTCCGCCCTGGCGAGCACACATTGCACGGCGACGTCGTCGGCAGGGAGACCGGCAGACCAGGAAGTTCTATCTGGCGTTCCCTGCGTTCTGCCATTTTTGACGACGTAGGAGGGTTTGAAGGCTGGTTCGCCTGCTTCGAGAAGAGATGTGATGTCTGCTTCGGAGAGGAAGTTGTGGATGTAGATTACTAGTGGATCGAGGGAGACGATTTGGGTGGTGTAGTTTTGGGATCGGCAGATGTAGGGCTCTGCTGTCAAGATCTCCGGTTCAGAAGAGGCGCCGTCTGTTGGTGGGGACAGAATCCTGTTAAGGGAAGTCTGGAGACGGGAAGGGATGTTGTGTTGTTGAATGTAGGGAATGGAGATTGCTACGAGAGCCGTATAGGCTGATAGTCCGAGGACCTTGGTGATTGCGCTCATGATGTAGCACCCTTTCGGAGCGACTGTACACGATCAACAATAGCGATGATGAAGAGACGTCATGGGACGGGCAGAAGTCAGGAGTTTGGGAGTGTCATCTTCATTTAAGAGCGCACTTCAGACCCTGTCTTGGCTGCCTAGGGTCCTACACTCGCCTTGCTACTCGTGAGTGCTGATCCGGTTCCTCTACTTCAAATCCGTCCCCAATCCGACATTCCGAACGCGCCTCAGGTAGATCAAATGGAGCGTCGTCCTCCGACTGGGCGGAGAAATTCTGTCTTCACCCGGACCGCATCCCGTACCCCGCATTTTTGGGGTAGCTGTACCTCACCGAGCCTTGCCGAAACCTCTTGGGGCACAGCTTCAGGTGAGAGCTCGGTGAAGGTTGTTGCCATCTGCAAACTCGTAAACACAACGTTCGACCTTCCTGAGATCCCACTATCTCATAGCAAAGGAGCTACAAACAGAAGGGGCGAATACACAGCATCTTCCGTATCGTTTCAGGTACAAAAAAAGTAAAGAAAGAAATAGAGGGGGGGGGGGGGGAGCAAACTCACGCCCCTGCCTGGAATCGCACAGCGCGCCCCTCAGTCAACCAGAACTCTGACTTCATGAGGATCATTGTTTATTTGATCACTGGAATACCTGGCACATAGCTTGACCTGACCTCGCCAACCTAGACGGGCGCTGCCGTGCTGGTGCCAAGAACTGATATTGAGGGGGTATACAAACTCTGGGATGCCCAAGGTACTAGGTAGGTAGGTCAAGGAAGGAACGAGATACGCACCTCAGAGGTGGGAAGGAAAGAGGCAGGTGTCTTGATGGCCCCTTTAGACCCCGCGCTGCACCCAGCTCGCCATCACTCAAATATCATAAACAGTGACAGGAGAAACACCGTTAGGACGAACGGAATTACTTTGTAACTCCATAGTATTTAGATATGCAATGCTTCTCGACCCATAGGCAGCAGATCTGTCTTCAAGATTTTGCTCATAGTGGCATCCACGGCTTCCCAGATACCAGGACAATATGCGTACAGCAAGATCCGGCGCAGCAGTATGGAAATAAATCAAACGCCTTCCTGTTCGCCTTTTTGCACAATCGCATCCACTCTGTCCCAGTGTTGCACGAAAATCAGGGGCTATGGCGGAAGGTTCCAGGAAATACCAAAAGCCCCATCGAGAAAAGATTCCTGAACTATGATAGCAAACGACACGCTAGAAATGCACCATTAAATCCACTCCTTGTCGCTCTAGATCTGGCTGTGTCGCGCACGCTTGCGAGCGCTTCCTTGAGATGATGATGGGTGCAGCTTGTCGTTCTTCTCCCTCTTGAGCTTGTCGTCGAGTACACGGGCTATTGGTAGTTAGCATAGTCGTTCTTTTCACCGTATCTGAACGCCGCCACATACTAAGCACGTCGTACCCGAATTGGGGGTGCTCCAAGCACAAAGAGCGGAACTCGTTCTCGGCTTCGGAGCGGAGGGTGTGCGAGCGCATGGCCCAAAACTGCGCGACGGGGGCGCGGATGGTGGTGTCGTCCTTGCCAGTGTAAGCGTAGACGTAGCGGGCGTAGGCGATCTCGCCCTTGGCCGTTGAGTTGACGCAGTGGATCTTGGAGCTGGCGAGCGAGCGTAGACTTGGGACACCGAACTTCTCAGCCAGGGTATAGACGCGCGCGTGCTTCAGCAGTTGCGTGCCGTCTGCATCGACTTCGGGAGTCGAGGGATCTTGCTCGAGTGTGCGCGAACCGGCGACCTTGCGGGGGAAGTACTCCCCTGTGTAGAGGAACTCGAGGAAGCATCCGACGGCGTCGAGATCTTCACCGACGAGCTCAATTTGGCGCGGCTGTTGCGCACTGTGTCAGCTATTGTCGGGCAAACGCAGAATGCGCCGGGTGGATGCCGCAACCTGGGAGGACCACTTACGCCACCATCGTCGCTGAACTGGGCGCAGGCCTCCTTGAAGAAGGGGCTTTGCACCAGAAGCGCCTGGTGAGCTGTGACAATTGCTTCCGACTCGCCCTGGCCGACCAAGAGGGTGACGACGGGGCTGGACAGGTAGCTGACAAAAGTGGTGCGCGGCTCGACGGGGTCGCTCTCGCCGCCCTCGGCAAAGGGGAGTTCCTCAGCGTTGGCATCGCCCTCCTCGGCCATCTCAACGTCGGCGCCAGGGTTGGCCGGGGCACCCTCGACAATCTCGACGTCGTTGTTGAATTCCTCGGCCATTGTGACTGGTTCGGTCGCGATTGCGCGGTCTGGCTCGTGTGTCTGGTTTTACTTGAAGGAGTGATTCGATCAGACCGCGTCGGGCAGCACGGTTTGTCGCGTCAGGAATCGGTCAATTGGTCGCGTAGACGTTTGGAACAAGTTGGGCGCGTAAGGACAGGCATAAAAGAACGTGGTGAACGTCAATTTCTAGACGGAATTGAAATTGAACCAACGGCAAGCGGGAGTTGGGAAGAGAAAGTCTGTCCAGGTTCCAGGTTGGGGGGGCACGGGCGAGGCGCCGGAGCTCTGAGCTTCAAGGAAAAGGAAGGTAGGAAACCAAGCTGGCTGCAGCTGCCCCCTCCATGCGCACAGCTCCCAATGGTCCATCCGTTCTGCACCCGTTAGAAGCGTGACTGGGAGGGGGGGGGGGGTTCCTTTCCGTTTCCACAGGCAACGTGCGACTCTGGGCAGGCATAACCCATCCAACCCGCAGACTTTCTCCAGTGAGTGTTCCTGCCAAGCGCAACGCAACGCGATGATAATCGATAAGCTTCCATTTGATCGCAATTTATCGATAAGCCACTTTTCGCACGCGATCCCTTATCATTTGGGTCGGGGCATATGTCATCGCATCTCAGGTCCCTACCTCTCTCCAGGAAGAAACACATTTGTTGAGACGAAAATTAATGTTCATATTGTCGCGTAGCATTCGGATTCGGAAAACAGTAAAATTGTCAACAAAGTCAATGGCCAAGACACTGTTAGAAATCACATCAGCGCCCAACACCATCGTCTTCTTCAACTCAAGGAAAAGGAGCCTCAAAAGTTATGTTCAATAACAAGGGGACAGCCCCACTCCATTAAGTGTGTACTTTGTACCATGAAGAGAATCGCTATCAGACGTAACATACCCAGAAGTACACCGTTGCAATGCAATGTGATGATGCGCTCTTGCTCCTTCAAATGCCACAACCATGCTGCAAACTCAGTGACCTATCCCATTGCCCCCAGGTCTTCTCATTATGCCCTCCTCATTTCCATTGGTTTTCCTGCCCGGAGTGCGCCGACTCTCTAGGCTTCCTGTTCAACGACAAATTCGGTAGGCTGGGATGCATGAGCCTCAATGGCTGCTCCTGCTTTAGAACCTCCCAGTGCTTCTTCAGCGTATCTTCTCTGACCACCAGCTCAAAGTTCGCCAGGAAGCAAAAACTAATCTCCAAGCGCGCCAACTCGACGTCGCTGACGCCTCCAACTTTGGCAATCTTGCTGTGCGGGTAGCTGAGGTCTTCCAACGCCTTCATTGCCACTCGAAGTCCCGCTAGAACCAGTCGATGCGCATTTCGCCGCGTCACAGGAATCGCTCGTTCGTCAACAGCTAAGCGGTGGATATACAGGCTAGTAGCAAGGTACACGGCAGTGCTCATCGGGCACCATTGGTGGATTCGCGCTAGATATTCGTCGATACCAATGGGCGGCGGTTTCTTAGAGTAGAACTTGCGCGTGATTGCACTATGCTGAAGATTAATCGGCTGCGAGTTCTCCCCAATTATTATATGTGGTTCGGGTGCTTTCGGTGGCGATGGTGGTGTCGGTGATTGTGTCTGCCGCAGATGGACACCGTCTATTAATTGTGGTGTTGAGCTACTCGAGCCGCTCATCTGGGACATCATCGGTGGTCGACGAGGCGAAGACGCTGAAGCGGCGGCTGCAGCCTCGGCCTCCTTGCGCATGCGAGCCAGGTTCTTTTGTGAGCTCGTGCGAATGAGCTCCTTCTCTGCCGCCATTCCTCTCATATTGGGTAGTGTCGGGCTTGTGGGTGGTGGTGTCGGAGGAATATCGCCTGTTATCTTCACGAGAGCCTCGATTCCACCACTCAAGAGCTTCATCGCCGCCCTAGGCGATAACTTGAAGACATCGGTGTTTTCGGGGACATTCGGTGGGCTATCGCAGTCGGCAACGCTCAATCGCGGATCGGAAGAAGGGTTCGGCGGCGGCGGAAGGTCGGGGACGGCACTCGCGTTCGAGTCTGTCTGCTGCAGAGGCAGGTCCTCCCCATCAGGCTTTGGAGTCATCCCTGCAGTGTTCTGGTGTTGGTCCTGGGGGACACACCGGGGATGGTTATAAGGCGACAATGACGTCGGCTTAGGGTACGAGAGCAGTGTCTCGGTGTGTTCGGCGTGGGCAACAGCGAGCATCTAACGCTTCGAGAAAACAAACAATCGTAAGCAAAAGCCCCGACGGAGGCCGTGTGATGTGTGTACCGTTGAGCTTTTTCACACAACTCTCATGGCCCAAACTACTATTTTTGCACAGTTGCAGTTCCCTCGGCCAGATTCGGCTTGCGGGGGTCGGAATATGTCGCGGGGAGCCTCTTTCGCAGGTGACGCCCAAATGATCTGGCCCGAATGGCGTACTTTCGAGCCGTTCTAAGACAGGCTAACAGACTTGGCCTTTGGAACCAAAGAAGGAACTTGGCGTGGAATCGTGGTTCGACTAGTAAGATGGAATTATCGTCGTTCGGTCGCGAAAGATGAAAAGGCGAGCGGAGGGGCAAGCTGATTAACGGCGTAAGGCGATATTTCACCAAGGGTGTCTCTTGGTAGTCAAGAGGGGTTCGAAAAGGTCGGTCAATATTAATGCGGTGCGGCTGCACGTCTCGTTTGGGGGGTTAAAGCAAAGCAAGTGGTTCGGTTGGCAATGTCTCGCTCGGAGCAATATCGTTGGTGGTGGTATCGGTGGTTCGTGGTGGTGGTCTGGACCGACAAGGTTGAATTACTGGTAAAGGTGCTTGTGACAGAGCACAATCTTTTTGCTGATCTCGAAGCTAGTGCGGGGAACTGCAGGCATGCGGCAGGCGAAGAGAGCGCAAAAGACACGGCATCCCCGTCGCGGTGGAGGGATCGGCGATCGTCTGAAGTTGAGGACGCTGCAAAGTGCTGTATTAATGGCCAAACACACTGCAACTGCAGGTAAGTGGCAGGCCAGACAACGATGAAGGCCGGGGAGGAGGACGGCTTGGAGCTGCAGGCGAAGCGATGCGCTGAGAACGGATTGGGTGCCACCTGCAAGAAAAGCAAAAGGCTAGGCAGGCCGTAGAACAGCAGACTATGGGTGGCGTTTGCCTGAGGGAATTGGAGCTGGTGCGATGCGGCGGACGTCGCCGGTGCAAAGTGTACGAGCAGGGAAGCGTAGGTAGTGCCGCACAGGGGATTGAAAGTCGTATTATTCTCTGCAGAGGCGACCTGACCGGGAACGCGCTTCAACAAGCCGTGTAGCCTGTGTACTCGAGCAGATAGCGGTGGATAGACGGGCTGAATAGACCGGCGGAAGAAATGTTGTAGTAGTTTGGCGGGCAAAGAATTGCGGTATCAGTGGATGAGCATCTGATGAGTCGACAAGTACTCCAAGCTAGTTGTGGCTGGCTGGCTTGTTGATGGGGCGAGAGGGGAGATATGCAGGAACCACGACAGGAGGTGAGCCGAGGTGGCGAAGAGGATGGCCAAATGTAAAGAAGGATGGGATGATAACGGATGGGCTAGTGCGCTACCTTAGCCAGATGGGTATCGAATGTGTATTGATGAATTTGCTGATCCTGGATCGTCGTGGACGTCGCCGGCTATGCGTCAGTCGTGGTCTGCGTCTGCATCTGCATGTAATGTCGTCGAGTGCGCCGGGTCGGGATGGGAGACCGGGACATTTTAATGAGCGGTTGAAACTTTGGAGAAATTTCAGTGTTCGGAAGGAGGCCGGGATTCTGGGAAGGCGGACGTGGAGGTGGAGGTGGAGGGGCAGGCAGGCAGGTTCCACAGGCCGAGGATGGAACTGTGTGAAAGTAGAGGCAGCCCCTTCCTTGTTGCCCGTTTGCCCGTATTGTTTCTTTCCCCTTCCTTGTTCTTGTCATCCTCTGTGCCTTCCTCAAGCATTCTGATTTCCTTCCCTATTCTGAGGTGATGCTTACAACTTCCCTTCCGTTCTCTGCGCCGTCTGTGGTAATACCTTACGTCAAGGAAGGTATATACGTACACAGTCATCCATCCACCCATACATCTCGGGAAGGACCACAGAAACAACACCTGCTGACTTGGACTTGACACATTTCGCCCGCACACTCTTTTACACACACAAACAAAATGGCAGCCGCGCGCTCCATTTTGGGTTTACATCGCCTCGCATCGGGCAGGACGGGTGCAGAAGTAGCTCGGCTCCCGCGGTGACGGTTCAAATTCTCGTGTAATAAGTGAGGGGCTCCCTGGCAACGGGACATCACTAAGATGCGATTAGGTGCCCGTTAAGGCCCGATAGCAGATGGGTTGCCCTGATATCGACGGAATTTCATTCACCCAAGCATGGCGGGAAGATAATTTGCAGTATTTGATAGGAGTACCGGTAGCGTGTAAGGTGTTGTCTTGCAGGTGGCATCCGCTCGCCCTTTCCTGCCTTGCCCTGCAGTGTTTCCTTCCTCGTTTCTCAGTCCTGTCGCAAACCTGGAATGTGCTTCCTCCAAATCCCCTCAGCGGGCAGCTTCCATCCATGTGGTGTGGTGGTGAATTTGAGCAGGGGTTCGACGAAGCTAAGAGCAGCACAGACACTGGCCTGGCCAGTGCTGTGCCCCCACTCCCCCGTTTTATTTTGGAGGCAGGCGCTGATGGTGGCTCAAAGTGGAGATTTAGGGGTCCCTTTTTTGCCTGTCAAATGACCAGATTTGATGCACGAGCCCCGGATAATTGAGGCAGGCGGCACATAGCAGCAGGCAACTTCCAGATCTTCTAGACTTTCTATCCACACCGAGCTCGACTGGCTGGTGGAGCTTTTCAATAATGTGAGGTGTCTTGAATCGCCATTGATTTTTTCTGCATCTTCCCACGCCGCTGCAGATTCGATGTGACGGCAAACTGACGATAATGATACGAAGATCCAGTGTGTCCTTGTCCGAACGGCCCATCGGTGGCAAACACATTCAGGTCTCCGCCAGACACCACGCCACTTCCTTCTCCCGACTTACCTTAGTCGACGAACATGGCATCGAATACTTACCTACCCCCAGGCTTGTGCCACAAACCCACCCATCCTTCCTCAATTCTCCCTCACGGCTAGTCAGACTCGGCGCATACACACCACTCCGACTAGCCATGATTCTGGCCGGCTTCTCGGGGAGATCTACCCGCTGGGTTAGGGGAGGTCTCGCTACTGTTAGGCTCCTTTGGCCTCATTCACCGTCGCCGGCAGACCATTGCAGCAATGATAACGAACGGCTCTCGCATCAAACAATACCATCTCACTCATACCCTCCGTTTTTGTGGTGACTGACGTCGGAAGCTACCCAAGCGAATATGATTCATCCCAAAGCTAGCTGACAAACCATTGTCCTCGATGGATTTCTTGCAGCAACCTCGAGAGTCTTACTTACACCCAAGAGTCACCCATGCCTGTCCGGCAACGTTCTGAGCGCTATCGTATCCCATTCAAACTTCAAATGTTCAGCCACTCTCTATTTTGCCGGGTGAGCCCCGCGACAGCCCATCTACGTCTGCGAAAACAAGCGTCAAATCTACCAGGCCACGCTCTACCAGCCTGGTGAAGATACCTAATGCCATCCGCTTATACCAGCCCTCTACTCTCGCCGTTTCGTTCTAGTTCATCAACGCTATATCTATGAACCCAGTGCCACCTTGATATCCAAAACAGCGGGCTGGCCGCCCTGCACCGTCTCAATAGCCTTCTTCAGCACACCATCAAGATCCGCCGCATTATCTACACGAGCAGCAAACAAGTCTCCACCCGCTGCCGCCTTGGCGATGCCGGCATAATCGGGTGCTGGGTCGAATGAAATGTTGATTTCTTCGTTGGTCGCCCTGGAACCTTCACCGTCAGGGTGCACCAGAAGAAGTGACCGCCTAGGGGCGTTCCATCCTGTCGTCATATCAGCCTTCAATTCAGACTAGCCAAAATGATTCATCAACCACTTACCCTTGTTATTCAAAATAATCGTCAGAATAGGAATATTGTATCTCTTGGCGATCCAGTATACGCTACCTGGCACAGAGAAGAGGAATGTGCCATCACCAACAATTTGCACAACAAACTTGCCCTTGTTGTTACCGCCGTTCTCGAAATCGGTTGCCAGCTTGATACCGAGAGCGCCACCGCCAGACCATCCAAGGCCACCGCCACCGCAATTGATCCAAGATCCGGGCAGTGTGGGCTGAAGATTGTCGTGGACGAAAATGGTGTTTGTCACAGCCTCAATGGCCCAGATAGTGTCCTCTGGGCACAGCTTCTTCAGTGACCGGGTAAGGTGGCCAGTGCCGAACTCGCCATCCGCCTTGGGCTGCGCCTTTTCCTCAATCTTGGCAAGAAGTTGCTTGTGAGACTCCTTGACCTTTGCCTCGCGCTCCTTGGCTTCCGCAGACTCAAGTTGAGCAGCATACTGACCCTTTAGGTGTGCAGTGATCTGTTCAATTGACAACAGGCTGCTCGCTCGGTATCTCGACTGGGCGGCGATGTAGAAGACGGGCATTTGCTGCTTGAGCGGGTCGACATCAATATGGAAAATCTTGGCGTCCTTCTTGGGGTGGCACAGAGTGTTGATCCACGGGACGTCGCAGTCGAGAACGACAATGACGTCGGCAGTGTTTACCGCGTCTTCAATGCCAAATCGAAGTCCCAGCCAGCCAGGGTGGTCTGCAGGGAAGCACATGTCGCTACCCCCCGTGTCAACAACGCGCAGGCCCTTGACAGTGTTTGCGAGTTCAACGAGAGCGCCAGGGAATCGATGGTCTCTGCCGCCGAATCCAGTGACAATGAGGGGCTCCTTTGCACCAGCCAATGCTTCGGCAATCTTGTTGACGGCGTTCTTGGGAAGACCTCCGAGCTCAACGGGGTCCCAGTCCTCTTGACGAATGCTGTACGGTTCGACCTCGGCCTCCATCACCTCTCTAGCACCGCAAAGATATACGGGCCCTTGAGGATCTGACTTGGAGAACTGAAGGGCGCGATTCACCATCTGCTTAACATTGGCTGCTGTCTTGAGCTCGCCAGAGTACCGGCAGTATTGCGAAACGATTTGCTTTTGATCGGGGACATCCTGAATCCAGTGGATGTACTCTGTTCTGCTGCCCCTCATCTCGCCTTCGATAGTGAAGGGAGACAGACCAGCAAACACCAAAACGGGCGCGCGGCCGCATGACGAGTTGTGAACAGCAGCGCCGAGACCTTGCGTTCCTACGTCGACGTGGACAATAACACATTGCGGCTTTCCGGTCAGGCGAGCGTAGCCGTCGGCCATGGACATGGCGACCATCTAGATACGTCATTAGCACATGTCCAATTGGACGCACGCGGGAAGACGGAATCTCATTACTTCGTTGGGACATGTGATGATTCTGGGGAAGTTTCCCTTTCGCTCCCTCTGACCCTTGACCATGGCTTCAATAATACTGGGGTGGTCGGAACCCAGGTTCACGAAGCAGTGGGTGACGCCGGCGTCCCATAGCGCCTCGAAGAAGGCGAAAGACGCGGTATACATTTCGGTTGACTTTGACGAAAGGCTCCGGGCTTGTTCGATAGTGGCCTTGAACTCGTCCTCGACAAGCGGCCGAGAGGTGGTGGGCTTTATACCAGCGCCGGCATGGGAGGATGGTGGTGATGTTGATCCCCCACTTCGATGCAGTGGGGCAGCGGATGAGAAACCGGCAAGTTGACGAGCAGGGCCGCCGACAACGGCTATGCTGGGCGCCAATGTCTGGTTGAAGCGGACTAATCTCCCTGGGCGCCCACCTGCAGGGCCGAAGCTGCGCAAGCAACGTGCCATTGGCACCGGCAATTGTCTGAATGGCATGGTGAAGAACGGCAATAACAGGCCAACTAGCCGGCCAGAAGTGTGTATTGGGGGGGGGGGGGCGGGGTATCAACAAGTAAGGTGGTTGTGTGTGTGTGCGTGTGTGTGCGTAAGAGTGTGTGTGATTGACTACTTCACAGTGTTATCAAACACCTTTGAGGGAGGGGAAGAGTCTCGCTTGGCAACTGCGTCAGTACGGAACAGTCTAGCACCTAGGAGTCGTCGAGCTTGTGTGGCACACGTCAAGCAAGCTGTGGATGAACGACTCGACCGATCACCGGTGTATGGGATACGGGATTTGACCGATGACGCGCCGCGGCGGAGAAGTTGCACGATTCTGGAGACTTTGTATAGGCTTCGTCCTCTGAGCTGGAGCCTGATGGAGTAGTTTGACTGAAGTCAGTCGGGACTGAGTTTCCGGTGACGGGCGACAAAGACGAGTTTATACGCCCGGAACTGGGATCATTCAACAGACCGGTGGCCGGTCCAAGCTTGTTCCCCAGAAAAGGGAGCATCACGCCCTTGCGGCCCCCTTGGGCTAACCCCGCAATCGGCTCAGGGCCCGGTTTCATAGGGCGCTTGTTGTCGGCTCACTGCAGGGTGTCCAACACCACCTGTCACTAGGCGACAGAGCGCCTCCATAGCCGCTGGTCATTTTACTTTAGCCCCGAGAGAAGGGAGCACAAGGCGCCGTGGAGGGGCATGTACAAGGGTTGAGGAGCAGGAGAGTGAGAGGCTGATAAGAGGAGACAGCCGTTGAGATGACATGGCAGCAGGCAAGCTTCATCCCTGAGTGATGTAGTTGATAGATGAGCTTGATGATGCGATGTTTCTAGTCTTTTACCGTTTCTGGCCTTCTGTTATCAAGATGAATCTCAAGGTCAAAAAGTCCCAGCTACCTACCCTTTGGGGTAGCACAGTAGGTACTTATGTGTCAAACGCCGCCCTGGGCCGAGAATTACCGCTTCCCAGCCCCGAACAAGACGTTTTGAGATGAACAATGGGCTAGGTAGGAATCCCGATTCCCAAGCTCAAGTCCCGTCTTACTGAGAGTTCCCCGCAGCAAAGCGCGCGTCCGGGCGTTCCCTGGAGCACCCAGCTGATGCATCGAGCTTGTGCGGGGTGCAGGCGGTGTTCTCTTGTGGCTTTTATTATTAGCTAAGAGGATCCGCTCGGCCTTTGAGCTTCGATGCAGAGAAGCCCGAAGCCGAAGCCATCGAAATGAGGGCACGAGGTGAGCAATACCCAGTTCAATTGATCATATATCTGTCATTATTTACTATGATTTTATCTGCAAGATGCTATATTCTGACTAAGCCACGTTTCTTCACACTTTAGACATGTACAACCACCATCTTTATGCATCCTGCCTCAATGCATCTGGCCAGATCCATCCCAGCACAGAACCAACGCCAAACGCAACAAGGCACGTCAAAATCATCGTCGCCATGAGGCCCGCATAACTCGTCCTCTTCGGCACCGCCACCGGCGGTTTAGCCCTTCTCCTCCCCGCTGAAGCCTGTCTCGTCGCAGTCGGCTTCGCCGTCAAGAGACTCTCCCACGAATACACCGTTGCCGCCGTCGGCGTGCCGTACAACGTCGTCTCCTGCTTATCCATCGTCTGGTACCCATACCCCGTAGTACTCGGCACCGCGCTCGGCGTGCTCGTCGTCACGGCCGTCGATTCGCCGGACCAATCGTGCCCATCAAACGCTTTATACCACGACCACTGCGAGTCGGGGTCGTTCCAGTCCGCGAGAATACCCGGGCACTCGTTGAGGCAGTTGAAGAGCCCCGCGCCCGTGCCTTGCTTCTTGTTGCCGTGCTCGTCTGCGAATTTGAGGCCGCAGGTGCGGTAGCAGCCGTACGAGGAGCAGGGGAGGGAGTGCCACGGCTTCAGCCAGCCACCGTAGGATTCCCACGCGGTCCAGTCCTTGATGTCTGTGTTTGTGAGGGTGAAGTCTGGGGAGGACTCGACGCCGTAGTAGTTTGTTTGGATTCTGGAACCGTTGAAGGCCATGGCTGTGATTTTGTAGGATTCGGAAGGGCCGAGGTCTTTGGGGATTGTGATTTTGGGGTTGGTTGTGCCCATTGGGATGAAGTCGCTCAGGTAGCCTGCCAGTCGACCGGTTGTCAGTGATGCACTTTATCGGTACTGCGCAAGGATACCGAGGTAGGAAAGAAGGGCCTCATACAGGTGTACATCCATTCCTCGGTGTACAGGAACAGCTGGTAGTGCTCGTACAGCATGTCGTGGCCGCAGCCGACCTCCTCGTCCACGGGATTCCGGCATACCGCCACGATCTCGTCAAACACTGGGCCGGGGAGGGTCTCGTAGACGAACGGCTGTTTCCAGTCGTCGAAGCCGATTTCAATTTCTGTCTCGACGCCAGCTTTGATCTCGGAGGGAACGGTGACGTTCAAGGCGTGCGCTGTTGTGAGGAGCGTAGTGAGGAGCGCGAGGAGGGTGTTGGGAAGGGCCATGGCCGCGGTAGTGGCGATAAGTTATCGTGATCGCGATCGTGGAGGTCGAGTGTGAAAGCCGGTAGTCACTCACGTGAACCAGGCGTTGAGCGAGTGGACGGGAGGCAAGCGCTCCCTTGTTGTTGGCGACAGCAGCGAGTGCAAGTGTGGATGACGGAGGAAAGAGGCCATCGCGAAGAAAACTTATGTGACGGCTGATCGTGTTGATGCGAAGGATCGGGATGCTAGACAGGGGGCGATGGGATTTGCTTGGCTCCTTCCTGCTTGGTCTGCGCTAAAAAATAAGCCTAAGTACTTTGGTCCCTGGTGGAGTCCCCGGAGTCGCCCGGGATCGGGCCCGGAAGTGGGTCTATTTTCGGTATATGGTCTGGAGGAGGTCGGGGCGAATTGCGGACACTGGTCGCTGACCATCGACGAACTTTTGGTTGGGGTCGTCATTTGTTGCAAAGCTTCGTGTTATGTGATGAGAAGGTAAAATCATCGGACGACAGCGCTGCACAGAATCAGTCGAGGGTTACATCAACTTCGGTGTAGTACTCTCGGGACTCTTAATGCGCTCATTCCTGAGCATTGAACCCTGAGGATATAGTACGCGACAAGTATTCCAGTCTCTTGAAGAATATTCCGTCGCATTATAGCCATCACAGCCGGGAAAGACTGGCCTCGAGTGCTCGGGGGTCTGCTTCAATACCACCCCGCTCGCATCGGACTGCCGCATGATGTTTGGAGCTCGAGGCCTTTTACCCTGAGCTCCAACCTGGAGCTCCGCATGACCTGGTTTGCATGTTCAGATGAACGCTGTTTGAGATACTTAAGCTGCCCCTCTCTCTGAGATCATACTCTATGAGGAGGCTCCCCTTTCATGATGAATACTCCTTTTCTGCACGCCAAAGGTCAACTGAGATAGAAAACGCATTACAAAATTTTGCTACCCCAGCGATCTCGATAAATAACACAACAGACCGAATTCTGAACAATATGTCTATGAACATAGCATCCCCTTTCTCTCCTTACCCGAGCTACGTCCTCGGCACCGGCCTCACCTTTATAGGCCTCCTAGGCTTCGTCCGGCCCCTAGCAATTTATGATGCCTTCGGCATTGCCCGACCCCTCTCCGCAGAAGCCGAGGCTTTTAGCTACGCCAAGTCCGCGCGCGATCTAGCTACGGGGTTGCTGTTCCTCGGGCTCGAGACATATCAAGAGGGAAGCGGGAATGAAGACGCGGTGACTGCATTATTGGCTATTACTTCGCTTGTTGGAGTAATGGATTGGTGGATTGTTAGGAAAATGGGTGGGAAAGGAGGAAGAGGGGATGGGGGAAAGGCGTTGACGCATTTGGGGAGTGGGGTTGTGCTCGGGAGTTTCGCCATTTGGAGGTGGATGTATTAGTCTTGGATGAGCGATCGTTTTATCGCGTCCTTCCCGTGACGGAGGTTGGTGTCCAATGCAACGCAGATCCCAAGCAACTTGATGATCAGTAGTGTAGCCCAGGCCACATCGAATCATCTTTGGTGGCTTGTTTTTGACTCCAGCTTGACTAAGTGTTCGTGTTCTGCTATAATTACGGCCTGGAAGACTCTCTAATTTATCTTGCGCCCTTGTATGTGCGAGCCTCAAGCCTTATCCTTGTCGACGATGGTCCTGGGCGAGACCCTGATCTGCCAGTCGCTAACGTTGTGGTAATCGCCATACGTCCGGAGCGCCCTCGACAGGATCTTGTACTCGCCGCTCTCGATCGCACCACCGTGCGAGAAGTTGCCGCTCGGCCACCACGTGCTCGACGGCAAGCGCGGGTACTGTTGAACGGGGGCATCAAAGTAAGTGTCCGAGATGAGGTTGCAATGTTGGAGGGAGCCAATGTATTTGTCTTGGCCTGGGATAAAGGGGTACGACCAGTCAGTGGTCTCCCAGGAAGGGTCGACGAGCTTGGAAGGGTTAGCAGCTTTCGGTTGTAGTCTTGAGATGTGACACTGGAAGCTGGAGTTCATACATCGAAGCTGTACTCGCGAGTAGGCCAGAGAATATCAAAGTCAATGGTGAAGGTGTCTTCGATGGTCATCTTGAAGGTATCATTCTCTTGGATCAGCACGAAGTCAGGGTTTTGAACGACGGGGTCAATCCATTCGTCGGCCCAAATGTTGCTGCCGTAGACACTGTCCTTAATACCCAAAGAGAGTCAGTTACTCCTGGAGCTGTCATTGGGCTGGCATCATCTACTGACCAGCGTATGTCACCCGCAAAGACTCGTCGTTAGAGCCAATAATGTTGATGTATCCCCCATAGATCGGGAAAAGCTTCGCATCGATGGCGGCAGGTTCAGTGAAAGTCACCGTCAAAATTCCAGTCGTACCAGGAGCTACATCAAGTGTAGTCGTCGAGAATTTGACCGTGGCCAGTCCGGCCCCGTTGGAGGAATAGGGCACCGGGGGTAACGCGATCACAGGGTCAGAATCTGGTTTGGTGCAGATGGTGGAGCCGGCTTCGTGAATAATGTTGCCACGGTCTCGTTCCATCTGTTCTCAATCTTGATCTCGTGTGTGCCTCGGAAGTTATCTGTGTCGTTGAGGTTGATGACCGCGGGGGTGATGGTTGTCTTGTAGGTTATGACCTTGAAGGCGTCGACGATGCCGGCACCTTTCATGGGGATTAGGGTTTACACCCCGTCAGTTTCAGTGAATCTGGAGACGCCGCAAGAGAGACTTACGCCAGAGAGCCGCTTCCATCATGATGAGCGACTGGCTTGCCACTTGAGGTGACGAGGCGGCGGGCCGAGTCGCCGGCATTGTTGGCGATGTTGGAGCGGCCGCCATCCGCTGGGAAATACAGAGCGGCAACGCCAGCAATCTAGGAGCTGGATTGAAACGAGTTGAGAGAGTTTCCGGACAGCAACTTACATATGGAGTGGCCATGCTGGTCCCAGAGAGGACAGCCCACCCACCCTCGGAGGTCAGATACGTGGAGAGAATGGAACCACCTGATATGTGAAGTTAGTGAAAGACGAGATTGTTGGACGCCTAGATTCCGGAACGAGAATAACTTACCGGGAGCTGAGATCTCGGGCTTGAGGCGGCTGTCGACTATTAAGCCTCAGGACGAGAGGTAATCAGTGGCACCTGCGATGGACTCGGAGTTGACGCCGGTATTGCCAACTGCCTTGCCACCGTTGGCTACAAAATCAAAGTCCACTTTGCGACCCCGTTCGTTTTGCCGAACAAGCCATTTGCCATCCTCTTGGCTGATGAGTCCAACTAATTCTCAATGTTAGTACGCCATGATCGTGTTGCAAGGCAGGGGACGTTAGGTCATGGGAATGACCTACATCCAAGGAGCTGCTCCTCGGGGTTGTAGACGCTTCGATCGGGAATCCCCCAGGCAGCATCCTCAAAGCTGTAGGAGAATACCCACTTGACGCTCGTTCCGAAGAGGTTGGAGTCGAGGACGTGCCAGCACTCGCAGATGCAGGTGCTTCGGCTGTACCCGTTACTGTTAGCTACGGACGTGTTTCCTTCTTGAAACGTGGCAATACTAACGGCAGAATGAGAACAATATCTGACGAAATACCGGGGAACTCCCAGATATGGCACGAGTCAAGCCCGGTGTAGTTCTGGTTGAGGAAGCGGGCGTGCTTTGTGCCGTTGAGCGTCCACTGCGCAGTGTCAGAGCTAACATAAAGCTACAATGTCGTTAGTGGAATGAGGGCAAGGCCTTGATGGGCCCTACTGACAATCTCGCGTGTCTCATTGTTGCTCGATCTAGCAATTACCGTGAAGGCAGCCGTCTGGGTATGTTCGACGCTGCCCACAGCCGTCACACCAAAGCCGTTCGCAGCACTACTAGTATAGAAGGGCCCTTTATCACAAGTCAGTCGAGCATGAATCATAGGAGAGAAGAGGAAGCACACCCATCTCACCACTGTTACCGGCGGCAACCGTAATAAAAGTTCCCTTTGCTTGGATATTGGAGGCAACTAATTACAGCAAGGATGTTTTCTGGGAAACCAGCATTCGATCCAAGAGAGGCAGATATGATATCGGCGCCCTCCTCGTAGGCCTGAATGAAGCCTTGGGCGATGACATCCTCCATACTGCTACCGCCGCACCCAAAGACATTGTAGATCCTCAAGCGGGCATCAGGTGCGACGCCAGGCAAGTCCTCATAAGAGCTCGCAACAATGCCGGCCACGTGAGTTCTGTGACCGGCGCAGTCCATGGGATCCGCGGCAGGCACATACTCGCTCCCAATCTCATAGTCGTCGCCAACGAGGTCATATCAGCCTTCGACGTTGAAACCCGCACCGAATCCACCACCGAGGTTTGGATGAAGATAGTCGATACCGGTGTCAAAAATGGCGAAAACAACACCCTCGCCGCGATATCCGAGTTTGTGGGCCTTGTCAATGTTGGTGAGCGTGTGAGGGTCCTACTTCGGCAGCGGCTCGGACATGATGTCGGAGGCATCGGGCTTGACCGCCGTCACGACTGAGACGGGCCATAGCTTCTCAACCTCGGAGAGAGTCTCCATCTGCTGCAGGAACTGGCAGTGTGGTTGAGGAGGTCGAATGAGGCGCCATGAAAGATTTCCGAGGTGAAGTTTAAAGCTGGTTTCGCCGTGTTATTAGTGAGTTGCAGGCTCTGAAAGAAGCCTTCCGTGTCCTTTCTGTCTGTCAGCCGGGAGGGTGGGACAGGAGGGTAAGAGTGCGACTTGCTGGGCTTCCATCTCGTTTCCTGAACTTGGCTGAGCCAGAGGTGGAGAATTGAACAGCAAACCTTCGAGCGGGTTGTCAGAATGGCTTCTTGTCACCCAGAGTCGCCGCGGGAACATCTGCGGAAAGGACCGAGGTGCTCAAAAGAAGGGAGACTAAGAGTGATCCAATTGTGCCGAACGCCATCTTGACTTCATTCAAGAAGCTACCTGAACTGACGGCTGGATGCGTGAGAACACGAGCTTCTCCTCTCTTTGGACCAGGGAATAGCTTTTCAATACGCACTGGCTGCTGAATGACATGAACTTCGGCCAGCGTTATGCCAATTTCTCAATGATGAGATGCGTAATACGAACTCGCAAACCGAAAGAGGGTCCATCTTCTGCAAGTCTAGATTGCCGGTCTCCGGGATGAAGAGCTTTGCAGTGTGAATGGTGCTATCTTGGCCTCCTATGTAACCCTCTATTGGGTAGGTCATGCCGTCTGGCGGGATGTTGGATCTTGGCAGGCACGCGCTGCTCTCGCCCGAATCCTGCGGGTGGAAGGATCACAAGACCGATCGCGGGCATGGTTTGAAGAGGTTTCTAGACGCTGATATCTGCTAGAAATAACTAGACGTGCTTTCACCATGGCAAGAACAAGTTACAAGGATTTCATTTCAGCTCAGTATTAATCAGATGATCTGATAAGATGCATTTGACCTGTAATGTCGTCGTACAGTTTCCCATGATCCACTTGAGGAACTAAAAAAAGGTTGATATCACTCAAATCCGCGCGAATTACATACCGAGATCGCAGAGTGTTACGGATACAGACCCAGCAAAGCTCACGTTGGCGACCAGGATTATCGGCCAGGGAGGAAATGTGATGGGGGAGGTTCGATCGCTAATAGGCTGAACTTCCATCAGTAATCCATCAACGTTATAGATCACCTCATGTCCGAGCAACTGCGCGTCGGCGTTGTCACGTCGATGTCCGAAGCTACAGCTAGGTATGTAACCGTTTGTCTACGTTTTCTCCAAAATTGTCCTTACTTGAAGACTTCTCCAGTCTAATCGTTTAACCAAGATTTTCTGTGAGCTCATTTACCAGAGTATTTGGCCATTCTGTAGCGCATGCGTTGGTACAGCTTAGGTAGGTCGAATCATAGATGATGTGAGACAGGCACAACAATAATGAGGTTTCCGCCAGCTGATAGTAATCGCTAGAGGCGAGCTGAGGAAGTTGCAGAGTCATCTTCAGCGATGTGATGCTCAATTTTGGTTGACTTGCTTACATCGCTCTGCGATTGTGATCTCCAGTCTTTCGAACTTCTTTGTTCTCCCCGTTGACTTGAAACCCCGCCGTGGGTCCCGTTGGGGCACAAAACATTGTATCACTTGTTTTCAAATCTTTGAAGAATTCAGGCTTTGTTGTGCTACATCTGACTTCCAAGTTCATTGACAAACGGCGCTTTCATCACCTATTTTGATAATAATCAAGCCATTGACATTTTTGAACAACTACAGCGTAATTGTTCAGAGGTTTCTTTCGTTGCGAAAGAAACTAGAATCACTTGATTGATTACTATCTGCCTTCAGACATCGTATTTAACAGCCCGTCGCAATCGAGTGTTTGCAATCACCTACAATCATCAACAGCCTGACCATCAACGACATCACCAACACATCTTCAGCCCCTGACTTGCAACTCTAGCACATATCTGTTTTACAAGAATACCCTTTTGACTGCTACAACATTTGGATATCCCTACTTTACTCTGCAAGACCGGATCTCTTCTTCAGCATCTCATTTCTATAGCTCACGTGCCTTATAACTTCACTTGTCGACAATGGCCACCCCTACTTACGACTCAGCTGACATTCTTCGCTGGATGAGGGATGTCTCTGGAATTTTGGAGGACATAAGCTCATCCGAAGGAGAGGTCTCGATTTCTCCTGGGATCAACCAAACACAAGTGGCCTCTTCTGATACCGCTTACATCGCTGACCGGTCTGCTTCTGGAAGTGGATCGTTGGCAAGCGAATCTGGAGAGACACTAGTTCTGACGACAAAACCAACATGTACCAAACGCTCCTCGAGGTCTGAAGACGGGACTGACAATGAGAGTATCAAGAGACGTAGGTGCAGCTATGTTCAGTCGCCCACTTTGATACAAAGCCCGTGGGAATCTGCGACCGGTTGCCATATGTACCACCGAAATAGCTGTCGCTCAAAGAAGGTGAAGACGGTTACATCGTCTTACTGGCCAGATATTCGCGACGACTATGCCAGATCACTTCATGATCCGAGCATCAAATGTTGCATTCCTTGTTCCATCTGCCATGAGGATTGCGCAGACGAAAGCACGTCTTGGAAAGTCGGATGGGAACTTCCCGTTATCCTTGCTTGCGGCCACATGATTGGAGAAGAATGCCTCAAATCGTGGTTCAGGTCGCGGGCAAGAATGGACGAGCCAAAGAACTGCCCAGTGTGCAGAAGATTACTCCAGTGCTCCGAATGCAAGGGAGCCTTCATGTTCTCGATCCTTTGTCGTGACTCTTACGTCCCGAATCTGAAGACCAAAACCTGTAGCGAGCAGCCCATGGAGCAGACTATTTGCAACGATTGCCAGGCCGAGACTGATTTCGGAAGTCGCATTCTCCAAGGCGAGCACATTGCCGAGCCATTTCCCCGCGGTGGCGCTCCTCAACACATGATAGATTGGTTCCGTCAAGTAAGAGATGAGTTTGAGACCAAAGCAAAGTTGAGCTTGGGCGACGGCGTGAGGCCGATTGACGTCTCCGGCATGGTTCACAAAGAGATCTTTGCCGAGATGGAATCGTGGTTGTACTTTCTCAAGGAGGACGTGACTCACAAAGTACAGGCAAGCATCGCCAAAATTGAGACACAGCTAGATGAAACCCACTGGTGGAATCGCGCTGGAGTGGACGAGGAAGAAGAGTGCGGCATCACCCCAGGCTATGGTATCAGCGGGGATGGGGATGAGGATCATGGGGAGGACGGTATGGGTTACGAGGGCTTTGATGGCCGCTGGCATGGCGATGAGACTCACGCTGAGGACAGGAGTTACGACGCCGGCAATTATACTTGGTGATGCGAGATTAACTAAGATTAACTTGGTTGTAAACAATGCTTCTCAGAATCTATAGCGTTGTTTATTTTTGATGACCTGGCTGATGAAAGATAACTTTGGCAAGTTGTGGTCAAGAATGTGAGGGGCTCGCAGCTGTAGTAATTGTGACAAAAGTCTACTTCATCTATCCGTTGGTGGTATCCCGATCTCCTTCTGTTCCGGACGTGCAGTTGATCTGGAGCAAGTTTTTGTCCAGGTTTTTGCATTCGTACACAGGCGGCTTTCCGCTCGGTACCTTGACTGTGACATTCTCGGCGCGGATGTTGCTGCAACGCTATTATGTCATGAAATTAAGTCAGTGATGCATCCGGAAGATTAACACTCATTAACATCGATGAATACAAGAGCTTACGTCTGCGGCACTGCAAACAAGGCTTCCAGCTTGCGGGTCAAGCTTGGTTGAAACCGTGCCATAGATGTTCTTGAGAGTGATGTCGGAAATTGTAAGGTTGGCCTGGAATCACCATGATCAGCAACCGTTGGTATCAATGAGACTACCAAAGAATATTGGACCTACCGGGAACTCTTCGCAGAGTGTCTGGTTCTTTTGGCCGTAACATTGCGTGATGGTGATGGCCCGATCGTTGTTGATGTTCTTGAAGAGGTCATACGTGACGTTTCTGACACGCCCGAGACCACCTCCACCATTCAGGAGTGTCTGGAAGGCAGTCTCAATGCCAGGCCAGACCTTGATACGGGCGGCATCACTAGCGTTGGCCATGGTAGTGTTGTAGATGTAGAGGTTCTCGACGATATCGGTCTCGCCCTTGTATTGGCCCAGGGAGCCAACACTCATGCCGTGCGAGCCAGTGCAATCCAAGTTCTGGACGACAACATTGGTGCTGTTTGGTTTGAATGATACACAGTCTGCACAAGCCATCGAGATCAGTTCACGAAGTTTCAGCTGGAGTTTTGATGTTCAGGTTGCAAGCACCTAACCATCCGTGGCCGAGCTCACCGTCTGTATTGATAATGACTGAGTTCTGAATCACAATGCGATCGGACCGATAGGTATCCCAACCATCGGAGTTGGCGATCTTGACACCATTTTGACTCTGATCCAATTATTGCGTCAGCTTTTGCGCCGCACTGAGCTGGGCGGAAATGAGTGAATCGACATACCTGGGCTTTGAGATCCATATCACTAATGATGACATCGGTGCTGTTCGCAATCAAGTTGAACCACTGGTGTCGTTAGCCTGTGACAATTTGGATGTGATAGTCATAACTCACGTTGGGAGGGTTGCGCATCCGAAGGTGTGACATTGTCGCTCCCTTCACTCCGTCGAAAGAGAACAACATGGGCCTCAAGAGCTATTGTGTCCTAGTTAGCACAATCGAGAAGTTGTATGACCTGGCGCTCTTACACTACTGTTGGTCTGAATGGCCTCCCAGTATGCCTGACCGCGACCATCAATGACAGATTTATCGTTCCCAAGATCGCCATAGATGTTGATATCCTCGCCGCCAAACTTCCAAAAGACTGACTGGTTCTGGAAAGCGAACTTGAAACTGTTGTCGGCCCAGTAGAGGGGGTCATCATTGAACTGGATGTCGCCGGTAATTACTACGTCAATGTGCTTCAGGAAGGTGAGGTCCAACGGCGAGCTGATGAGGTAGGTCTTGTCGAAGACCACCGTACCGCCGTCATTGCATTCCTTGAAAGCTTTAAGGATCTTCGGCGCGTCGTCTTTGCCCTCGGTGCAGCTCGGCTTGACGTAGCAGTAGCGGTCTTTGTCTCTCGGAGGCGAAAATGGCATGGCCTTTCCGGTGTTGAATGGAGCGGGTTCGACCTTAGGGCGCTTAGGGAGCTCATCTTGGGCGGAAGCAATCGACAACAGGCCAAGGGCGGCGGCCCATAGAGCCGAAGAGGTAGTCCGCATTGTTGACAGACTTGCACGCTCGCGGGAATGACAAAGTGTTGTTAGGGACGTGGAAGCATCGCTACTTGAGTCCTAGTCCCCGAACCATCCGTACTCAAATACCCAAAATCCCAAGAGCTTAAGTTTAATGAGATGTCACCGGCGGCGGATCATATCATCATAATTCCCAGATTGAATGCAACAATACGTGGAAGATTTGTGGGGTTCATGTAAGGTCCCTCGGCCAGTCGGTAGAAGATTTCGCGGACCGGGATGCGAGAAGCAGACTGATTCTTCCCCAAAGAGCGTTCCCTTGAACCTAACGAACCCCTTGCGGCTGAATCCTTCCTGCGCTTCTCCGCATACTGTACCTATTTGTGAGCGCGGGGTAAAGAGGGATGCGGAGAAATTATCAGGAACAACTTGGCGAGACAATTAGCGAGCCGGTGGGTGTAATTTGCTTCGCTTTTCTGGTCTTGGCGTTGACATGGTATCAGGTAACACAGGTAGAAGATATTTTCCGAAGAAGTCGGCTCTCGACGCTTTCAGCTTCATGAATTCTGGGAACGGAGGCTTGGTTGCAAGCCATCTACTCGCAGACTAAGCAATGACGACCAGGTGTCCTCGCAAAAGTACGGCGCCAGCCAGGCTGTTGGTAGTATCGACGTAGGGTGGCTCCAGTCGAGACCCGAAGCAGCAGGTCGTGGGGGGCATGGTAGATTTGGTTCTCGTGATAATTCATATCAATCGTTTCAGACTCAAGTCGGAAGAATAATGACCTCGAGACTCTCATGATCAGCGTCAAGGTTCTGCTTCATCGTCTAGAGGGTATATGGAAGAGGAGGCTCTTTAACTTGAAGTCAATTATAGAAAGGTAGACAAGCTTCAGTCATTAGGGGACTCCCAAATTAAACAGACTAAATAAGCATCATACAAATGAAATCCGCTGCTGGCGGAGGGGTATCAAATGCTGCATGTGTAAAGGCCAACCGGTCGTCGTCGATCATATCTCTGATGTCTTGCCTCTACCCCCGAGATCTGAACGCAGTGTGTTATCCTCGCAAATCACTTCCGCTCGTGCCTTGGACATCCAATAGCCTCCTCCTTGGGTGTGTATGTCGAAACAATAATGGAAAAGTTCCATAATCCGCATTATGGCGGACTTGATAATTAGCCGCATCCAAGACCACATTTTGATCACAGTTAACTGTTTAAGCAAACCATGTCCGATAGCGCTGAGGCGGCGGGGGTTGCTGACGGCGAGCTGGTCCATTGAACTTGGGTTTCCATGCGTCGTAACGATTGATATGAATAGGTGGGGGCGGTGGTCCTTGTGGCCCCGGAATGTGAGGAATTCGTGGGCCCCCGGCTTGGGCCCGCGGAGGTGTCCTCAGTGTCCCAGGCCCACGGGACCCGGTAACTCCACTTTCAGAGGAAGAGTCATAGTCGCCGTACAAGGAGTTCCAGTCCGGTGGTGGTCCTGGCCTTCTCTTATTCTGAGAAATACAGAACCAAGCGATGAGTAAAATGGCGACGAAGGCCACGATACCACCCAGAATTCCACCTATCTGTGCGCTTGATAGTGATCCGCTTGACCGGTCCGGAGGTGGTGAGTCCGCGGTCGGAGCAGCGGCCGGAGGCGAATCGGCCGGGTTGCCATCGGAGTATGATGTTGGTGGCCCGCTCCCTAGTGTAACGTATGTGACGAAAGTTGAGCTCGGTCGATAGATCGTCTGAGTTATGACATGGAAGCCTGTCTCTTCCTGTCGGGCAGCAACGGGAAGAGGGGTTTCGCGGGGTTGCAGCGAGATCGGAGTGGGATAGGTATGCATTGCTGACGGGATCTCATAAGGTTGGCTGGTAAGTGTCTTATGCTTTGTCTTCAGTCACGAAAAGGAGGCCTCACTGGGTAGGATAGTATCAAGAAGTGAAGAAAGATGGAGTGGTGAACAATAAACGACAGGGATGAATGTGAGGAAACCGAAGAAGTCACAGTATGAAAGAAAAAAGAAAGAAAGTGCAAGACGTGTTGTTCTTATCCAAGAACTTAGAAGCAGGCTGTGGTCTGCAGAGAGAGTTGCGTACCATCTTACATCTTCTCACGGGTGCCAAGTACCATCCAGCGCATACTTCCATCGCAAGGCCAAGACTAGGTATCAACGCGATTCCTACGAACGAGCTGCAGCGCAACAGGCAACACCACGCCCCCCAAAACATATCGGATAAGACACTCAAGACGCGACTAACCTTGTTTTGACACTTCTCTGCCCAAATTTGTCGATGTCGTACGGCTGCGCCTGACACATCCAAAGACCTGCAGGCAGGCTGCAAGCCTTTTAGGCTGGCCAGTGAGGACCGACAGCGTCGTGCCATGAACATGCAAAACGCGCACATGATTCTGCCAGTCAACACTTGCGATAACTGGGGGTGAGAGCCCAGATCCACCAATAGGCTGGATTGGTTGGGCTGAGGGGCAGCAGTCTTGATCAAACGAACCAATGTCCTTGAGTTGCGGACAGCCATTAGCAAGTACCGCACAGTCAGACATCGTATACACACCCACACGGGGGCCGGCCCGTCGAGTTGGATCTGTGTGGGTGAGACCCTTGACTTGAGTGCTCATGTGGTTAGTTCGAGTGAGACACGGTATATATCAACCACGGCAGCATCTTAGTTGCCGAACCTTCTTCGCGTGTGCGAATTTGGCCCCCAACTCTCAACCTTGACTAACATCGACCTATGCAGACACTAACGCAGTCATTGCATCGGCCAACTTGGACAAGAGTCCGTCATCACCCTCACAAAGATAAGACCGGAAGGACACGGCAATTATTTGAACAAATCCCGACGAAGTTAATTGCTACCTCAACGGGTGACGCGATGCCGGACCTCATCGCTACTATTTCCAGGTGTCGTCACGTCCTTGATCGTGCTCGATCTATCCTTTGCACCCGCGAACTCAAGGCGTCATTTTTGGTCTCTTTCATGTCCCCCAAGGTTACATCACGCCTGGAAAATATTACATGCCCCCAAAAGTACACGAACGAAAATAAGTGAGAAAATCATCATGCCAAAGTGCCAGGAAGCGCGTGCGCTCGCGGATTGCCGGTTTTTTTTAAGTCCGCAGAAATTCATTCAAAGACTGAACAACAAAATTGCGTTCGATCAACGGGGGCCAGGCGAGCGAACTTCAACTTCTCTGACAGAGTATCAATGGCAGTATCTATAAAAAAAAAACAAGGTTGAGTCAGCTATCTGTTCTGTTTCGTTTCATCAGAGAGAATTCTTCAAACTCACTTTTACTTCAATCGGACTTTAGCAAGATTACGCGACGGCTCTCCTCCCCTCGCGGAAAGCAAAAGAAAACATCTGTTCCACCTATCTCCTCCTCTCAGCTTTACCGGCACGGTTTGGTTGAGCAGCAGCGGTTGGGTTGTTGTCAACGATAATACCGACGCCGGCACCGCCCTCGCCGTTTCCGAGTTGAATCTTGGGACCCTTTGTGAGCGCGGCCTCGGCAAACGTGAGGGCACGATCGAATCCGCTCTGCCGCTTCTCCACCCTCTTTGTAATATCTCGGCCTGCAACGATGCCTTGTTGAGCGGCTCCGGGGGCGCCCACGCCGGCAGCGGCAGCGGCAGCGGCTGCTGCGCCTTCGCCTGCGGCGGCGCCTCCTTTGCCCTTTCCAGCCTCCGCCTCGCCTCCGAATGTGAGCGCACCATCACCGACTACCAACGCAGGGGAGTATGCGCCGAGGTTGATGTTCAGGGGTGCGGGGGCGGCGTTGATCCCTACGGCCAGGACGGCGAGGGTCATGAGGGTGCTGGTGATCTGCATGGCGAAAGATTGGAAAGTTGAATTGAAAAGATTGGGTATCGTGTGTCGGCGCAGCCGGTAAGTGTCTCTCTCCTCAAGAGGAATTATTAGGTAGTACTAAGACAGAAGTGGATTCCTTTGGTGGAGGAGAATTGAAGAAGCAGAACAAACAGCACAGCTGAAGTGAGGAGGAAATAAAGAAAGATGACGGAAATCAGGTAATAGCACACGCGTCAACGAGTGGCAAGGCAAAGCGGGAGGAGAGAGCGTAATGAATGAAATCTCCACGAAGCGCCAAGAAGAGGTTCAAATACCTGGCGTGGAGAACCACGACCAGATCCAGAACCACAACCAGTGAGAGTGTGTCAAAGGTGAGAAGTTGGAAGGTCGAGGATGGGACAAGAGAGGCGCGGAGACCATACCATTCGGGGTTGCGGCGCCGTCATGCGTGTCAAGACCTGCCGCTGCCAAGACCAAGCGGCTCTGTCAAAAATAGAAGCTCTTCCAGGTGCCTTAGACAAGAGATGATAGGTTCTTGGGCGTTCTAAACACCAGGGACTAACAGACACACGGACCTTGAGAGAGGGTCTTCGGGTGGGATTCGAGGAGAAGGGCAGAAGAGCCGCGGGTTGATCCAGGGGGGCCATGTGGTTCCCATCGATGGTATGGTGATAGTGGTGGTTACGCGGGATGTGGTGGAGAAGTGCGTCTGAGCGGAGGTGAAACGGTCCAAGTCCCAAGACCTCCAATTACGAGGGCTCCCCGAAACCATACAGAGTCTTGGCAACTGGGCTGGATGCGGCCCTGGCTTTGTCGAGAAGCAGCTTCTTTCTATGGGAGCGCTGCGATTTCTTCTTTGTTGCCCATGGTGTTGCGAAGTAAAGATAGATGAAGCTGATGTTTGACGTTGGGGCACGAGGGGTCGTCTACCGAGGATGCGATCTGCGACCTGCCACAGACTAGCAGCTGCAAGGCCGTTTTACCATTTGCAACTCCGACAAGAAATATCCGTGAATTACTTAGAAGAGCCATAGTCTGCACATGAGTGCTTCAAATTGTCGCCAAGATGTCTGCTTGCCGAAAGCCAAGGACCGGGCGTTTCCCAAGACATTTGGCCTGGCCAGCGATCGGGATACCAAGGCCGCGCCCAAGACTTCCAAGAGATCCCATTCTACGACCGTAACGCCATACACCATTCACTCGCCCGGAAAACGTCGCATACGAGGATATCCCATTCCATCCTCAAGGCCATTTCCCCGGCGCTGGCCCTGATTGGACCGGGCGACATTGGGTCGAAGCAGGGACCCAAACCTACTCCTACACCGATCCGAGTCAACGGAGTCAAGGAACACTCGATTTGAATCATTCTTCTCCGAAGTAGAAGAGCTTGCAATGACGATCTGACATTGACAGCTCTTGGTGGAAAGAAGCTCAGAGTGATTTCACGCGCGTCGAGGAAGACTCTTTGAAATGATGGGTGAACTGGAGGCCCATGTCGAACTTGACACTCTGATGCATTGACTTACCGCCAACTATTAAAGACTGGTCGCTGATCGCGTCTGAATAGGCTAGATTGAGCCGTTCCACAGTACTTCCTTGCAAAGGCGCGTGCCACCCGTGGAAACACACTTGAGTGTGAAACCTTGCGTCAGAAAATTCCTGTCTGCGGGCAGCCCCTTGAGTATTGCAGATGCCCAGCTGACTCGGTAGCATAAAACATTCAAGATCCCACCGGTGATTGCGTGCACATGTAGAGTCGCATGCGAGCGGCATGCTACCTTGAAGATGCTGGTCTGGTTGGATAACTGCCACATCACGCCACGAAGAAGTAGTCATGTCAACACTATCATGTCCTGTAAAAGCCAGATGTGAAGGCCTCAATTGTGGGTTTGATACAGTTCAAGCGCCATTCATTCAGTGGTTCGTAGACAATGTTGACTGTGTGTGAGTGACTGCCCGTACAGTACCTACCGGTAGTCGGAGAACCTACCAGCCGACTTTCTTACAAGAAGTCAATGCAGTACGTTAATAAGGTATGGAATACAGAGACGCAATGCTAATCTAAGAGATTAAGCCGATTCCGATGTCTCTAACGATATTCAGTGACGTTCCGCCTGTCTAAAGAAAGATTCGGAGATTTACCATTGGCCTGGGCACCCATGACTGCGGAGGCGTTTCACGGCGACTAGCTTGAAGGGCAGGACAACAACCGCGGCTAGATTCGACACGGATCTTCGGGCTTTATCCTTATAACCGTTGAACAGATGAGCGACTATGCCTTGCGGTTGTCTCCTTGCACCTGCATAATCCTGTACGGCCAAGACATTATCCAGATCTACATATTGAAGCTTTTTGATACGCCAAGAACTCTGTGGTTTGGCGCCTTTGACTTCCAGAATGGTTGATGACGGGAACTGAGTTTGACACCTTCAGAATGCAATTTCGGGGTACGTCAAACTCGTTTGGGCCTGAAGGAGAGCTCAATTCCAGTACTAGCTAGCCAGAACGTAATCATCTCGGTAAAGCCTAAACTTGTCATCGTGTACAGCTGCTGACTCAATCCTGCGCTTTTCTCCTGCTCCCGTAGACTCATTCCTTTTGGTTCGCCACCTAGAATATCCGAGTCTCATTAGAAACTCGACAGTCTTAGGCCTGTGCAGCTGAATATACCTTTACGAGACATGACGTCCCGTGTCCAGCATCTCCACCCAAGCTTCCTGCCTCTTCTGCTCAGCAGTCGGCGTCAGCCAAGTATACTTTTGATAGATGTAATCGCTATGCGCAATGTCTCGGATCTGCCTCATTATGTTGTCGAGCGCTGGAACTCGCTTGTAGTCACTGTAATCTTTCCCATCAGCTTTGTGGTCGTATCTGGGAGCCCAAACCGCACGAGATCTGGTCTCGCTGAGTATGGCTCTCATTAGCGAGTTCGTCGCTCTCTCGACGCGCAGAGCGCGGCATGTGAAGCAACATGAAGGGCGGGACGCGCCCTCGGGGGTGGTAAGCGGGAACTTGTCCAATTCCGTCATGCTATTGGGCAGAGGCAAGCCCATCATGCCAACATCCAGGCAGCTTTGAGCGCACTGTGAGTAAGGGCCGATGAGGCCCGGGCAGTAGGGGCACTTTGGTTGACCGAGGTTGTAGAGATTTGCAATTTGTTTGATGCATGCCTCGCACAGGATGTGACCGCAAACGAGAACCATTGCGCGGTTCGACTTCTGGCCGGGCGCGGTGGTCATTGATGTTGAGCATTTGGGGCAGGGAGCAGCGAACTGCTGGAGGGCCGTATCGGAGGTCATCCAAGACTTGATTTCCGGCCAGAAAACTTTGCGTATTTCTTCGCGCTTGTCCGTCATGGCGGCTGCATCCGAGGGTACGAGACGGTCGACTGGCCCTTGTCCAACCGGCATGTATGGCGGGACGGGCTGTAGGGGCGGGTATCCGGAAGGGTATCCGGACGGTGGCTGTGATTGCTGGAGACTCCGGGGCGAAATTTGGTGTGGAGCGCTGATGAGTGGACGGCCGGCTTGGGCCGACGGGACCGAGTCCCATCGGTTGCCGGTGAATGCATCGTTGCCTTCGCCGATATCAAGAAATTCGTTGACCGAACCGACGACAGAAGGGACCTCTTGGCTGCCTCCGCTACTGGCCCCGCCGAGACCTCCACCGGACCCTCCTCCGAAGTGCATGTTGCGAAGCTTTTGCAAGGTTTCTCTGTCCATTTTGTCAGACTCTTTGGATAGTTCAGCTAGACTCTTTCTCAAGTAAGGTGCCGAATAGAGGAGGAACTGAGACTGTCTCGATCAAGTCGTCGAGAAGATGTCGTAAGCCGGGGTACTCGAGTCTTCTTATATATGAACTGGTTCTCTTGGTCCTCTGAAGGCATCTGCGCTCCCTAGTTGTTGTCATTCGTTACCTGCTTTGTATCGCTTAGACGCCTTCTTCTAACGAGACAATTTCCAGTGCCGTTTGGCAGAATCGCGAAAGAAACCCCCGAATCAGGCGTAATTCCTTTAAGAACAATCTCTGCCTTGTGAGGCACTGACTTCCTGTCGTCAAGGTAGTCTCCGTCTTGTTGCTATTGTACCGCATCAGGGCCCGACTAGTTGCATCCATCACTATCCAGATGGTTTGCTGCGATGCCCTGTGCTGTTCCCTGAGCTTTATCAGTCCTCTTTGTTGTCCTCGAATCACATGCTCCAAATAATAATTTTGGTCTCACAGAATGCTGTGGAACTATCGACTGAATCATATCAGGAGCATTATCTCCGATTGAAAACTTCCATTGTCCTTGCAACGTCAGTGCAGATATTGCGCGAAAGCACGACTGTGGGCTTCTTGATCCATTGTGATGCTATATTTTCGGGGCATTTCCCCAATGTTCCCACGGTTGGGGCGAGTTATGACTGGAGTGTACTTCCAGGTTTGGGGTCTGGGCGGATGGCCTTGGCCACTCTCCTAGTCTACGGGGCAACGAGTTCCCTCTCCCGGCTTCTTGAGCAGAGTCAAACTTTGAACGCAAGCTTTGAGGAAGCCTTTTCTCATCATGTAGTCTTGAGAATGGCCTAGACTGAACCTCCGAGCTATCCAGCCCAGCTTTCTTAGGCGCAAGCTTCGCCGTGGCTTGGGAGGTGTGGCACAAGCCTGGATTACTTGATTTAGCTTTCTTGAACTTGGGCCAAGCAGCAGTAGTTCCACACCTGTGGGACCTGCCGAGCCGCTGGCGTAGTGGACTGAGGACGGGAATTATGTTATGAAAATTCAAATGGAGCAAACTTGCCGTCATCGAAGAACCCATCCAAATCAGCCCTACAGAACACAGTCGCGGGCAAATTGTTGACGTCAATTTTGTATTCAGATGACTCGGACGCAACGGCAGAATGCTAAGGAATGTTTCCCTTGGCCTATGTAGTTACTCGACATTACAACGCGTCACCCTAGAAGAGGTCTTGGGGAAGATGAATGTCCCCCTTAAGTAGTGTGTGAGCCACTGCGTTGCACCTGTATATTACCCTGCAACTTTCTTACTTCATCGATACCCCCAAGTCACCCATTGAGCAATTAAAACTGCCTAACTTCAACACCCTTGCTCCCTTCACTACTAGTACACTACAAGCTCTTTGATTAAAACGCATTCAAGATGTCAAAGAAGTACCCTGCCCCCGATGCGCCAGTAGTCCGGATAATAGTGCTGGAGACCGACAACCCTCACCCTGATACCCATGCAGCAAAGGGTAGCTTTGGAGAAATTCTGCACACTCACTTCCAGCATGCTGGCGCTGAACACGATCCTCCGCTGGGAGTCGATACGGACCAGAAGTTCGTAGTAGAGGAAAAAGGAGGTACAGTCCCATCATTTGAAGATTTCGACAGCTATCAAGGTGTTTTGATCACCGGAAGCATGTATGATGCACACGGAGACAATCCCTGGATTCTCAAGCTCCTTGGAGTTTTACAAGGTTCGTCACCACGCAAGCCCCTGCGCCTCACAGAAACCCGCAGCCGGCGGTACTGACTCGGGACATTAGAACTTTGGGAGCGCCGGCCGGATCTCCACTTGAGCGGCGTGTGCTTCGGCCACCAGCTTCTCAACCGGATGCTCGGCGCCGAAGTCGCACCAGCGCCCTCGGAAGATTGGGAGTTGGGTCACTGTCGAATCGACCTTTCGCCAGTGGGTAAGCAACTATTTAAGACGGAAGACGATCATGTGCACCTTCACCAGATGCACCAAGACCAAGTTGTCGCGCCACCTACTACCCAGAGCTCCAAGGGCCTATTGGAGCCGAGTAACAAGGTGGATGTGTGGGGTCACAGTGAGCACACCAAAGTGCAGGGCGTCTACATCAAGGGTCGGCTTCTCACGTCGCAGGCGCATTTGGCTTTTGATGAGGATATGGTGAAAAGGCAGATCCAGATGAGGATTGACAGCGGCGGTATTCAGGATATGGAACATGCGGACCAGGCAGCGGAGACTGCGCATTGGGAACACGATGGTGACTTGGTCGCAGCGGCTATTCTGAGGTTCTTCCACGGAGACGATGATGAGATAGAGTAATGGCTGGTTGGAAATGGTGTTGTAGTAACGGCTGCCCAGTTATGCAGGAACTTACTTGTCAATTCTGAAGCTGGCTCAGCTGTCATGTATGAGCAAAGACGCAGTCCACACCACAATGCGTGTGGCTATATTTTGACGACGGGTAAAGACATCCGATGTTGTACTATTGCATCTATGCCGTGGACCATTATGAAGGAAAACAAGGTGTTGCTTTATCGCCTTTCCTCTCTCTTGGTATCAATCCGCATGAAATCTTGGCGTGGTTGGTTGGAGGAGACACCCTCGCTGACCGTCCCTTTGTGTCTGCCAGATGGCGATCAAACTAGTTTTCTTGAGACTTATGTGGTGATTATGCTCGTGAGGACGAATCACTCACTTACTTAATCCCATGTTCATCTCATGCAGCGTTCCATTCATGCTACCTTGAACTCCATCCTCTGCCACCATTGCTGTTGGTCAGCGGCTACATCCATCGCGCACCACTGCATCGGTCAGCTTTGAGCGTGGGATTCGAAGGACGATTGCAGGACTCTAAATATAGGTCATATTTGGATGGCTGCAGAAGGAAGACTCCGGGGAAGTGATTTCTATCAGTCACATAAGAAGCAAGATTTCCTCCCTCAATATCGAATGATGAGTCCTGCATTCAAGGCCCTCCCTTTGCAAGATAATTTCTACTGATCTCATCGCCTTAAAAGATGTCTACAGCGTCCCATTTTCCTGGAGTCAGGACGCATCTTGTCTACAGGAAGCCGCCGTCAACACCAGAGTTCCTCAACACGCCAACCAATCTTTATTCCGATGCAGAGAATTACAGAGATAAGCGCGAAGTTTTTGTTCGTAATATTCGCTCTGAGATGGATCAGTTCACGACCACAAGTGATGGCCTGGAGTTCATGAAGCATAAGGTTGATATTAAAGACTGGTCTGACGAGGATGAGGTTCGCGAGGTGATACTTCGAGACACCCAAGAGCTTCTCAAGAAACAGTAATATGACTCTTACTTATTCCATGTTCACTAAGCTTTCGTGATTAGGAGAATAACTCACAAAATTTGCGAACAGTTTCAACGCCACGAGGACATTTACCACTGTCTCAAGAATTCGACACTCTGATACAAGCGGAATCAGAAAAGACACCACGCCGGTCTACTCAATCCACGGCGACTTGACTGTTCGAAGCGGCCTTGAACTACTGGAAGACACCGTTCCCAATATGGATCCTCCGCCGAAATCAGTGCCCCCCAAGGGTCGAGTTCTCATGGTCAACGTATGGAGGCCTCTGAAGACAATCAAACGCGACCCGATTGCCTTCCTAGTGCCCAAAAGCATTAAATCTCAGGAACGACATGCACAGATCTTCTCGCGACCTGAAGGAAAATTCAAGGTCTTTGGCAAAGACGCTCAAGATTTCTGGCTGGACACGGCTTCTTACAGCGAGGACCATGATTGGGTGTTTCTGGATCATCAGCAACCAGATGAGCCTGTCCTTTTTCTTCAATGGGATAGTGCATCATTGGAGAATTTCGAGTCGAGGATGGCTGTGTTTCATACTTCTTTCGAGGATTCCAGATTCGTGAATGACGCGGAGCGAGCGAGCATTGAGCTCAAGTGTCTTGTTTTCTTGGACGACTATATGAGTGGTGGCCATTGAGGCGGAAGATCACGCATCACCCATCTTCTCAGTCTAGGTAGCTAATTTATTCAACGAGGACTGATTGAATGTGGATATCAGCTAGTCTTCCTATCCAAATGCTAGGCTTACTATTCATGTCCCGACGAAGCTCCTCTGATACTTTGATAGAGACCATTGAGCATAGAATAAGAAGAATAAGAGCGAATCAATTGGTTTTATCATTACATTCATTCTCCATGCAGAGTTACCACAATACTCAGCTGTGGTTCCAATGCTTATTACAGTTTACTTGAGTTTGTCTTCGCCTTACTCGGATCTGACCACAATCTTCCCTGCGTTTCGCCTCTATCTAAGGCATCAAGCCCCGCCGGAATCTCCGCGAAAGGAATCTCTGTCAACTCTGGCTCAATCGACTTGTTTGCCAACAGCTCGAAGACATCTCTCAAGTCCTGTTCACTCGCTCCAAATGACCCAATCAGAGTAACGCTTCGACCAATCAAAGCATAGCTAGGGATTGTGATCTCGGAACCTGCTAGTCCAACGACCACGACTTTGCCTCCTTCGCTGACTCGCTCAATAGCCTGCTTCGTTGTTGCCCCTGTTCCGGCGAAATCAACGATGGCATCGAACTCTACATCTTGGGCATCTTCGAGGCTCTTGAAACATCCGCTGGCACCCAGTCTCTTCGCTTCTTTGAACTTTGACTCGGTTATGTCGATGCCGTATACTTTGGCCCCTTTGAGGACCCCAAAGCCGAGACCTGACATCCCAAGGCCACCGATACCAATGACGCCGATGGTCATACCCGGTTTCGCAGCGGCTTCAATCACTACGGCATGGTAGGATGTTGCCATTGCATCAGTCGCTACCGCGGCTTGAGAAAACGGGAGGCTATCCGGGATGTGGACTAATCTTGCCACAGGTGCGAGCACGAATTCTCCATAACCACCATCGAATCCAAGGCCGATAGCCATTGTCCAGTCTCGAAGTTTAATCGGATATGAGAAAAGTCCCACAGTAACATGGTCGCCGATTTTGAATCCTTTCACGTCGGGGCCGAGGGCTGTAATTATCCCAGAGACTTCGTGGCCGAGAGTAATAGGCCGCTGAACAACCCCATCGATGCCCTTTAAGATGTGGCAGTCTGAATGGCACAGACCAGCTGCTTTGACTTGTAGTTGAACCCAGCCAGGGCCAGGCTGAGGAATCGGTAGATTTTGAAGTCGTAGGCCGCCGCCTTTCTCCACGTACTGGAAGGCTTGCATTTTGATAGACTTGTTGTTCAAATTTATTCAAGTTGGCGCTCTAGAGACCTGGGGGCAGAGGTGAACGACGACTTATGCCGAGACTTTATGCTTACAGGGCGGGGGCTTCACCCCGCATCTTGAATAATACCAGACCGATCCCGCCGGAGTGACGTTTAATACTCCCCAGGGTGGCACGTGTGACAAATCATGCAACATCAGATGCGACGCCAGCCAAATCTACGCTACGGTCGAGCCAACGGCTGTCGTCCTACAGCGAAGAGTGAATACTGCTCCCGCGGAATCGGGACCCGAACTTGATACCGAGAGCTCGGCCGGCGCGACTGTGGTTGCCAACGGCCTTTCGCGGATATCCGGATGCCGCGGCCGAGGCACAGGCATGTCGGACAATGCCCACTTGATCAACGTGAGGTGGTTCGGGCGATGCCCACTTAGTTCAACGTCTCACAGTCCATGGTGATAACGTAAAGTCTGACTCTTCCCAGCGAGTAAGCATCATGAACAGCATCATCATGCAGCGCCTATGGGATTCGAGGCGGTCTTCCCGGACACGCCATGGACACCGAGCGGAGACATGAACAGGCTCAAATTTATGAATACAAAGAAATTCGAGGATAACGTTGTTTTATTATTGCCTACTGGCATTGATGTTAATGATTGCAGCAAAGCAAAACATATTACTTCACACAATCAATGTGACAATCAGCAAAATGCCTTTTGGTACGCTACCTTTTGAAGCGGAATCCGTTCCCATCTTTTCGCCCCCATACCCGAAACCACCAGACCCATACAGCTTCGCCATCGATATGATGCTGGGCTTCACCTACCGTGTCGCCGCATCTCAAGTCCGCCATCTGGTTCCGGACGTGCTAGAGCTCGAGGATGAGCCTCTCGTGTCAAGCACAGTGCTCGACTACGGAATGAGTCCTGTGGGGGCGTACAAGGAGTTCGTCCACCAAGTCGAGGTGACTTACAAGAGCGAAAAGTTCATGTACAGTCTTATCTTAATTCTCGACAACGAGGCGGCCATATTCGCGGGACGTGAGCAGTACGGCTTTCCCAAAGTCTTTGGCAAGGCCGACATTCAGACGACAAACGGTACACGGCTGGTTTTGGCAAACGCGCAAAGGCCGGCAGGACGAAATGTTTTCGAGTGCGAATTCATACCCGATCATCGCGTTCCCAATTTGCCTGCTGCAGAGAAATGGGGACTCAATCTTCATAGCATTCCACAGCCGTGTGCGGGAACATCACCGGCCATCCAGGAACTGATTCCTACAATTATGGACTGGAAGTTTACCGAGATCTGGGCTGGCCATGGTCAGATTACTTTTCCGCGCCGCTCTGCATTTGATCCTTGGTGCGGTGTGGATATTCTACGATACGAAGGTAGCTTCTTTGCGCGGGGTCTGACTGGCGAGCTTCGGTGTCGCGGTGAGAGTTTTCAGGTTTGAAGCTTGAGGATCAGGTGGGGGCTAAGTTATGTGCTGAGTTCTTTAACTAGGGTAGACGTTCATCAAGGAGGAAAAGGTCCAAGATCACGCAAGACTTCACCTTGGAGCATCTACATAGGCAATCTCTTCTACTGTGTGTGCTGCGAGATGGTGAATCTTCTCATTCATGTTCCCACTTCATGTACCTTGGGATGCGCCGACGATATCAAGGAAAGTGTCGTAAGCCAACGCCGGCGGAGGATAAAAGGAGAGATTTCATGCAGGTTCTAGTTGTGCCCAGTGTGAACATTTTATTGAGCTAGCTGTACCCGTATCATGAATATAAGAGTATAAGAGAGCACCTTGAAATGGTTAATAGGACCCCGTCTGGGCAATGTAAATGGTCGATTTGTCTGAGAAAGGGGCCGCCATCACAAATCGCAGCTGACTAAAGGGGTGCCCGCACATCCGGGAGGACAGCTTTGCCAAAGCCCATGATGTGCACTCAAGAAAGCATGTCTTACAACCACAGCTCTTCAGACCTGAAGGCGGAGAATGGCATGTCATCAGTAGATGGCTCGATTGCAGACAAGACGAATTTGGATACGTATCTATCTATCAACTTCAACTTCAATCTACAGGCATTCCGACTTCAGCTTGCCGGCATCGTCAACATATTCTTACTTCCTACAACTCGTCATTCTATACGGCCAGTTTTGGTTTTATCAATGGGCATCAATCGTTGACGCACCCTGTAACCAGCTACTAGTCGCGGAGACGCTGCTACAGATAGCAGGTGCGGCTACCCAGACGACTACGCGCAGAACATGGTCGTCAATGCAGTGGCACGCCATCTGGGTACGCTTGCTACCATCGTTCGGCTGTGCCAGAGCGCCGCGGCCACAGATGTGACCCGTGATGCCACCATCTGGAACCGTCGTGAGGGGTTTTCTAGCCTGGCCATAAGCTCAGCCTACCTACTAGATGTACCTGGGCTACCTGCCGGAAGATCTCGGTCCTGCCCTCCGCCGTTGACGAGGTGGCTTTGGATGTAATGGGTGAAGAAGTCGCGGACCTGGCTCCTGACGTACCGGGCGATATGGAGAACGGATTCGTTGGTAGCTACTGTAGTGAAAGCGAACCGGGCTACGAAAGTCTACGACTTCTACGAGCGATTGCTGCGAACGAGACGTTAGAAGGATTCCTACTATATCGGAAGGGTTGGTGACTGAGTAGGTTCTTGAGTGGCTGACTATGCAATGGAGTTGGAATCTTACCTGGGTGTCCGATTAGTTCAAAAAAACCTTGCCATGAATGACGAACGTTATATTTCTACGATCGCTCTCCATGGCTATCTAGACGCAAAGCTTTCTATACTATTCAGTCTCGACATTCGCGCGGTCATCGACTTTGTAAGGCCAAGCAGAACTGTGAATACTATCAATTGAGTTCTCATCAAATCGGTCGGAGCGGGAGGTAGGATAAGGAGTGGTCCTCGCAGGTTGTCAGGCCCATAACGATCGGATACAACGCCTGAGAAGTTGCGATCGCATATGATCCAGGATCTCTCCTCTAAAGTTCCCAGTACATATCACTGATGGGACACAGTTGGAATTTCGAATGCAGAAAGTGACCAGGGCTCTGAAAAGTGGATGTGATCCGAGCCTCCAGGTATTACACCCGCGGTTCACGTTCTCGCAGGGTTGAGGTGTTTTCGTCCAACACACTTCGTTAACAACTCCCTCCGCGCAAGGATTACTTCCGGCCTTGCCACATTGGCGCATTTTCATACCGGGTGTGATGCTTCATCAGTTTTCTTACCAGGCCACACAGCATCTGCTCCTCGACCAATGAGACTGCCTAGTCTCGGACCACATTTCCGAATGGGTAAAAAGATGCAGAAGCGAACGAAGTGAAGGATCCTTCTTTTATCCATCAGCCGGCATGAGGTTACAGTCAGGAACATTGTGGCGTTTGAAGAGCCATGATTCCAAACGGCGAAAGATGTACACTCAGGCAGACATAGTCATACTGCTCTTACGAGAGAGGAAAGTGAAAGAAAGTACCAAATCATCATGTGGACAAATAATCAGGAGAAGCAGTTCATCGTGTATCAAATTCCTGTTTATGGAGAGCTAGAGTACATAACTGTAGTCACAGTGGTCTTTTTGATCCCCCGCCCATCGGTCAAGCTGTCCCGCAACTCAATCTTGTCTTCACTCATATCGCTGTCCTCACCCCCGGTCCCAGTCGCGACAGTTGTGGTTCCCATCGGCCGAGTGGCGTACGCCTCCAACTCGTAATCATTCCCTGCCCGGTCCATGTGCTGCCTGGAAAACTTCTCGCCTCTGTCTTCGCCCGGCTTGACCGGCCATTGAGTGTTGGACAGAGTCTGCCAGTTGCTGCCACTGCGCATTGTACTACGGCCATAGTATGCTTCTGCTGTCGGCGCCTTGGATCCCTTCCCGTAGATGCTGCCCAGAAAGTCCTTGAAGAGGGGCCGTAAAGTTGGCAGACTACCAGCTATTATTCCAACATTAGCCTCAATGACGGTCCACATCTGGATATCTCTCGAGTCCCAAGTTGGATCAAAGGCCTTTCCATAACTCGTGACGATGTAGTATACTTTGGCGCAAGCTGCTGCACATGCAAAGACTCCCAGACCGAGGACCATCATGAGGGATATTCGGACCCTTTGAGGGACATTAAGCCCCCAAAGCATGGGCGCCGGAATGGCGATTCCAAAGAGAAGGTCGGTAAGAATGTTCATCGAAGAGTTTGCATAGGAGAGACCCTTGATCGTATCGACATCCCAGCAGGTTGCCTTGACGTTGAAGTCCCAGAATGCTCGTACATCGGTGCATTGGAAGATAATGGTCTGTGACGGACACGTTTTGTTAGCAATAGAATTCCAATCATTCCCTGAAAGTACTTGATAGTCACTGACGAAAACACAGGCAATTGTATATGCGGTCATGGAGACCATGACCCCAGTGATGAGGTTCTTGTAAAGCTTTTTGGAAGCGATTCGATGTAGCGACGACCCAACAGCAAGCTTGACCAAACAGATAGCAGCCAGGAAGAGGGGTTGAGAGACGAATGCCATCTGCATCGCGATCGGGTAGTCTTTGGTGAAGTCAATGTCTCCGACGTGGCGGCCAACTCCGTGAAGGACCTGCATGATGAGGACCCCTTGACCAGCAATTGCGATGACCATTGCGGATGTCATAAACCCATCCTTTCAGCACACTGTCAGCGTATCAAGGCCGATACTCACTGTTTGTAGCAAGAGATGGCACGTAATCCCAAACATTGCAAACTTACATCGAATCCAAAGCTGTGAATCATGCCAAGGCGCACCCAAAGGCGAGCTGCCACGACAATCAATGCCACAGAAGTGACTGCGATTGTTGCGGCTAATACCGTGGGCCCCTCATTCTCCTGTGGGTTCGAGACAAACTCCATTCTATAATGAAGGATGATGAGATGAAATTTGGTAGCAGATGATAGAGAAAGATGTCAGGATGTGGCTTGGTCTGGAGGGGAAGACATTGATAAAATTGGGCTGTCAAGGCACGCCGTGTCTTCCGCCATGCGGTCACGTATCATAGGCCGATCGAAGGCACAAGTCTGTTCATCGAATTGTCACATTTGGGCTGAAATCAGTCTCTCAGAACCACCTTCGCAATTCGCCTCCAGCTTCAAACTGGGATCCGGATTCTGGCCCATTGAAATGAAGCTGCAAGGGTTCGCAAATCCTCATCTGCCCATCTCTTCGAACCAGCTTCCTTTTCAATAAGATCTGAGGTGCCGCCTATTCATGTGATAGAAAGTACGAATACAAAGACCCTTCACCCGGGTTTCCAGTCATGTCGGTTCTGCATCGGAGTGTCTGCGCCGCACCCTTTTCTTCCGTTGGTTGGTGGCTTTACAACTTGGCGGAATGTAGCAAAATGCTGTGATGCAGGGATTAATAACCAGGGGTTTTGATTTTCTGCAGGATGGTATGATTGTGCTCCTGGCTGCGAGCTGGTGGGACTAGAATATGCATAAAGTCAGAAACCTTTCGACTCCACTGCCCTTCTCCGCCTATTCTGGGGTTGGCGTAAGCCTCCAACTTTTGTTGCTAGAGCCGTGGGATAAACCTGCACAGCATCGGGTTCAACGCTGCATCAGGTAAAGAGTCTTGCATGGGAATCTAAAACCAACACACCAACTGGTCCGGACCGTGGGCCGTTTCTGCAACCCCGGCTTCAACCTGCATGATGAAGCCGGGTAATCCGCCGTCTTTCCCGCTGTTCCGGCCTTGGAAGCCAAGATTCGCCAAAAGACCGACGGATTTTCTTCCCTGTACAAGTAGAGTGGGACCAATTGATCTTGGACCAACACATTGCTCGCGACTGAGAGATATTTGGCAACAGCTTTTTCGGGAGATGTTCCCTTGGGTTGGGATGGTGGCGATGCAAATTGGACTTTTTTACGCGACATGATCCACCATAAGATCCTTGAACATCACATACGGAGAGAGCACCAACAACGAAGTGTCGGGGCCTCGGTCGACTTCTTATCTTGTCGCCGCTGTGAAGCGGTCTCTTCTGACCGGATGTGAGTTGGCGATAGGGTTATATATCTGCCACACAGCTGGCGCTTCTCCTGCAGAAGTCGTCTCACGCACTCAGCCAGTACTCAAGCTCCGAGCCACTCGTTCTTGCGGCCTTGTTCTCTTGTCCCACCTAGCCGACCTCATCATGCACGTTCTTTCACTCAGTGTATTCGCCCTTCAGGCGGCTTCAGCTGTTCTCAGCAACCCACTCCCTCAGACCGATGACAGGGCTGCTGCTGCTGCCGAGAACATCGATCAACTCGCGGCTCTCGCTCAGGCTGCCTACCAGAAGTCGGAAGAGATGATCCAAAGCGGAGAAATCCAGAAGCGTGGAAGCTCCTGCTCTCTTGGAAACATCCAAATTCGCAAGGAATGGTAAGTCTATTTTTATTATGCTCGCCATCTACCTCAAATCGCATTTAACATAAACCTAGGGGCTCATTGCAAAGACAAGAAAAGCTTGATTACATCAAGGCTGTGCAATGCCTTCAGTCAAAGCCTGCATTGACCCCTTCTGACATTGTTCCCGGTGCCAAGAGTCGGTTCGATGACTTCGTTGCCACACACATTAACCAGACTTTCACCATCCACTACACTGGCACGTTTCTGTCCTGGCACCGACGTTTCACTTGGTTGTATGAGGAGGCGCTCAGAGAAGAATGCGGCTACAAGGGCACTCAACCCGTAAGTTGCCTGCACGAACACATGGTTGCCAATAGCTAATCAGCATGAAAGTATTGGGACTGGGCAAAAACCGCCATCACTGGAGTTGACAGTTCTCCCATCTTCGACGGCAGCGAGACATCAATGTCCGGAAACGGAGAGTTCATCCCTGACCAGGAAGATATTATTCTTACCAACCCTGATGGGTCGGAAGCCGCTCGCCTTCCGACTGGGACTGGAGGTGGCTGTATTACCTCCGGTCCCTTCAAGAATATGTCTGTGAACCTTGGCCCTCTGGCACTCTCTCTTCCGGGCGGAGGTAGTGAGACAAACCCAGACGGGTTCTTTGCCTACAACCCCCGCTGCCTGAAGCGTGACTTGACTACGGCTATCAACCGGAGGTACTCGAACGCTTCCGCAATCCTGCACAACATTCTGGTTCCTCAGAACGTCGGCAAGTTCCAAGTTGAGATGCAGGGAGATCCCGAGTCGGGTACCATGGGCATGGGCATCCACGGAGGTGGTCATTTCGTGAGTAGCTCCGTTCCTCCCGTGTTATTCATGTCACGACGCGAAGCTAATATTCATCAGACTCTTGGAGGTGACCCTGGAAGGGACTTTTTCGTATCGCCCGGTGACCCCGCTTTCTACTTGCATCACGCGCAGATTGATCGCGTCTGGTGGATGTGGCAGATGCTGTCACCCAACGCTCGCCAATTTGCTGATGATGCCGTCATGGGAACGAACACATTCTTGAACTCGCCTCCAAGTGCAAACACAACTCTTGACGATGTTCTCGAGTACGGATACGCTGCCGGTCCTCCTATTAAGATTCGTGACACGATGAGCACTCTTGCTGGTCCTTACTGCTATATCTACTTGTGAAGAAAGGTGCTTTACTTAGTTTACTCCTCTTATGTAAGACAAAATACTCTCCAAGTAGAAATGAAAGTCAGCAAACGGATGATTATCACATTATAGGTTTATATTTAAAGTAGTGTTTAATATATAGAAGATATGAAGAAGCACATAGATGTACCAAAGACATTCAGTTGGCTAGCAAAGATAGCGTCAGTCTCAGTCGTAAGGCCATTTCTCATTGCTAGAGCGATGGTATCAAAAGCCCTAGATGTAATCCTACAGTGTCACGCAATCTCTGTGCTTCGCTATGTCTCAACATCTGGTAAAAGAAATGAGCCAACTCTACTTCGAGTTAGTATCATCCTTTCTAGGACTTGGTATAGGTCGAGTTTTGTCATACGTACCCGATTAATGCATAACATGCACACATGAGTGTTCCTTTGATGCCCGGCATCTTCAAATTGCCCCGCCCATCGCTCAGCAGAAGCCGTGTGGATAGTGCGGCTACGCCTAAAAGGGCAGCCGCTTCAAATAAGCTGAAATCAAAAGCTGCGTCTCGGTGCATGATCCAGCCTGCTAGAATGGTTATAGGCGCTGCGCAAAGCGCGATCTGTATGGCTGAACCAGCTGCAACCGCGATGGCTAGATCTAGCTTCTCTTTCGACGCCATTGTTACGACGGTGACATACTCTGCCACGTTTCCAATGACCGGCAGAATTATCAAGCCGATAAAAGACTCTGACAGGTGGCCTTGATGAGTTATGTCATCAATCGTTCCGACGAGAAACTCGGTACACATTGACATCAAGGCCGAGCTTATGATTAAGGTGATGACGGAAATTGCTTTTTGTCCTAAGGATCTCCGGGAGCTATCTTCTCGATCTCGAAGAATTGCGACTTTCGAACGGTTAGTCTGGAAGATGCGCAAACTACCTGAACGAGACCTACGATGGCCGCCGGTGCTGGGCTGAGAGACTCTATTGAAGCGGGTAGGATCCGCAATCGAACGACAAAGTGACTGACGGCTCAGTGACTCTAAGCTGTCGCAAGAGCTCTCGCGGCTATCTCTTTGTTCGATCTTGTCTTCTTTTCTGCCGCGCTCTTCTTCGCTATCCTCATGTGAGGATGCGGAACGTGAAGAGAATTCAATGTTTTCGAGCTCGATGGAGGTATCAGTAGAGCAGTAGCCCTCATTGGTGCCATTTGATGCAGCCGCATGAGAGTCCACAGGACGAATGATTCGAAGCGAAAATGGAGCGTCAGGTACTACTAGCGTTCGGCCATCTTCTAGGTCCGTCGCATCTGGCTGTCGGATCGCAGAGGCGTGTTGCTCTCTCAGTTCATGGATGAAGTAGAAGATGTAAATAAACAGAACCACAAAGGATGAAGCTCTGCTCATTGTCAACATGGCTTCATTAGCTCCATCGCGCGCTTGAAACGTACGGCTGAAGGCGGCCTGGCGTATATGAGTATGTTCTCAAACAGATGAAAGGTAGGTGTCGCTTCGCTCACTCACCGGTATCAGAAGGACAAAGACGGAAACAAATAATAGGCAGCCCAGAAGTTGAGTCTCTGAAATATTCAAGGCCGGCTCCTGTCGCGATACTCCGCAGACACATAGGGCGGTGCCAAGAATCGGTAGTAAGTTGACAAGCATTGAGCCAAGGATTGACGCTTGAACGACTTGGATCTGATTATGTTTGAGGGCGATGCTACGAACATTAGCACAATACGAATGGCTTGATGAGAGCGATGAAGGACTTGCTTACATGCTGGAAATTTGTCAGAATCGTTTCTGTTTCGGTAAATGAACTTTGGCCAGATGCCAAGATAACTCACAATAAAATCAGCTCCACCAGGTTTCCCATGGTTATGTTTAGCAAAGCTCCAACCGTGTCGCCTGCGTCGGAAGCAATCATCTCGGTAGCTCCAGTAAGCAAAGAGGACAGTGGCACCACCGCTATGGCATTGGTGATGAATATGACCAGGGGAGCTTTATCAGACCAAAACGCCCAAACGCCGATGGGTACGAAGATGAGAAGGCAATTGAGCCACAATGAAAACATTTTCTTTCGAATTGCTTTCTTGACCTGCGGTGACTCTGCAGGTTTTAGAAGAGTTGTATTTTCGAAGGGCGAAAGATCGCGTGAGATGAGACTAGCCTCAGAACCGGCAGCTTCGGAAAAGGTCAGATGTCTGCTGCCTCCGGGCATCCGAGGGCTCATGTAAACCGCGTGCAAGGACTTTTTTTTTCGACCAAGCATGAATATGAGACGAACTATATCCCCAATGACCACAATGAAGAAAATATCATCATATGCTTACTTTCGTTCTCGAAATGCGGGGATTGTGGCATCGCAAGCGGACTTACACTTGAGTGGACCGGCTGTTGTAGCGGCCTCAAGATACAGCCCTAAGTGGTTGCTACATTTCAAAATTTCCCTGATACATCTCAACATCATAATATCTCTACCTTCAGTCATTTTTGTGTCTGTTTTGGACAGAAAACCATCGTATGAGGGATTTTGAGATGCGGCACATGGCCCGTGAGGGGCGTGTTTGATGAGAGGGATTTTCTGACGGAGGCCTCCAGCTACGTATCTGAGCGACTACCGTCAGGCCCTTCCCTAGATCTCCTCATATGGCTTGTCAGGTTCAGTCTAGTGGTATTCTCGGGCCTCAGGTATCTCAATTGCCCGAGAGATTTGCTCATACACGTGGCAGGGGATCCCTTAGCGGGACATCTTGCGAGCTCGGGAAGATGAAAACGAGCTGGTAGGTTTCCAGTGGCCGCATCTCTCACAGCCGTGTAAATGGATGTCCCACGGCCATGCAAATGATAAGCCGCTGCTATTGTGATGTAGGCCTACATTTCGCTCATGTTGTATCATGGACCCTGCCGCGTCAGCCCTTTCGCATTTAGAGCACAACAAAAGCTGCTCGTCATTCTCTTCTTTTTGAGAATACCCGCGCCGGCACCAAAATCTTGCCCACAAGTACGTGTAAGCTTCGGAAAGTTGAGTCAAGTAGCATTTGGTATTTACAGTGCTACAGAACAGGCCTGATCTAGTGAAAAGTGATATGTAAGCATAGCAGGATACCTTTTGGCAGTGGTCGCCAACCACGAGGTGGTAAGCCCCAAGTGTAAGACCAACAACCGTTGAAAGTATCCATCTAGAGATGGAATTGAAGATAAATCTGGACAAAAGAAACAAAATCCACAAAATCACACAGTTGTCAAACACGCCGCCCCGTCTGCATCACGAATCGTTCTCGGAGGGTTTTGCCAAACATGTTGAATATTCCTTTCCACACCCAAGGTCGAGACAATGCTGGAGACTCTCCCTTCGTCGGCAATGGCGCGACTTTAGTTCGCAATGCCCTTAAGAAGCTCGTCGAGGCTTCCAGATGTAACGACGGTCACCTTCTCACAGAGCTCAGGGGGGCATACTTCCTCATAAGCCTGAATCATTCAAAGTCAGCATCTTGGTTTCTTAACTTGGGTATTCATAAAGTACTACAATCAATTTTCCAGGCTTCTTAGAACAGTCTTCCTTCAAAGCCACATGTCGGATCACAGAGGCGGCCAGCGTGGTGGGACCCCAGTTGAATACCGTTGGGGTCAAGGGCGCATTCTCGCGAAATTGATGGAGGTTGTCTGAAGCTTGCGGTAAGTATTCACATTCCGGTCTTTGATGTGCAATAGTAGAAGTAAATACCTTCAAAACGAGTTACAACGTCCAAAATAGTCGCGCCCCTTTGGCCGAATCCCACGCCAGTCACACCCCAGTGGGTGCCGTTCATTCGGTCAGCGATTCTTGCGATTGGCTGGTCCGGGCCTTGGAACAAAACTATGCCGAGTATTGATCAGTAAGTGATTCACACCTGGTGTTACGAGCGAATTGTACCGTAGACATTGAAGCCGGCCTTCACGAGTGCGGCGGTGTCATTCCGAAGTTCCTTATCAACATCAACAGGGTCATAGTGCTGCGCAATCACGTATGGGTGATAAGCAGGAAGCCCCCTGCGCATGTTTAGTCGAGCTCTAAGGTTATTCAACGATCTATGCGGTTCTTACGTATAGAAGACGTTAATTTCACCACACCCAACATTGGAAGGGTAGGTGATGTGAGGGAGCCGGAGTGGTCCCAAGGATGCGATCGTGGTTCCGAAAAGCGCCAAGGTGAGAACATTTCCCAGTGAGTATCTCATGTTGAATCTCGAGTTTGCCAGCGTGCCGATGTAGCTTTGAAAGTTTGAGGATAATCAGTTGAAGTCAGACGGTGGAATATGGGAGCTGATGATGCTCAAAGCTTATCAACCACCAATTGTAAGGATGACAGCGACGCTTTTGTAGTCAAATGTCTTGACTTCAGCCATGGACTATGTTAAACCATCGCCAAATAATGGTATGCCCCTTTCTCTTAGCCGATGAGTCATCGGCACAGCTTGAATCGCGACGTCGCGGAATCACTTCACCAAGGTTGTCAGCCTTGTTAGGCAGACTTACAAACCTGGTACGTAATAATTGGCCTGCATATCCTGAAAGAGAAATACAATGTACCTTGTTCTTGGATAAAGAAGTTCTACCCTGCTTGAGTTGCAGAGTGGCGCACCCACGTATTGCAATTCTGTGTAACCTGAGCGCTCTGCAAGGTCTTCATGACGACATGAAGCTTGGTTTGGTAATGATCCAATCAGCTGATTTTACTAATTTCAGTCTACTCATTCATAGGATCACAACATTTCAGCGAGTCCAGAGCCAGGAGCTGGAGCGTAGCAGAGCTCTAGGTGAGGACCAAAGCAAAGTCACGAAACTACCCTCAACCCGGCGGTTGATGGCTATGCTGTCCTATCTCCGGGTATCGTTACAAGGATCTTCAAGGGATTAAACGGTTGAAATTTATGGGTCCCCCAGTCAATAACACACCCTGCAGATATTATTAGAGGCACTTTCAAATCATCTACGGCCTCGCAAGCCGCATCCTTCGGAGTTCATCAGGCAACACTGTGGGGCTCCCGAAACCTTACCGGGACCGAGTCGGGAACCTTTCATGACCGAATGCTACATACCCCATTGCATCGTCGAGCTTCAAGACACTCCCTGGTTGATTAAACGGAATTAAGATGATAGACTATGTGGATTTGTAATGTTTCGTAAGAATGCTCTAATAAGGAGGAGACTATCCTGCAGAATGAGGCTGCTTCACCGTTTGTAATCAATCCAGCTCCACGGAGTTCGCGATAATCATGAGCGTGGTGTCTTTCTTGTCATGATTTAAGCAAAGAAAATGAGATGCAATATCTCAAATGAGGTTACGGAGTCAACTCACAGTCCGGTCCACGGGGAAGTCATCTGCAAATCCTCTCGCATCTTGCGGCCAGCTACATATGTTTATTCGCCATGCTTCTCGAATCTCTACTGTGGTCTATGGCCACAGCGATTAGTTTTCATCAATTTGATCGATCTATATTGAACTTCGACTTCCCCCCAAATCCAAAAGTTGAAAGGTTTAAGGTCCACGTCCATGAATCATTTCTTTATGATACCTTACAGAAAGTGAGATCCTATCGACCTACACATGGCCTGTCTTCGGCTTGGGACATTGAAGGGCCACCCGCTAGAAACCTGACCAGCGTTGCGAAGTACTGGGCTCAACAATACGATTGGACGAATGTTGAGAAGAAGCTCAACGACGACTTCGATCACTATGCAACGACTGTCCCGGGAGGCGAGAATTACCCATATCCTGTACCGCTGCACTTTATCCATCACGTCTCCGCCAACGCCAACGCCACACCACTGCTCCTCCTTCACGGATGGCCATCAACAAATCTGGAGTGGTCAAAAGTCATCAAGCCTCTGTCAGAGAATTTCGAACAGCCATTCCACATCGTCGCACCGGATCTACCTGGCTTTGGATTCAGTCCAGAGCCAGAACACCCCGGGCTAGGATTGCGCGAAATGGGATGGGCCTTTGACGCATTGATGCACCAGCTCGGTTACCAAAGGTATGGAATAGTCACTACGGACCTCGGATGGGTCACCGGAATGTGGATGACCATCGACATCCGTAATAGTATCCTTGGCCACATGTGTGACTTCTTTATCGCCGAGCCAAGCACTGGAGACCGGGCTCGACTGGCGCAGAATCAGACCACCGACGAGGAAACTGTTTACATTAAATCTGTCGATACATGGTTCAGCTCACATTGGGCGTATGGCGTAGTTCATAGCCAGAAGCCTTTGACGATATCCCAAGCTCTGGCTGATAGTCCGGTTGGTCTGCTTGGCTGGTTCTGGGATGTCAACTACGCCACTTCCAACGGCTACCCTTACACCGAGGAAGAGCTCATCACGGATGCGATGATGATGTATATACCGGGACCATACGCAGGTATTCGAGCTTACCTGGGTTTCCAGGTTTGTCATCCCATGTTGAGCGTGGTATTTGCAAGCATCGTAATTATTGACGCCTGTGCTAGTCGCAATTTCCCTATACAGACGTGCCCACAGGAGTTTCTCAATGGAGTATGGGTGATGGCCCATTCCCTGATGTTGGAAACTTTGGGTTCGCGGTGTGTTCTATCAATTGTGGAACACGTGTGTCCAGACACCAAAACTGACTTTCAACAGCCAAGAGATTGGATCGAAAGATCCGTTAACTTGGTGTATTTCCAGAGACATCAAGTTGGCGGGCATTTCCCAGCTGTCAGTCAACCCGATCTGTGGCTGGATGACGTGCGGACTTTCTTTTCCGCCCTAAGCAAGTCGTCTTCTGTGGAAAGAGATGAGCTGTAAACTGTTGTTAGAGAGGCCGAATAAACAACACGACGATGAGACTCGTTGAATGGCTGTGTGTAAAATACAATGCACATATTGAATGCGGTCCAAACGGTCTCTAATGAAACATGAGCCTGGCGAATCTTCAAAGTTCTTGTTTTTATCGCATAGTCTAGACCGAAGTCTTTGGCATCATACCCTATTATTAGCCTCCAACGGTTCATCTATTCACCTGTAAAATGGTCCCGCTGCATGTCTTAAGCGCTGTTAGCGTGTCCACGTATCATGCCACAACGCCACCGATGTGCAGCACCAGCCACGCCCCGTCTCTCCACGGCTGGTGCTCAGGAGGATCCTGCAATATCCAAGACAGCTGTCATTGATCCAGACATTGAAGCAAGTCCTCCCTGGAACTGGGGTCGACAAGCGGTGTGTCAGCGGCTGAGTGCAGAACCCCGCGCGGGCAGGGATACAGGCCCAACGATAGAGCTGAAGGGCAAACTATGCCAAGCAAGCTTGTATGACATCCAGTGATCTCCGCAGTCTGATAAGTGACGTCAACCCACTTTCCATGTTCACTGCCAAGGAACACGAATAACAAGCCACCGCGTAGTCTGGGCATCAAAAGTGCTCACCCATCAGTCTCCCTTTTGATGTTGGGCTTCAGCTGGAGTGTTCTTGACTTTCCCCTGAGTGATCCACCCTCTAAGCCGGTTGACCCACTCTCGCAGTAACTCATTGATATATCATCATTGTTCCTCGAGGCCTCTCGTCTCTCATCGTCGAGTAACGCTTCACTCTCCTCTGCATTGCTCTTTTGCATATTCAAAAATCCTTATTCAAAATGGCAGGAATCGTAGACAAGTTGACCGCCTCGGGAGGCACTGAATCAGCAGGTAGGGCACAGCGATTCCAGTTCAGGGCTACAATGGTTGGCTGTTCGGCGATTGATATCTAATATCTCATCAGGATTCCTCAACGATATCATCGAGCAGCTATGGCCAAACATCAATGTTGCCGGGTGTAGGATGGTGAAGGAGATCGTCGAGCCCATGTTCGCTACGATGCTTCCTGGACCCCTCGCTAGTCTCAAGTTCGTCAAGCTAGACCTCGGAAATGTCCCCATGCGGGTATCAGAAGTGGACGTCCATAAGGTCGACAACGGCGGCATCAAGCTTGACATGGATGTGATCTGGGAGGGAAAGAGCGATATCGAGCTCGACGGCAAGATGGTGCCCAAGCTGGTAAGACCTTTATGACCACCTGACTCGCGCATAGCTAAAATGGACGACAACAGGGCATTGAACATGTTCATCTGAAAGGCAGGCTTTCGATCTTGCTCGCACCCCTAACAAATGTCATCCCTTTGGTATGTCCATCTGCATCGATTCTCATCTAGTCGGATTCCGGGTGCTAACTGGACGATCAAGATTGGAGCTGCGCAAGTCGCTTTCATCAACCCGCCAGAACTCAAGCTTGACTTCACCAATGCTGCAAATATTGCAGACTGGGCTTTGGTTGACAAGGCCGTGCGCAAGGTCATTCTGGACATCATCGCCTCAATGGCTGTGCTCCCCAACCGTTATCTTGTGAAGCTCGACAGTAACAACGACTACTTCAGAACATACCTGCCTCACTTGGGTGCCCTTCGCCTCACCATTGAGAGGGCAATTGGCATCAGCGGCCCAAAGAAGAGCGGTGCCAAGAGGCTTTTGGCGAAGATTGTTAAGGATGTTCCCGACTGCTACGCCAAGGTGAACGTCGGTGCCGAGGAGGAGTGGCGCACCTCTGTCAAGAAGAATGATCACGACCCAGAGTGGAACGAGACTCACGACTTCCTCGTCGCAGACTACGATCAGCGCATCTTTATTGATGTCCAAGACGATGACCTTGGTGGCGATGACGATATCGGTATCGCGACTACTACCGTCAAGGACATTTTGCTCAATGGCGGCTCCCAAGAGTTGGCTCTTGCCCACAAGGATGAGCCTACTGATGCTAAGATCGTTGTCCACGCAAAGTTCTACAACTTTGTGGACAACGCTGAAGTCATCACAACTACTCAAAGTGAGAACGAGCACCAAATCGTCGGTCTCGCCACGGTCCTCATCGCCAGCGCCCTCGGTTTGCAGGGCCAGCGTGATGAGCTGAACCCCAGTATCAAGGTGACGTGGGGCGCAAAGGAGTTCCGCACTGCAGCCAAGACCTACAGCCCGGGAACGGATATCTTCAACCCATCTTTTGATCAGGCTTTCAGGATCCCTGTGACGGCAGATCTGCTCGCCAACCCCGCCAACTTCAAGATTTCTCTGCTCAACAAGGCGGACGAGACTGGTGCTGTTGAGATCCCCTTCCAGGATATTCTTCAGGCGCCTGGCTTGGTCAAGGAGGAGAGCTTCGATGTTGGATCTGGTGCGACTGTGAGAGCCAGTATCTCTCTTCGCGGCTTACAGGTTGCGCACTGATTAGCTCATGATTTGACGACATGTTCATGTATAACTCCACGATAATACACGATTGACAGATATTGATCAGGTTGACACGTATCTTGTGATGAGGAAGTATCGATCTACGTTAGATCAAGTGTCTGTAGCTCAATGGTCCCCTGCAAGAGCTCGCCATCCATTATACCATGAACGTACGCCTCGCCAACAATTTGGGAATATCCAGTCCAAATACATGAGCGAGTCGAAGTGATGAACGGTGCGTCTGCGCCAATAATTATCCACACATGATCGCCCACTGATGCTGCCATTGGCGCGAGTCCGACATATCCTCCGTCAGTTACGAAGGGGCGTCTCCCGATGAGTTTGGCAAGTGCAACATTCATGTACTTCATGCCCTCGAAGTGTTTCCCTTGTCGCAAAGCTTGGTATGACATGAACATTTCACCAGATGCCCTTTCCGTCTCCCAGTTGAATGCAAACTCTCGATCAGCGATTGGTGTTCTCCACAACGCCTCTCTCAGTGCTTCATCGGTATTGTAGACTGCATTAATTCCTGCCAATGTGGAACCAAGATCATCGAGCCATCTGAGCAATAATGACTGTTGAAGCCCATCTGCCTCACCCGCGTTCAACCCATTCAATCTTACGAAAGGCTCTCCTTGTTTGACGATCTTGCCGACTTTCATAGCCTTCAACGATAGCGAGTTCGTAATGAACCGATTCTCGTCCGAGAATGCCGCTGAGAGAGACTGAGAGAGTAATCCGGAGGCCGTGTATGCTCTTTCTTTGTTTTGGCCTCGCACTATGAAAATGGATGGAACGTGTAACGGCTGCGCCAGAAATTTCGAGGACCAGTCGGGTGCCCATGACGGTTTGCTTTGATATACCATACTTGCGGGACAAGTGTGAACACCCCCAAACCCTGCAAATGATAGCATTCTTGGGCCATAGTAGATCAGACAGGCTTTAGCTACCTCCGTCCGAGTCGTTTGCCAATCTTTGTTGTACTGGACTGGAATTGACGGGCTCAAATCAGAGGTAATCAGACCCAACAGAGAGAAGACGTAGTCTCGTTGATCGGAGGCCTGGAGTTGAGCTTTATTTGCCATTCTTGAGAGCAAGGAGAAAAGGGTGAATAGCGAGCAGTTTGGGCGAGTGAAGGCAACGGGAGTCACCCTATCGAGAGCCGCTGTGAGAAAAGTCACCAGCGTAGAGCTGTCTCGCATCCCCGTGCCCGAGCCGACGATGTTCAGATAGTCGCGCACGCCGCATAGCACCCAGAATCCGTTGTAGAATGCATCCCAAGAGGTCCAGGTATCACCGCAACAGACCACACAGTCTTTTGACAGCACGCGTTCCTGTATCACCCAGACACGCTCGAACCAGGCTCGCTCGAACAAAGAGCCGATGGCGTTTAATCTTGCAGACTTGTTGTGACAAAGCTCTCCGATTATTCCTCTAAGCATAGTCTGGACCTTGTCCACCATCGGATTCACGGCGGTCTCAGTGAAGGGGAATTCGGACCAGGACATGACAGCAAAAGCCCCCGACTCCACCAAATTGTTCAATTCGAAAAGAGTATTCATTGCAAGGTCACTGTCCAAGCTTGCCAGGCCGAGCCAAATGAAGGTTTTTGTAGCGTTGCGGTAGATTTCTCTCATGTAAGATACTTGCTGGGCTTTCTCTGCTTCGTTTTGCTGGTCAATACACAAGGCATCGATCCAAAAGGTTGATCCGAGATTCTCGGTAATTCGTCGAGAAGCCAATCGTCTCAGAGCTGCTTCTAAGTTTGTGGTAACTTGAACCCACTGGTCCTCCACTCGGATGTCCTTCGTGATCTCGGCATCTCCCCATGCGTATGAAACCGCCACGTAGGACTGCCCCTCGTTGAGGCTGGCGTGATTCAGGCGACAGCGAACTGGTAAGTCCGCCGTAGACCCCAGGCCTTCTGTCTCCAGAGGTGCTATTTCGATGAGTCGAACTTCTTTCTTTTCTGGATCTAGCGATTGATATTGGAAGGACCGCAAGCTGCTAGCCATCTGATGTTCGGCCATTGGCCGCGATGGCGTGTCGTTGAGTGAAGTACTCCGGCGTGCAGTCGTCAATTGCCTTTTGACCGCACTTGCTTTCTCCAGTTGTGACTTGAAAAGAGCAATACCCCTAATGGTCGCTTTTCTGTGGCTCTTCAACGGATCGGGTCTGCTCGTCGCAGCGGCAAGATTTCTCGCGGTTTGCTATGCCCCTCTCTCACAAGGCAACTCTGCTGACATGTTGCAGATGGTCCTGTTGATCCAACCAATCATGGGATGTTGCGATAACCAGTCGTCTCGTCGTGCGGGTATGATTGGTTGTGTTCTCCAAGCAGTGCTTTGACCACTTCACTCTCCGTATCCCAGACCCTCGAGATACGATGCCTCCTGTTTCTTCAAGTTCTAACTCTGGTGTATGGAAACGAAAGGATCATTTCCTTCTCAGTGTAACATCATATTTTTCAGAATAGAATGGAGACACCTTTTGCCTATCTTAGACCAACCTTGGCTCTTAAGTGCCACAAAACTCATACAATTGGTCCACACTCACGAATATAGCGACGGGTTTAAATCAGTGGGTTCAAAGATAGAATGGAATGCTGGAAACAGTTGGCCGAAATGAAGATAGAAATGACGTTCGAGAAGCCCCTTTTTGGATTTCGTCACAGCAGAGTGTTTGGTCGTCGTCGCCGATCTAGCCTCAAGGTCCCGAAATAGCGTATGCCAGTCGTGAAGGGGTATATGTACGATCTTCTGTTACTGGTCCAATAATTTCGGAGGCGGGTCCTGGCCTCTCAAGAACCCATCTCGGTAGGTACAGCCTTGGCAGAGAAGCCAGAATGCCGGTTGAACACATCGCCGGTCATGTCTTTCGTCTCGTCGTACTTGAAAAACCGAGCTGGAGTTGACTGTTGCCGGATATTTAATCTCGAGTTTTTCGGCTCGATTTCCTCAAACAGGTAGGCAGGCAGGTTACGCGAATGAACCTATTGCACCACCAGAGGCTGACGTTATCTCATTTAACAAAGACATACATCTACATGTAAAGCAAAAGTGGGCAGTGAGAAGTATATTCCGTAACACCAAGATCTCAAGGTGTTTCTGGCCGACATTCAGTTTAATACCTGGATACCGCGCGTGAGCAATTTCTTACGGCCTCATGCAACTCAGCATCGCGTTGTCTCGTCCAAGCGGCCAGGCGCTCTAGTCCTGCTCTTTTCTCTTGCTATATGACACCGCTTGACCGTGCCTTCCCCCATCCTTCTCAGACCTCGCTGTTGCCCTGTTTCCGTTCTCAAACCTTCTGCTCCTGCTCCTTGCTTCCCGGCGGCTACTTTTCCCATGTCCCCCACCTGCCAGTCTCGAGCCATCCTCCTTCTCATTCCAATATCGCCACCGCACCACCCCCTCACCATCCTTCCCCGTCTACCTCAGTCCTTCCGTATACCCTCATCCGTACTTTCCCATCTCTTCACCAACTGTTCTCGCCCTTCCCATACTCCCCCGCCGCCCCTTACATCACCCAGTTTCCTCCTCGTCGTCGCCGAAGATACCGCAGGTGGCCGAGTTGGTGTATGACGTCCGAACATCACCAAAGGATGTCGGAAGATCCCGAGTTCGATTCCCGGCCAAGCTCACCTCAGAGTGGGTTGCGGATTCAGTCTTCCCTCGGGTCCACTCAGGGATGAGATGTAGTAGGCCAATGTGCTTTGCGAACTCTTTTTGCATGATGGTTTGGTTGAGTACTCGATACACTTGCCAAAAGAAAGGAGTGAGAGAGGCGTCTGGATCTGTAAGTGCTTGCTTGGCTTTCAGGCATATGGACGATGGTGATGGTGGTGGCAGTGACAGCGACAGCGGCCTGGCAATGGTGGTATTTGTTCAGACATTGCAACCAGTCGAAGGATCCCGACTTACATGCACATGACTTGCGAAAAGAATTCTGAGCCTCATCTCGTTGAGGGTCTTGAGGAAAACGAAAATGGGTTTGGGTTTGACGACCAGAACCGGCCATACGAAAAGCACACATGCACCAAGACCGAGAAACTGGAGGCATTGTAAGGGTTTGGAGATACGACGGCGATGATGCGAGGCTGAACATGCGGTAACGAGCTCATGACATAAGATCATCAACAACCCTCACACAAGTGATCCGTTAGATTTCGATAGGTCGCCGTAAGACCAGCGCATTCGGCAGCCGAAAGGAGAGCAAGTACCAGCGTGGACTCTGCCGACATGCTGGCGATAATTAGAGTACGGAGTTTATGATCATGTTATCTTGAATTGATGGCTCATCTTCTGCGCAAAGACGTGACCTACGAAGATCTACCAGAACAATATCCCGCGTACCAGCTCCGTCACATTCACTCTCGCTTGGTCTCTTCAATCCTTGTGTTCGGTAACCCTCACCCAGAAGTTATCCTGCATAAACAAGTTGTGATTCACGCTATGCCAAGGCTTAGCGGGATCCAAAATCTGGAACTCAAAATTGCGAAGCAACTAAGTGTGTAAATGTTAGCATCTCAGCACCTCACAGCGCCACAGCATTCTCAAACTCGGGGCAGAAAGCCAGTACTTACCTCAACAAACACCTTATTCAACTCTAGAAACGCAACATTCTTTCCCGCGCAACCCCATCGTCCATATCCAAACGCGAGTTCAGTAGTCTTCTGCATCTTATCCTTCGTCGCCGCATCGGCTTCGATCCATCGTTCAGGCCGGAAGAGGTCCGCATCTTTACCAAAGACGTCGATGCGACGGAGCGTGCCCCATACGTTCTGGGCGATGCGCGTACCACTGGGGATAAAGTGTCCATCAATTGTGTCTCCTCCGACGGGTACTTCTTTGGCGCAAAGGCCGGTGAAGGGCGCGCACATCCGGAGACCTTCATAGATGATAGCCTGGCTTTGGTGAGCAAGTCGAAGTTGCGATTATCAGGAGCGGGATTTGAGGGGCTAACCTGAAGGTAGGGCATTGCTTTTCCTTCCTCATAGGTAATGGGGGAAGAAATCCGGCCTTGGGTTACAGCTGTGATAATTTCGGTCTTCAGAGTATGATATGCGCGAGGCGATGTAATGAGATATAAGAAAGTCGTCCGAATGGCTGTTGCGGTTGTGTCTGATCCAGCAATGATCTGGAAGAGAACTTCTGTTTCACACTCGCTCTGGCTAACGCCGTGCCGGATGAAGGCACCCTGTTGGTTCTCAGCTTTGCTCTAGACAGGACGTCAGAAATATAACCTACCAGCATGTCCGGCTCCTCCTTCGCATCTGTACCGAAACGTCGTCCGACAACCTCCTTGGCCACTCTACATGTACGTTCCGATCAGCATCGCACCATCATGCTACTCATAGAGGAAGCACCACGTACCCCATTAGCTTTCCCAATCCGCTCTTGTCAGTATGTTTCGGACCGACCGCTCCCAGGATGGGCTTGGAAAACATAAAGTTGGCAAGCCACGGTACCTCACTGCATAGCTGCAGAAGCGGTATAGCCGCCTCCGTTGTGCTGATGTAGTCGTGGACATCCGAATCAGTAGCTAGGTACCCAAACTCCTTTCCGTACGCAACTCTGGTGATAACATCCAACGTGAAATACTGTGTTGTCTTGCCCAGGTCCATCGGCCTGACCTCATCGTCGATAGTAACATACTTCCTCCGGATGAGGTCCACGAAACCAGCCACCTGCGAGTTGATGCCGTCTTCGAGCGCCAGATTCTCTTTGCCGGCGTATCCAGCTGCGCACTTGGCCTTTAGCTTATCATGTGCGCCGGTGTCGCGCAGACTGAACAAGCTGTCTTCGTGAGGGTTTAGCTTTGTCGTATCGTACCAGGATGATCGGCCGTAAGTTGATCGGGCAGCGTTCATGCGACGTAGGATTTCCGGGTCGTCAGTGACGAGGTCGTTCGGGCCGATGCGAACTAGGGAGCCATGTTTTCTGTTGAGATTGGTAAAGTGTTCGGCCGGTCGACCGGAGCATGCGTTTCGTATGAGCCATAGGTAAGAGAAGCGTCCGATGAGTGGGCCCGGGAAATCACGGAGACGGCCGTAGGCTATGATAGATGAGACGGCATAGTAGATGATGAAAGCGAAGCTGACATAGAGCAGTGTCGAGCCTGCATTGAGGTATGAGGTGAAATTTGATAGCGCCATATTTCCAGTCGTCAGCTCGTCTTGCAACTGAATTGCAATACTGAGGGAGGCAAGGTTGAGTTGACTTCAATTTCAGCCATCAGGCTCTTATTCGGTGGTAAGAGTCTTCCATTATATCTAGTATTTCAATGCTGACGGCGACCATCTTCTACTTTTCGGGTTTAACCCGTGTAGACATTGACGTGACCCCTTGCCACGCCAACGTGTTGAATATTGCAACCCCGCCTCTCGTTACATCGCTCGGGATTTCAGGGACGTCTTGAGGATGACAGCGCTGGCTTCCATGTCGATAAGCCGGGGTTGCGCGTTGGAAGGCTTGATGTACCGGGCCGTTGCCACCAAAAGTCCCAAATGCCGGTAGTAGACCTACCTCGATTCGGATAGCCTATCTGGAAGAGTCGCACTGCCCAGCATTTGGCATCGTTCGATTGCAGACATTCAGTTTGTTGATACCAGGTGATGTCCAATGATGACCTTCCTGTCGGGCCCGGGCAAGATGCGAACGAGAGATCAGCAATTGGAGAATCTAGACATCCATGCTCGTGATTGAATGTTTTGGGGGGAAACACTTGGAGGGGAGGCAGCTTTTGTGGGTTCCTCGACCCTGTCTTGTGTAACGTGGGGATCACGGATATGTCGGCATGAGCGCTTGAGCTTTTGTGGCTACAACGGATATGCCATGACGGATCGCTGTCGGACTCTGATAGATTTCGAAATGGGGCAATGTGCAAAGCACCGAGGTCTTGGTGTCTTGGTAAGCTGCTGCTATTCAAGGACAAGCGACCGTCTGTCAAGGATAAATAAAACCAGACTTTGTCGACAACCCATATAGGCCCACAGACCACGAGATGGAGGAGTAATAGAGGGAGCGTTATTGGTCGGAGCAAGGAAGGGGCATGATCATAAGGTACTCTAGGATAAGAAAAAGGGAAGCAAACATTCCGACAAAGTCTGACGAAGCCTGCGATGGTTGAGAAACATTTCGAGGCAGCAACGACTTCGGACCAGCTTTGTAAAGACCTCCATGATCTGAAAGCTTGCTCGAAGATGAGGAGAATCCGGAAAAAATCGGGATTGCTCGAGCAGTGGAAAGCTGATGTTGGGGGAGAGAACGGGAAGGGTTATCCATATTAAGAACACAATAGCATACAAATTCCGTCCGAGGATTGACAGAATGGCCCTCCATATCTTCCTTCACTCGAGTCTTCGCCGTCCGCGAGGCGCGATTGCTCCGCCGAGTGTTGGTGGTTATTGGTACATTATCGTTTATAGTACAGTCGCCTTCATCGCGGCGACGCCCAAAGTGATTCCGTGGGTAGAGCCCAAACCCTTATTGAGGCGCCTTGGTGCGCAACTGAACACCGTGCCACTGCTTCATCATGTCGCCCAAAACGGCGTTGACCATTCGTTGCTGCTTCAGCATGTTGGCGCCCTTGAACTTGGCTGAGGTGATGTCGATGGCGTACATGGAACCGCATCCGCCCGACACGTCTTGTACGATGAGTTCCGAGGGCGTGAACTCGGCAACGAGCTTATCCCATATCGTCGATTCGGCATCGTCCAGGTGGTCGGGCTTCTCGAGGGCTGTTGAGGTCTCGGTCGCGGAGGAGTAGGAGCGCTTTGAGATCGATCGGAGGTTGGATTGAGATCGTGATCGGATCGCATTGGGAGCTTGGACTGTTGCAGTGGATCTCAGGGCGTTGTTCATTGTTGCGATCGAGAGACTTGAGAGGGGAGCTTTTGCGATGATGGTATTCGCAGTGGGCTTGGGGAGCGCAATTGCGCGACGGCACGCTCTGCAAAGCATTCTGGGCCGGATCGATGGTTGATATGTTGACTGCTCAATTCCTTGCGTAATAAAGTTTGGCAATGGCTTCAACTGGGGTCGCTTGAGGCTATCGCAGTCGAATTGAGACTCCCAAATAAATCTCCGTGGTGTGGCAAGCTTCAATTCGGAATTTCTAAGCTCACGGCTATTGACGTCAACAAGGAATTGAGTGAGCTGCCGGGATTTAGCCGGAGCAGTGTGGGGCTTACAGTGTGGCTCAGCTCACACGGTACTTGAGTGAGATGAGTGGCTCAGTGAAATGCAAGTGAGACACCTTCATCAATCACACTCACTCATATGCTTCTCATGTGTCACTCACTCAACATTCACACTTTCACAGTCCATATGCAACCTGGTTGACCTCGTGCGTAAACCGAGAAAAGAAATATCTCCTAGTCATCTCATTAAAGTCACAAAACCGCTGACATGGATCACAAGGACTGGAAATTTCAAGGGGCTAATGCGACAACACCTTCCATCACCAAGGGCTACATCATCATCCTCAGCTCTCCTGCTTCACATACAGATGTCCCCGCTAGGATAGGCCGCTCTAGACGGTGGGAAAATTATTTCTGCATCTCCAATCTGCCAGCCATGGCGTGTCTCTCACCTACTTCCGCCAAACCACCCCGGCAAATTCTCCCAGTTCCAGATCACCCCGTTCGTCTTACCCCAGGGCTCAGGGCCATCAATAGCGTCTCCCCGCATCTCCCCGCATTCTTCTCCAATGACTTACCCCAGGTCATAAAAGTTGCTTAGTCCGACACTAGAAATTAGAGGCGACGAGGTTCTCTTGCGGTTTTTGTCAAATTCCTCCAATCAGGCGTGTTAGGGTCCCGGCCGGCAACACTTTTCCTAGCGGTTGAGCAATGACAGCGAGAAACGCGATGAACGCGATGAGCGCATCAGGGGAAGACAGCGAGCCTCGATGCTACGCTAGAAGGCGTATAAAAAATGGTACATAGAGGAAAGGGGACGCTCAGTGAAAGTGAGAGGGACTGAGTAGCAGAGAAGAGCAGCAGCTTGATCCTCCTTCTTGTTTTCCATGTCTCGGTTGTCATTTTTGTTTTCCGCTGTCGCGGCTTGCTTGATCCAGGCCGTGGCAGCTCAAGAGCCTACAGCCCAGGTCCTCAATGGCACTTATGAAGGCCGTCATCTAGCTGAGTGGGACCAAGATGCCTTTCTCGGTGTCCCTTTTGCGCAGCCTCCGGTTGGCCAGTTGCGGTACAAGTGGCCTCAAAGCCTCAACACTTCCTTCGAAGGCACAAGAGATGCCACGGAACAGGGCTACAGCTGTATGCAGTTTAGAGGGACCTTCAACATGTCCGAGGACTGCTTGACCCTCAATGTTGTTCGTCCAGCTGGAAAGCCTGAGAAGCCGCTCCCGGTTCTCGTATGGATCTTTGGTGGCGGTCTATACACTGGGTCAATTGTAAGAAGTTATCAATCTTGGAGCATTGTATGTCAAGACTGACTTGAATGTGACAAAGGCCGACCCTCAATACAACCTCTCAGGCATTGTCAAAGTCGGCCAGGACATGGGCCAGCCCATTATCAGCGTCGCCATGAACTACCGTCTCAACATGTACGGCTTCCTACAAACACCTCAAATCCTCGCCGAAGGCTCCAGTAACGCGGGTCTGCTGGACCAGAGGTTGGCGCTCCGGTGGATCCAGGAGAACATCGCGGCGTTTGGTGGAGACCCGGACCGGGTGACGATCTGGGGCGAGAGTGCCGGGGCCCAGAGCATCGCCTACCACATGTTCAGCTACGACGGCCGGGACGACGGCCTCTACCGCGCCGCAATCCTCGAGAGCGGCGGGCCGACGGGGGCTCAGGTGCAGGACCTGGCTTACTACAACGCCCCCGTCGAGAATCTGACGCGCAGCGTCGGCTGTTGGACCGCCAAAGACCAGTTGGCTTGCCTCCGCGGCCTTAGCCAGACGCAACTCTTTGCAGGAAACCCCAGTCAAGTGTGGAACCCAATGATTGATGGTGACTTCCTGACGGGCTACCCGAGTCAACTGATCCGCGAAGGCAAGTTTGTCAAGGTGCCTCTCTTGACCGGCGCCAACAGCGATGAAGGCATCAACTTCAACCCCAACAGCCCCAAGCCAAACACTGAGACGAACCTCTTCAACGGCTTCACTTGGTGGCGCTCCTATGCCCTCTCCCCGCCGACGATCAGAAAGCTCTTTGAGCTGTACCCCAATGACCCCTGCACCCAGCCGCCGCTTTCCATCACGAACTGTTCCGTGTACCCGGAATATGGCCTGCAGTGGCGGAGGGGTGCCTCCATCGGCGGCGACCTAGTCATGATCTCGGGCCGCCGCAAGATGTGCGAGCTCTACGCCGTCTCTCAGCCCGTGTACAGCTACCGCTTCGACCAGCTGCTCTGGAACCGCAAGCAGATTGAGGGAGTGCGGCACTTTGACAACGTCGCGTACAGCTTCCAGAACATATCTGGCCTGCTCGGGCCGTCGCCGCAGTATGACAGCCACGTGCGCTTCGCCCGCGCCATTGGGGAGGCCTATGTGCGCTTCCTCTACGAGACGGATCCGAACCCGAAGGCTGGCAGTAATGGGACATTTACAAACGGCACGTCGCTGTTGCCTTATTGGCCCAAGTATGACTTAAGTGCCCCCAAAAACTTGGTATTGAACGCATCCAAGAGCTATGTGGAGGATGATACATGGAGAAAAGAGGGCATAGACTTCATCAACACATACGAGGTAGCGAGAGAACTTCTTGCATGATGGATTGGCCTGCAGTTGGGTTTCCGAGAGCTGGTCTAGTATCTAGCATCGGGCAGCAGATGGGTAATCGGCATCGTCCAGCGTACAGAGTACATAGATGACACAGCAATAAGCAATGTTAGTTAATCACGGTGTGCTACGGATACTTATCTCGCCCACATGCTTCTTTTCGTACTAGTGGAGACTGCCTATATCCTCCCCCCTCGCCGTAAGGCCAAGGAGGGAACAAAAGGCGACTCTTGTCATGGAGCCCGGTCACCGCCCAGCCGCCTGTTGACCCTCCCCCTCTCTTCCCGGGACGGACTGCGACGGTCGCATTTGGCGATCTGTAAGGTACGACCCATTGTGTCCAAACAGTTGGGATGCTGATCTTGAGGCAGCATTGGCGTGCCTCCGAAGACTTGGCTGAGTTTGGCATCTGCGTTGGCCAGCACTCTGCATTGGTGAAGAAGACTAGACTTAATACTGTTTGGTTGACTATTGACGGCATCTGGCTAGTAACTTCGTAGATGCCTCATGAAAGTCGCACAGTATCAACATCTGCAGTGTATCGCGATACCATATTAGTCGATTATTTAGCTATGAAACCCGCTTCTGAGTTGGACAGGGCAAGACTAGCTTCATGCTTTAGGCCATCAGAAATCAGAGTTGTTTCGGCGAAGGCCGCTGTGGATGTTCGCTGTCTACTGTGAGCTCCGCTCGGAATACAGAGCATGCAACTCTGTTTAGACACAATATTGAACACGGAAGTTATTTGACCTTGTGCTGATAGGACTATCTTCAATTTTTCCCCAAGAGCACAAAACCCATAGTCTGCTGCATGACGATGCATGTTGTTGAATCAACCATGAACAGAGTTCGGCGCCATAGTAAGGTTAAATGCATTTGTGTTTGCCAAAGTTCTATTCACATTAAAGACCCCTACAGCAGTGCAGGCCGCCTAGAATATGCGCATCCAGGTCCTCCCCAGCAGCACGAAGTCAGTAATCATTTATTCGCACTTTTTAAGTTCAAGCAAGCGGGGGCCATTGTTTGATGAGCCTCTCCAGTTGCCATCTCGCTGTAACCTCTTCGTTGATTTGCTACGAGACACAGAGAGGCGACTGAATCGTACAAAGCCTTCGCCTTTTTGAGGTTCTCTGCCAGCCGAACCGTCGAACCCTGAGAACAAGTGCATATCAAAAGTTCTCTCATCTTCAGCTGGACCCGTTCTCTCACCCAGAATACGAAGAACTTGAAAGTTTAACCAAGACAGAATGAGTGGAGGAGATCCCCGCGGCCTCTTCCCGAGCTTCCCAGATCGCCTTAGCAGCCCAGCCGGGACCCAACTCCTTTCGGCTAAAGGCGAGAGAAGCGAGAGTAGCCGTGGTCCTCACGCCCTTTAGGCGTTGGTCCGGGCGTATCAATACTGGGCCATTGTTTTTGCTCTTCAAACCTTCGCTTCACTCCAGGCCTTCACAGCATTACCATTACATAGAACTCGGCGGGACTCGAGTACAGTTTCCAGTCGAGACGGTCCGATACGTAATAGCAGACCAAAAACGATGTCTTGCGCCTGTGGCTCGAGAGTCGAGATTAACGCGCCTTTGCAAGTTGAATGAGTAATATCCAGCACGCTGCGCAGGGAACATGTAGCGTTGCATGGCCGCCCGCATCCCGCGAACCTTTGCGTCCGGTCTAGGGCCGGGGCCTGGCCACCGCGTTATCGACTTTTCGGCAGGTGAATCGGATGGAAGCCCAGAAAGACGAGAAGCCATGGATGATGGGATGACAGGTGCCAGGCCTTGTTGGTCTTTTCCCGTCAGAGTCTCGAGCCTTCAACTCTCCCAGATTCCTTTCGCCCATTCAGAGACTCCGTTCAGCCACTTTTGGCTCTGCTCTGTGTGCGTGCGGGGATTTCGCATGTGGGCGCGGAATAGTTGGCGATATTGACTAGCAAAAGGTCCTCTACCCAGCAGAGTCTCTGATTCTCCTGCCCAAAAGGAACAAACTTGACCTGAGTCGTTGAACCTTTCAAGCTCTCATTCCTCATTACGGACTGACCTCCGACTCACGCCCTATGCCTTGTATCCTCAATGAAGAAGAATCGTATGCCGAGGAGTAATGGGACAGAGAACTAACTCCAGAAGCCGATACTGACGTGCCTGGAACAACATCCAACGCCATCGCCTCAGAACCCACCATGCAGCCGGGATGTCCGTCCCCCGCGTGGATGCTGCCGTTGTACCTACCACTCGCGTGCCTGAGCACATCGCGCGCTCGGCGCTCCACATCGCACGAGTGCACATTCAGGAACACGCCCAACAGACAACGACCCCGAGATGCACTACTACCACGGCAGTAAGAGTGCCATGACTTCTTGGCCCCTTGGCTCCATGGTCTGGGGAAGTGATTGTTGCACGCAGCACGCAAGACGGATGGCAGCGTTTCTTTCAGGGAATGTGGGAGCTGCAACTCCCGTATCGTGTTTGCCGTATCATATTGATATGATGTTTATCGCAGAGCGGTGAGTGTAATGTCTTGGAGTCTTGATAACGTTACGAATGCAGTCTTGCTGAACTCTGATAGGAGCAAACCCTCGTCGACCAATCTTTGTACAAGCCACTGACATTGGACAACTCGTCCTCCTTGTCTTTGTTGCCGGCCTCACCAGGCGTACGAATACGGTATTTCGCAGCAACAATAGCAATATGGAGCCGTCACCAATGCCACACGAGCCACCCAATGTCCTTTTGCCATCTGCAAACACAGGGCCTTAGATGTGCCACCAGACCAGAACAAGCCTCCCGAGTCTCTTAGCCTTCAACTGTGCGAACGCCCAACGGCTAGCCGCACCCTGATTCACGCACAAAAAACGTTGTGGCGTCGCTGCTGGCAACCTTCGCCCAGAGATCTCGAAGAAGTCAAATCCGATCTCCCGCCTTCTGCCAATCACTCTTTCGCGATAGCTCCAGTTGCTGTCCTCTAAAGCGAGCCTGAAGAGGGCAGGCTCGCCACCAAACGGGGGGATGCTAGTGAAATAAAAGTGCCCCTAACCAAGCAACCCCTGACCATGTCCAGGTCTATGATCCATGGCCACCACGGTTAGCCAGGGACTCCCCTCCATCAGCTCTTGCGGTCCCTCCAACGACATGCGGAAGACTTTACCCAGATAGGAAGGCCATCTGAGCAAATTGGCCGTTCAGAAAGCTCTCCAATGACATTGTTCAATTAATTAGCCCCAGCCCAGCTCCCTACCACTACGAAGCCTCAACAAGGCAGCTCGAAAAGCAGCTTCTCATATGTTGATCGACGTTCGGTCGAGATGCTCCTTTTCCCCTACAGGCCGTGACTTGCCAGCGAGGTGAATGAGCTGCAGATTGGCCTTCTAAGCTCGAGGCAACTAGCTGCGTGCAATTTCTTATTTCCCTGGTCCCGTTCGCTTGTCCTGCTTCCCCCTGACCCATGATCCCACCCCTCAGCCTCCCCCCCTGCTCCCCGAGCACTATCGCGTGCCACACTGTCACCGCGCCTTTGCATCCTCGCATATTCCCACAGCGCATGTCTTCTGTGCCGATGTTTCTCTCCACCTGCCTGGGCGAGCAAGCGTGCTCGCCCGAAATGGTGCTCCCGATTCCTTTCATGACGACAACGAGAGGCCCAGTCTCGCGCCGTCTTGGCCCCCCGCCAGACGGGGGCTCGCCTTGGGAGTTGGACCGAGCGAACAATCCATCCCCCTCCTCCTCGGATGGAGAACACACTCATAGTAGTTATAAAGCTGAACCCCCGGCGTGTCGGGCTCACGAGATGATTCCTTTCTCGCTAGCTCCGGTCTCCCACAGGTCATCCGTCAGCCAAACACAATGGTCAGAAGCAGTCTCTTGCTGCCGCTCCTTGCAGCGGCTTCCGCCGTCCAAGCCAAGGCCCCGTCTCCCAAGACCGTCGCTGGTGCCTTCATCGTCGAGTTGGAGGATGGACAGGTATGTCAACAGCTCTAACAGCAATCTACGCCATGGTACTGTGAAATCGCTGACCTAGCCTTTTCTACAGGATGCCTCCGAGTTCTACGCAGAGGCAGAGAACGATGCTATCACTCGTTTGAACCTCACCTACTCTCTTTTCAAAGGCGCGTCCATCCAGTTCAAGAACCTCGACACCGCCGACCAGAAGGCCGCCAAGCTCGGCCAGCTCGCTTCAGTCAAGAACATCTGGCCCGTGAGGACCTACAGCATCCCCAAGCCCGAGGTTGTCTGGACCGGTCAGCAGGGCCGCGACTACATCGACCTCAGGAAGCGCCAGGAGGGCGAGGATACCTTCTCGACCCACGTCATGACCCAGGTCGACCAGCTTCACGCCAAGGGCGTCTCAGGCAAGGGCATCAAGGTCGCTGTCATTGACACCGGTATCGACTACCTTCACCCCGCCCTCGGTGGCTGCTTCGGTGCCGACTGCCTCGTCAGCTACGGAACTGATTTCGTCGGTGACGCCTACGATGGCTTCAACGAGCATTTCCCCGATCCCGATCCCATGGATTGCGGTGGTCACGGAACCCACGTTGCTGGTATCATTGCCGCTCAGAGCAACCCCTTCGGATTCACCGGTACTGCCCCCGGTGTGACCCTCGGTGCTTACAAGGTCTTCGGATGCGAGGGCCAGGTCAGCAACGATATCCTCATTGCCGCTTACAACCGCGCCTACGAGGAGGGCAGCGACATCATCACCGCCTCCATCGGTGGTCCCTCTGGTTGGACTGATGAGCCCTGGGCCGCCACCGTCTCAAGAATCGTTGAGGCTGGTGTCCCTTGCACAGTCTCTGCCGGTAACTCTGGTGACCAGGGTATCTTCTTTGCCTCTACCGCCGCCAGCGGTAAGCACGTCACCGCCATCGCCTCCTTTGACAACATCATCACCCCGGCTGTTCTCATTGAGAACTCCTTCACCATTGCCGGCGGCGAGTCCCAGAACTTCTCCTACACCCCCGGTGAACCCCAGAACTGGGCTGGCGTCGACCTTCCCCTCTGGGCCACGAGCACCGACTCCACCTCTACCGCTGCCCTCGGCTGCGACCCTTACCCTGCCGGCACTCCCGATCTCAGCGGTAAGATCGTGCTCGTTCGCAGAGGTACCTGCACCTTCGTTACCAAGGCCCAGAACGCCGTCAACGCTGGTGCCAAGTATGTCATGCTCTACAACAACGCCGCCGGTGCTGGCTCTGTCTCTGCCGCCGTTGAGGGTCTCGAGGCTATTGGCATGACCACCCCTGACCAGGCCGCCGTCTGGCTCACTGCTCTTGCTGCTGGATCCGAGGTTGTCCTTCACATGACCGATCCCAAGGAGGCTGAGCAGATCCTGATCAACTCCAACAACACCGCCACTGGAGGCTCCATCTCCAGCTTCAGCTCCTGGGGTCCCAACTGGGACGGTCTTCAGAAGCCTCAGTTCGGTGCCGTCGGTGGTAACGTTCTGTCCACCTACCCCAGAGCCCTGGGAAGCTACGCCGTCCTTTCTGGTACCTCCATGTCTTGCCCCCAGACCGCCGGTATCGTTGCCCTGATCGCCGATGTCCGCAAGACTCTGGACCCCGCCACCATTGAGAACCTTCTCTCTGCCCACGCCAACCCCGTCAAGTTCAACTACGGAACCGGCCCCGATGCTCTTCTTGCTCCCGTTCCCCAGCAGGGTGGTGGTCTCGTCCAGGCTTTTGATGCCGCCTACTCCACAGTCATTCTTAGTCACTCCAGCCTTTCCTTCAACGACACTGACAACTTCATCCCCGAGCTCAACTTCACCATCAAGAACACCGGCGCTGAGTCCGTGTCCTACGACCTGAGCAACGTCGGTGCCGCCACTGCCTACACCTTCGAGGCCGCTGGAGATCTTTTCCCTGCTGTCTTCCCTAATGAGCTGTCCGCTGAGTACGCCACCCTTGCCTTCAGCGAGGAGAAGGTCACCGTCCCTGCCGGCGGCGAGGTCACCGTCCTGGTCACCCCCACCCCTCCTACCCTTGACGCCGGCCGCCTCCCCGTCTGGTCCGGCTTCATCGCCCTGAACGGCTCCGATGGCACCAGCCTTTCCCTTCCCTACCAGGGCATCGCCGGCAGCCTCCACAGCCACGTCACCCTCGACCAGGCCCTCATGACCACCTCCACCAGCGCAAAGGCTGAGGAGTACGAGCCTGTTCCCAGCAACTACACCTTCACTCTCCCTCCCCCTGGCACTGCCAACGAGACCAAGGCCGTCCTCCCCGCCCTCGCCGTCAACATGGCCTTCGGCTCCTCCTTTGTCCGCGCTGACTTGGTTCCCCTGACCACTTGCCCCCCTAACATCACCCACGAGGTCTGGGGCATCAAGACCCTCGGCCAGCCCCGCTCCTTCCCTTACCTGTACGTCTCTCGCGGTGTCTTTGCCGTTAACTTTGACGGCCAGCTCGAGGACGGCACCTACGCTCCTGCTGGCAAGTACAAGTTTGCCATCAAGTCTCTCCGTGTCTTTGGTGACGCGACGAAGCTTGAGGAGTATGATACCACTGAGACTGAGCCGTTCCGCATCGTTTACGGTGCCGCGAACGCGACCGCTCCTGCTAGACACTAGGAGAGTGTAGCAAATGTGCCACGATAGCATCACACGTCTATACGACATCTCTTCATGTAAATAATTTCATAGGACTGGAATAATGTCTGATACCCTTCATGAATCCTGTTCGCCCGTGATGCTTTTGTCTATTCGAGGTCTTTTCCCGTCATGTTCTCCGTTGATCATTTGAAATTGTTAACATTTTGTAGAACGGACCCATGTATCAAATTACCCCAGCAACACGTTCCACAACGTCTACTGCTCAATAGTTGATGATGCCCTTCAGTGTGACGATTCATGTCTACAAGGACTTACGTTTCCACACCCAACTTCACTCAAACCTTTGCTTTCAACACATTCCCAACAGCCGCTACCCTAGCAGCGACAAGACTTCCTACGCCCAGCAAAGTAATCACAGCTGCCCAGATCTGCGCCCAGATATACTTCCCACCCGACACATCTAGGATCGCGCCAGCGATAGGAGGCCCTGCTAAGGAAGCCACACCCACAATCGTCGCGACCATTCCGAAGCGTGCTCCCATCTTCGTGGGGTCTACAGTCAAACTCGCCAGAGCCGGTGTGAAAACGCCTTGGACGAAGCCATTTGCGATGCCAAAGAACACACTCAGAACGTACAGTCCAGGACCAGTATGGACCCCTATCCATGCAAAGTACATACCGCTCACTACCACGTTGCTGATGATGAACGTGTTGATCGAGCCTAGATAGCGCCCAGCTATGAATCCGGAGAGAACGCGACTGGGTATTCCCGACGAGTTCAGAATCAGCAGCAGAGAGACAGATTCAGTGAAGGCGAGCCCAATAACCTCCCGGGCAAAGACATTCATCTGTAAGCTAATCAGTATCCAGTCTCGTCTCCAAAGCCAGGAACGCATGACTTACATAAAAGAGACTGAAGTAAAGAGATAGAAACACGAAGAAACTCCCGATAGCGAAACACGTATAGGACCGTTCTCTAAACGCAGCCCACTCAATCAAAGGACCCTTCTTCCTAGGCGCCAGTCGCGGTCTCATCAACGCAATCGCAACAACACCAAGAACCAACATCATCAACGCCTGGCACCTCACAGCCCACGCAAAGCCTACATGTGGCATCGTGTAATTCAGCAGAATAGGAAACGTCACAGAGCCGAGGCCTGTCCCAGTCGTAACGATGGAGAGCGCCAGAGTCTTTCGCCTCTTGAAGTACGAGCCGACGATGGTGATGCCCGGCATGAACATGATGCCCATCCCGAGCCCTGTGCATAGACCTTGGGCGAGGAAGATTTGCCAGTACGCGTGGCAGAAACTGGTCAAGAATGTCCCCATCACGGCCATGAACAAGCCGACGATGACGGCATGACGGGTGTAACCAGCGTCGGCTAGGCGGCCCGATAGAGCGCAGATGCCGAAGGTGAGAAAGATCTGGATCGAGCCAATCCATGATGCCTGCGATGAGGGGAGGTTGAGGGTGGTGGTGTAGTAGAGTTGGTAGACGCCGTATGAGGAGGGGTAACCCCAGGCGATTTGGTTGATCAAGTGTGAGGCTAGGACTTGCAACCAGGCTGTAGTGCCTCCATCTGGATATCTGAATTCCTCTTCCCCGACGATTGAACTTTGGTGGGAATTGGAGTAGTTGAGTGGGGGATCTGCTTCAGGGTACGGTATTGATGGTTGCGGCTGTTGCACACCAAGAGTCTGCTTTTCTTGATGATCTGACATGATGCTGGGGGGCATTTTAAGACTTGGTTGTGGTACAGAAGTACGAAGCTGACTTTCAATGGCACATAAGGGGAAATGGGGTTAAAGCTGGATATTGTTGAATCGAGAGACACCAGACTGCATTCGGATGGTTCGAGTGGCTCTATGAAATAGGAAAGAAACGATTGGATGACTCACAAACCATCTAGCAAATACTCGGATTCTGGTCTTTTTTTCTTCTGTACTTCATACCCGGTGTTATCTCCTGGTCGGCACAAAGCGCCGGGCAAGGTTTCCCGCGCTTGGCACACCGATCTTAAACCAACTCTTCAGACTGAGACATGAGTCACGTAGAGTGTGGAGAATATTGATCGCCCCTTGATTGCACTTATCTAGGTCTCCGACAAAGAGTTGGGGTAGTAAAGATAAGGAACTGGTTTGTTGCTCACTTTGTCATTGATTCGCATTCAAGCCAGAGGTACTTTACAAAACAGTAGCAGAAGTGAGTTGCGAGTACACTGTAAACTACCCCTTACTACTTATTGCATTGGGAAATGTGTTGAGCACAACGTAGGCCATGTCATTGGAGTTGCATCTTCAACCTGACTCGGAATTGTTTTGGTCGTATGTCCAAGTACAAGACGTAGTTTTGTGTCGAATATCAGTATCATTAGAGTTCCTCCTATGCACGCGTCGTGATAATAACTCTTTTGTACCGGCGGATCGCGTGAGGCCTTTTTTTGGTGCTAACCTGTAATACGACATGCCACTCCTCCCCATCCGTCGCAGAGCCAGCATCAGTTGGCGGTGAGATGCGTACCTTTGGTCCAAGGGTGACATTTGCAAAGCCTGCCTCATTCAGAGGGAGAATACCATTCGTCCCGAGTGGAGAGGTGAGTGGTAGAATTGTGAGGGAAGGTTGGACGCCGAAGCCCAGAGGTGGCGGGTATCCAAACCACTCAAAGTCGAGTTGGCTCGTTTCTCCAGGGTGGTCAGCATCACAAGTACTAGCCGCATCGAGAATGATTGATCCATTGAGGCTGAGATCGAATCTCACAACTTCGGTGCCTGTCGAGCCATTGATGCTCAGTTGAGGTGGATGCGCTACAGCACTCACGCTATTGTTCAAAGTCCACTGCATGCGAGCGGCGAAATCGTCTTGCATGGCATCTCTCCAGCGCCAGATCGTTGCCTGACTGCTCCGGTATTGACTTCCCGAAGAAAGTGACAAGCTGTCTGGAGCGTTGCCATACCAATTGAAACCATTGACTTCGGAGACTCTGGTATAGCGGCCGCCCCAACCTCCCAAGCTTGGCATATCGAGGACCGAGAGGCCATTCGAGACCAGCCACAGGAAGCTGGGCGAGTCGCCCTCCATCCCATACAGAATCTGAGGGTATATGCTCCCGAGAGGCCCGACTCGAATATTCTGATCGGCCCAAGCGTTCTTGATCTTGGTAGTATTCGCAAAACCATTGTCGTCAGTGTTGATGCCTACCCATGTTGCGCCCTCAAACTCGTTGAATCCATTGATGCTCGTAATGTAGAAAATGTCGGGCCATCGAGCTTGGATCCATGACCCGGTGCCATCCTGGTCTGAGATGGCATAAACTCGAAGACGGGACCGTAGCAGCGCAGCATTCACTGATGACAGGTCGGTCTCAATCTGCTTGAGAGCTTGTGCCAAAGTGCCTGCACCTCCCCAAAGACTAACATAAAGTGGCTCCGAGGATTCTTGGAGCTTTTCAATTAGGTGCTTCGCCCCTTCGCTTAAAGATGTATTCAGTGCTTCCATTCCATAGACCTACACAGATAGTCAGGTAATGTCTAGCTTCACGTGAAAGAATTCGCAGATTCTAGGACTTACCTTAGGCCCAGAGGATACTAATGGCAAGAGGACATCCGAGCTGCTGTACTGGGAGGCCTGCGAAACATGGCGGTTGAGATTACCCACGACTGTGCCGTACACTTGAAGTATTCTCGTCATCTCTTCCGGATGTGTCTGGTTCCTCAAGAATGTCGATGTAGTTGCGCAAAGCCCCCGAATATCTAGCTGATTCGAGTACAAGAGCAGGCGAATGAGTGACATGGAATCGTCTGGTTCGTTGAGAATGTCGGAGAAGATGAAGACTCTAGGCTTAGTCACACTTTGGACTCCATTGGATGTGTTCCTAGCATTGGAGATGGCCTCGCATTGTATGGATTCTGCATACACTGGCGATGCCAGAAGGTGGCTCCAAAGCAAAAGAGGGAGCCCGACAAGCAAGTACCAAACTGTTGCCATACTGGTTTTGGTCCCACAATGAAGCCTTTGTGTCGTTGTGAATCATGAACAAAACGTAGATCGACTCAAATCTTAAATGGAGGTAGCATGCCCCCTTTTCAAGCGATGTAGTGCCTCCCTTCAAGTCCTCCTCGCTTAGATCGGCAATGCGCCGCCTCTCAGGATGAACGATTCCACTCCTGCAGTCCGCGTTTATGCTTCCCGTCTTGGGAAGGAATCATCCTAAAGTCCATTTGAGAGATGCTTAAATTGCCCCGATCCGTGCTATTGAGCACGTCACGTTGCCGGCATGGAAATTGCGGGGATTCCGGGGTAGCTGTGCCGGGGTGACATTGTTTTCTCCACTTGGTCATTTCGTCGGAAAATCCGAGTTTGCGGTGCACGGAGAGCTACTTGTTTACTCACAGCAGGATTATCGCACAACGAGCTGCGTGATGTACGGAGTATCACTATTGCTGCTCGCCGATATGGATTCAGGTCTCGGATTCTCCGAAATCCGGAATCATCTCTGACAAGAACGCAAGTGGGAGCCGAGGGCCCCCGGAGCGTGCGGTTTCCGACTTCTGGCAGATTTAGAGCCATCAGTCCGAGAGAGATCAAATGATGCCGTGCCTTTTGGCTCCCGAATAATTGGAGTCGGTATTGCATAGGTAGTTCGAGATAGGTAGCTGTTTCTCGAGTGGGAAGCTAATATCTACAAAAAAATCAATTGCTGCGCTGTAGCTTGACCCGCGAGAAGCTTGGCTTGCCTTTTAGCGTTCAAGTCTACGAACCCTCCAGCAAAGTCATCTTAGGTTTGCCGTTGCTTAACTATACATGCCGATGCTGGGAGCTTTTTCCCAGTGAATTGGAGATTTCACTTCAACTGAATGCCCAGGGTCTTCTCCGCCTGCTTCCTTGCTCCAAATACTGTTTGGCTTTTTTTCTTCGGATGTCAACTTAAAACCTTGCACCCCAAAAGACACAGTTGTTTTCGTAAAGATCCGTCGCCGATATCGTGACCTCCAGCGACGCTGACCCAGGATCATGACACCTCATTCCTCCGGAAATAACATGGATCTGTTCCCAGCCTTGGTGGCTCAGTGGTAAAGCGTCTCACTCGTATGATCTACGTAATGAGAAGATCGGGCGTTCGATTCGCCCTCGAGGCAGGTCTTTTGCTGATTCGATCAACACCCTCATTTTTGAGGTAAAAACGCTTGTATAGCCTGTGGAATTCCATCGCCGACATATAGCTAAGTCTATTTATGCGCTGGCCGCAAGCGAACGCCGGTTTTGACGGGTTCTATTTGTGTATCGACATGCCCTTTTTCCCCATTCAGTCTTTGCGAACCAGATGGTTGAAGAAGTCTCCGAGGAAAAGTGCCGACCTCTTCGGGTAGCGTGTCTTTTCGGGACTCTCATAGTCGATCCACGTCGCCCCAAACCTATCCGAGAACCCTGCCGCCCACTCCCAGTTGTCCGTAAACGTCCATCCGAAGTATGACTTTATGACAACGCCCTCTTGCGAAGCCTTGGCCACTTCTGTAAGGTAACTCTTGAAAAAGTCGATGCGAAAGGGGTCCTCGAGAATGTCATCTGGCCCCTTGGGTTTCCAATCATGCTCGCCTTGCGCCGTGGTCCCGTTCTCGGTAATGTAGATGGGCACATGGTACCGATTCCAGATCCATCGCAGCAATTTTGCCCATCCCCACGGCGTCGTGCGCAACCAGTAGGTATCACTCATTGGCCCGCGCGGCACACCCTCTTTGTTCTCGTCAAACTGCTCAATGTTGCCCTTGTGGTCGTTGATGTCGGCGGGGCCGTCGCGGTGCTTGACGTAAAACGCAGAGTATGAGTTCATACCGTAAACCTCGGAGCTGCCTAGCACAAGCTTGCTCTCCTCGGGCGTAAACCGCGGCAGTCTGTCGCCGAGTTGCGCGCGCATGGACTCCGGGTAGTCGCCTGTCTTATACAGCGGGTCAGCGAACCACGCGATCTCGAATTCCTGGGCCCTCTGCGCGGCTTCGACGTCGAGCGGGTCCGATGCGTCCCAGGGCTCAGACCAGTTTCCGTGCAACGTGATCATGATCTTGCCCTTTTGCGTTGGTTTGAATTCCTTTTTGTACATGTCGGCCACGTAGGCGTGGGAGATGAGCTCGGTATGCGCGACGATGAAGGGCTCGGTGGAAGAGTCGCCCTCTTCATTGAGCTCGCGGAAGCTGGAACGGGCTGGGGCGTGCACTCCGGCGGCGTACCCCGCGAGGGTGTAGACGCCGGGCTCGTTGTAGGTGATCCAGTCTTTGACTCGGTCGCCGAAGCGCTCGAAGCACACACGAGCGTATCGAATAAAGTCGGGCGTGTACTTTCCCTTGTCTAGCATACCGCCATATCGGTCCTCGAGGGCCTGCGGGGTGTCCCAATGGAAGAGAGTGACGTAGGGAGTAATACCGTTCGCGAGCAACTCATCGATGAGGCGGTTGTAGTAAGCGATGCCGTCTTCGTTGACGGGATCGTCTTTGCCGCCGAGTGGGATGATTCGTGACCAAGAAAGAGAGAAGCGGTAGCCGCTGACGCCGTATCTCTTCATGAGTGCGACATCTGTCTTGTACAAGTCGTAGGAGCGCACGGCATCGTCGCCTGTGCTGCCATCTTTCACCTTTCCTGGAGTATGCGCAAATTTGTCCCAGATGGACTCGCCCTTGCCATCCGTGTTCCAGGCACCCTCGACTTGAGCAGCGGCTGTGGCAAAGCCCCAGGTAAAATCGGACGGCAGAGCGCCCTTGATGGATTCGTCAAACTCGAATTGTGAAGCCATTGCATTCGGGGGGTGTATGAGATTGCTCACGATCTCACATTCCACTCAACCACCGAACGTAAAACATCATTAATACACCGAACGTCGACCATCTTAAACCCCGCCTCACGATCATGTGCTGATAGCTCCAATCATTCTACAGATGCAGCGTCGTCGGATATCACTAGAGGGGCATCCTTGCGGCGGGATGAGATGATGATGATTCGTGGAGGGGAACCATGTCGGTCACAGCTGCCCCGACAGCGGGCGATTAGATGGACGGTCCCAATGGCAGGGTCCCACTGAGCCCCAACAGGGTCCATCATGCATGATGTATCTAATGAGAGACTCTTTGAGAGATGTGGTCGCCATTGTTCAAACTTGCTTTGAACAAGCCATCCGACGACATAAGACTATTCCTTGATTTTCTGCTTTGAGATGTATTATAAATCCTTGCCGGACTTTGGTTTCCATGTTTTTTTCTCGCAAGGTCAATTGCCACAAGAATCAATAATACACGAGCGAATTCCAACCAGCTTCTGTGTCCACACATATAAGCTCCACCCGCAAATCCGGGCCGTGAATCCATGCTAACTCTTCTAAGAGACCATGAATGACAACAAACAATTCAAATCAACATTATTTGGTATTGGATAGGCACATGTAGCTACTATCTTAGACTTGTAGACCAATAAATTCCTCCCCAATTAACATGGGTTACGGCTTGGACTGTCTTCGTCTCCCCACGGTCCTGACTGGCCTCATGCTTCACTAAGAAAGACCGGTGGCTTCGGGCTCGGGCATGGTAGTCGACGAAGCAACCGGGTCCCCGAAATCAGGGTCAATCTCGTCCTGCGACGGCGTATCATCGCCACAATCCGTACCGTCTGGACCAACGCCGGTGAAGAAATTACTGCTGTAGGCAGAGTCAAGGGTCCCCTGGAAGTTGGCGTCGCTGAAGGGAACTCTGGTGTGCTCATATCGGATGCCATTCAGCTGCTGTTTCGCTGCGGCCGGAAGGCGATCCCAAGCGACCAGAGGAGGGCTCAAGGCTCCTTCTGGACCATTTGCGGAAGGGATAAGAGGAACCCTGGCATCGTATGCCAGGATAGGGCGTGTTGCTGTCGCCGAGTTCTCCCAGCTGACGAATAGGGTATTGGTGATGTGCGTCGTGTCGAAAGCACCTTGTGGATTCTTTGAGTACGCGACGCCACGGGGCGAGAAGTTGGCGATATCGTCTGGACATTTATCGACGGCGAGCCAAACGACGGCTGTGATCCAGTGATGCTTGTGTTGCTCGTTGTTGCCCTGGACCTTGGGTAGGTAGTAGCTATAGATGATGCCCGTCCGACCGTGGGATTTTCCGATTCGCGTGTAAGTCTGACCAGTTTGGCCCAAGTCACGACAGTCACCGCCAGCTTTACCCGTTGGCTTCAAGCCAGCACTAGCACGAGCTTCATCAGTACATGCGAGCTATGTTGCTTGGTCCTTGAGAATTGGATTTCCCAAGCCCCAAAGGCTGTTATCACTTACCCAGCAGCACCATCAGCGTCGACCGCTGCGTATGGAACACAGCCGTGCCATGAGTGAATCAGGGGCTTGAAAGTCATCTGGACCTCGCCATCGAGATCATAGCCAGGAGCTTCCGCAAGAGGGACGACTTTATCATGGTTCGCCCATTTGTCGTTTACCGCAACGTCGCCACCACGCTTCCAATGTGTATGTGGAGTTGTTGCGCTGGCAAGATCTAGCGAAGACACTAGAAAAAGTAGAAAATACGTACGAAGTGACATTTTGAGGCTAAATTATAAGGCAAGCTTAAGAAGACACCGCAGAAGACGAGACGTCTGAAGAACTTTTGGTGGTAGCCAGGAAGATCTAAATGCAAAGCCTCAAAGAGTCTTATAGTCGACTGGTTTATCCATGGGGATCTTGCAAAAAGACTGACAGGTAACAAAGAACGTTCTTCCGAAATCTTGTTACTCTGTTATTTCAGCGAGCCAGAGATGACAATGTTTGGTCGATGAGAACCATCTTTCCAACGGAGAAGACCGTGAAGTATAATTGAGTAGATCTAATCAGAGAACAATGGTGAATATCCTGAACTATCTCAAACTGCGGCGTGACCTACTGCGCCTCGTGATTTGCTGTGCCCACGGTTTCGCTTGAAATCCATTGCGGCTACGAACGTACAGCTGGGATCGCGGCGTACGCCGAAAGCATCCTAAGCTTCCTAGTCGACACCAAGAATCAAGTCAAGGGAGGCTACTTTGGTGATCCCTAGGTTTCATTTACTTATGTTCTTGGTCAATTAATGTTTGCGGCTACCAAGCAACACACCTGGTCTTGGATCATATGTAAGTAATAAAGCGGACGAACACGATACCATTACCCGTTCTTGACAACAGAGAAATAGATGAAATACTACGCCATGACGATGAATCTTCCTAAACATGCAAGGTGAACCCTGATTAGTGACTAAACCGACAAAGTCCGCTTAGCTCCCTCGCATCTATCCCGACCGACTCAGGATGTTTAGTGGCGAACCCTGGGAAAAGGTTAATAGAGGAGCCAAGGTATGACCAAAAGCGTCATGCTGTTCCTGGCGACAATCCCGGAGATTTTCGTCTTCCGTTGGAATAAAGAAGTGAATCTAGAAACACGTCCATGCACTGCGTACCGAAGTCGTATGATCCCACTACAGGGTTTGCCGTGTAAGCATCCAGCAGGATGCCGCTGGGGTCTACCTTGGATACCCCTCAATAGTAGTATGGTTTGATGAATACACTAGGATGTGAGAGATTCTCTTTTGGAAAGAACGTAAGAAGAATAGCCTGATAATAATCTAATCATACAAGTCAGCTACATACACGGGCATAACTCCAAGCCGTACGTGCCTTGACCGTTCGGTGTCGAACATCACCATTCACTTTTGTACTTCAATGCCTAGGCAAAGCTATTCTCTGGAGCCCATGCTATTTTCTGTTTGAGAGTCTGCTCAGCCTGATTGAGAGAACTTGGGAATTCTAAAATCGGAAAGAGGTACCGTCGGTTTCGCGGATAATGTTCTCTCTATGAGTGGATCTATCACTCTAGAACTTCGGAAAGACAGGACTTCGTGCCGCTTAGGTAACGTAAAGAAGCCGAGCTGATCGGCGATAGTTAAGGTGCAATCAATGTTGGAATCCAACGTTGTGAAGGTGCCTGCATTTTCGGCGAATTTCTCGTTGGTTTGATCCTTGTTCTGTTTCTTAAAGTCAGTCGCAAACAGATTGCTTTGTGGCAACCCATAGGCCCGAAGTACCCGGGACTTTTAGGCTGACGCTTTGACTTAAAGAACCGTCCAGGAGGCTCTTGGACGGCGACTCTGTTCTTTTGTTGTGTTCTGCCACGAGTCATTCCGTGCCATGAATCCCTTAGCAGGTGTTGCCAAGAATGCAGTCAATATCCCGCCGGTGGTTCCATCTCGTGGAATCACTCGCTTCAAACAGGAATAGAACACTTGTTAGAACTACCTCGTCACTTTGTGTTGACCATGGCGAGAATTGATTGTCGTGGAGCCTTTCTTGGATACGGTAATTGCCTCCAACTTAGACGGCATCTCGTCCCTGGAATTTATCTAGGTTTTTGACGTCTAGAACCACCAGATGGATGAGTAGCTTGGCTACGGGATGGCCGAGGATGTGGACTTTCGATCCCATGGGCTTTGGTATTGCGCAGAATGAGAGACTATCAGCTCAAAATGCTCACGTATAAATGCTTTACAACTTCAATTCTCTGTTGCATGGTCAATCGATACCATCCCATCTTCAGCGTACTAAGTGTTTTGGAAACATTCCCAATGAGGTTTCTGCAACTTCTCGCTTACTGCGTCGCCGCCTCCGGTCTGGCTCTTCCAAAGCTTGGCACAGAGCTCGCAGTACGCGCTCCAGGCGACTTGGCTACTACGGAAGGCAATGTATTCGACGCCGACGGTATCTTGTCCCGCGACTCTAGTGCGGCATGGATAGAGGCCGAGAAGGTCGTTGGCACCCTGAGGCACAACACATACTACTATTTCATGTCTTGCAACAAGGCGTATCCTGGCCAAAAGGGCATGACTCCTTCTCAGCAATACACCATTGATCAGACAGGCTGTCTACATACTGGTCTGATCATTGGAAAGACTGCTGTCTTCCAGAAGAAGTTCAAGGCCAGCTATCTTCACGTCAGGCGTCTGGCAGACAATCCCAACACATGGACTCAGACCAGACACGATTGGGACGAAGTCAAGAGAATGCAGCGGTAAGATTTCCTCCAAGATGTATTTGGCTAGGGGAATGTATGGATATGTACTAAACCTGCTCTCTTCATAGTATTGATTACGGTGGAACTACGACATCGTCCAAGGGCAATCTCGATAGGGTTGTAAGAAAGGGTATGGCTGTTCCTATGATGAACTTGACGAGACACAAATGCTAATATGTATCGGCTGTAGGTGAGGAGTGGATTGCATTATCTGGCGGCCAGTACTCTGCCGACTGGAACTGCTTGGCCTACTACCGTTTCATGGCCTCGAAGCTCTGAACGCAGGCTTCAGTTGTCAGTTGAGGACATTAGTCCAGCTCCAAACAGAAGAGTGTCTGTCAGAGTGAACTGCTAGCTGTCGCGTGGATCCCGATTCATCTGCAATTCGTTAGTCGTCAGGTAGAATGAGGTATAATAACTATTCTGAAGCATTTGAGATTGATCTATTCGAATCTCAAGTACTGTGTCTTCCCGATCTCAGGCGTCACTGCTTTCATTCAAGGACATGAATCTTCTGCGTCGTTCAGAATTGAAGCAACATGGGCTCCCTACCCAACGTGACTGGCGGACAAATTCACGTAATTGCAATAGCTTTTAGCAGCAATGAGTTCGTCTCGGATGCTGGCAATCATGTATCGTGCCCGAATGACAGTCAAAGGATGTATTTTCCCACTCGTGTTTCAGCCCTGGTCGTCAAGGGATTGGATTGCATGGGTCAAAGAAGTCTTGTCTGATGCGAGATCTTCGTCGCTAATGTCGAGGGGCATTGGAGTAGAGCAGAAGCTGTTTGTCAAGAGAGGCGGCCGGCCAGTGAAAGAGACAGCAAACTTGTCACTAGTAAAAACCTGGGCCACGACTCGTCGCCGATTCTCTGAGCAAAGTGATGCGGTATTGAGAATCAAGCTCAGGCTAGCGGGAAAGGGTATCTAAGGCGAACCCGTTCCCCATAAATTTGAGCTTTCGACTCTTGGTGACAACGTACATATAACTATTTGCACAACTTCAACCGCTTCATTGATGGAGATATGAGCAAGGAAATGCGTGCTGCTGGACACTATCGAGCCAATGAGCCTGTGGCCGGTGGAGTATGCAAAACCAATAAATTTCAATTCTTTACGCCTGGTATCATTGCCCGAGTTGCAGTCATCCTCCTCATCAGTAACAAAAAGAACAATGACCAAGCCTGTCTTTGCTACAATCGACTTGTGGACATGACCAAGTCGTGAATGCCGTTTCTAAACCAATCAACGCTAATCAGAAAACCTTCCACCAATGGTTTATGCGTATCTCTGGTCCATCTCGTAACGGGCTGCGTTCGGGTCGTAGGTCTTGTTGGGCTCGTTGGAGGCGTAACCTCCAGTGTAACCAGTGCTTGGGTTGGCTGGAGCGTAGTTTCCGCGGGGTAGTGTGCCCTTGCGGAACTTGTGGTAAATGACGCTAGCGTAGATGAGGAGGCCGACGAAGGAAGCGCTAGAGGAAGTGAAGGGTCAGTTTGGCGCTCAATGGGGGTAAATGCCAGTTGGTTGGAAGTCGCTTACAGAACAACGATCGCGATAATGAAGGTAAATGCGCCGCCAGCACCGATGATGGTGAGGATGAACAGAATGACCCAGACCAGAGTCTGGATGACGTTGGAGACGAGGAAGAATTTCGGGCTGAGGGTGCGTCGAGAGCGCTTGACGATGCAGACGATGTCGAGAATCAAGCAGATAAGAATGATTACCATAATGACACAGAGGACGCCAATGACCCAGCTTGCTGTTCTGTTGTCGTCGCCGTAGTCGTTCAGGGCCTCCTTGTTGGAAGCGGCAACGGCGATGGTTCCAGCGTAGAGTACGATCTCAAGAACCATGATCGCGATTCGAATGACCCAGAAGGGAATCAAGACACGCTTGAGGAACGGCGAGCTATCGCCGATGATGTATGCTTGAGTCATTTTGTCGGTGGTCGTAGTTGTTGTGGTGTAAGTGTCTGGTCGATTGCGGGAGGGATCTTTTGGACTATCGTCAAGGATTACCGACGCAAGTCTTCAATTCCTAACCGTGAAGTGTGCGATGACAACAAGGACGCATTGCCAAATGTCGTGAGAGACTCTTGCGCCTTAAGTAAAATTTGACCATGACCACACGCACTCGAAGGATCAAACCCCTTGAATCAGCAGCGCCGCACTCCCGACTCGCTTACAGTTGGAATGTCTTAGTTGCGTTGGACCGGCGCGCCACAGCCCCTATTGACTTGGGTCACCTTGGCCTTTGGCGACACAGCCCTAATTAGACTCTACAGGCCTTCAAAGTAACCTTAAGATAGTCCAACACGCCCAGCAGCGCCCCCAAACACACTCTAAGTGGCTGAAATTGCCCTGTGTTGCCTGTTTCATGGGGCCGAAAGCAAGGAGAATCCTGACTACCAGGGATCTCGGCTGACAGCAAGCGCCTGTTGGTGCATCCCTAAGTGGCATAGCCCCGGATCAGCTCGTAGATCCCTGGCCCTCTTTGCGTCTTTTACAGTTTTTACCACCTATTCTCGACGACCAGCACACACACACCAAAGTTCCCGATCTCGGGCGGGCCTAGCGAATGTCGCTGCCTGTGGTGGAGATCTTTTGGCCTGTTGGGCTGACAGGGTCTAAGACTGTATGTAGGTAGGACTGTGCCCCTCGTACCATTCCGAGACCGTCATTCGCAGATCTCTGGATGAAGTCATTTCCATGCCGCACCGCTAACCGCCGAGACTTGAGAGAAGCCATTACGAGATTTGTTTTGGAGCTGCGGCACTGCACAAACGGGGCCGATTTTAGCTCGGGCTAATTGCACGATTTCTAGCTTCCTCGACCCTGCGCCCGAAATTGCTAACGGCAGCGCCGCATTGGGTCTCCTCCTCAGGCAGTCACGATGTCTTGGTGAGATGCGATGCGTCGCACACGATCTTATGGTAACATAAGCAGTGGTACTGTTCAGTTTTCAATCATGACAGTGGCGTCAGCTACATTGGCAAAGTGCGGATTGGTAAGAACTGTCCTCAGGATGAGAGCAACGCTACAACAACCGGGGATTGCTGTGCGCCTCTCGAAAATTGAGATTTCAGTCTGCATTCCAGTATGAAGCAAAGCAATCATCAAACCAATAGCCTAGCAGTCGCTCCACCAGAAAAGAGAATGAGAGAGTACTCCATGCCGGTATCCCCTAATTTACTTCGCCGTACATAGCTACACAAGGCGAGCAGGGGTTGATTTCTCGGGCACGAATGAGGAAGCCAGCTAGTGAGCCAGTGGTGCCAGTAGCCTAGCTAAAAGCAATGCGAACGGATGGCTTGACTAAAGCCACCCAAATGCCAACAGAACCTTAATTTTTATTTCCCTACAAATCTCCTCTTGAAGATCGCTCAGCCCTGTTTACCTGACCCACGTTCGATACCTTGGTCTGTTGCATCCCGATCAGTGGAACAGACACACTTGGTCCAATGGGAGGTGAATCACCTTACTCAACATGTACCGAGCTCGAATCCATCGGGAAATGGAGTCTGCATGCATATTTACATAACGTTCCGGTTGAGAATTGCCCAAGTGTAATCGATCGGCTTGAGCCAGGGTAACAGGAACTTGGCATTATCTTACCTCAGCCACAAACTCGAGGCTAACACCGATCCTCCCCGACGGACTGTGGCTGGGCATCTGGAGTTGACAGAGTATGAAAATCTGAGAGCTACCGTGAATGAAGGCATCTCACCTGCTCGATACCGACTAGGTAATTGGCCCACTGCATTGTGATAGGGCTTTGAAACGCTAGATTCACCGACTCGGGAGGTGATCGCATGTTTCTTCTGTGTGAAAATTTCTACGAGTTTATTGTTTGCAACATCCGTCTAAATCATGAAGGTTGAGACTTAGAACTTATCACCGCTTCAAGTGAACAGAGAGATCACATCATCGATGGCTCCGCAAAAAACGGACATCTAAGAAATAGGACGCAGAAATGTCGAGTTCACAGCCATTTGATGGCTCCAGATTGATGTGATATGAGGAGTTGGAGACTTCATTTGTTCAGATTTGATCAAATTGAATGCTTTCTTACCATCAATTGTCGAAGTCGGTGACACGATAGATGTGTGTTCAGAATTTACCCGTACATGCTGCATACGTCGTAAAAAGGTGCAGTAAGACCCGCCATCGCACAACCAACACACGAATCAAAACAACTCAACTGTCGGCCGAGTCCTGGGCCAACTAATCGATTATTGACTCTTATGTCATCCTACCATATAGGAAACACATCCGCTCTCATCTCCATTTGCTTTGTGCACAAGTGTCCACGTTTCCTGTCGGTCAGACTTGGCTACGTCCTGCATCTCATCTTTGTCAGCGCTACAGCCCGATACCGAGAACGTCATTGGTGCATATATTTTCGTCGAACGCCAAATGTGATAGACATAGGAGATCCATCAACGGCTCCTCGTCAATGTAAGCGCTACAGATTGCGGCTTTTGCTCCGTGCAACACAGTAGCAGTCTAAACTAACAGCAGTGGAAGCATTTAAGATGCCTTAGTATCAGTCGTTCAATCTCGCCTTAGAACTGTGGCCTTCAAAGCTCTATGTCTCTTGGTACTCACACTGCACAATGTCTTCGCCAAAGTTTCAGATCCCGCCAGAGTTCGAATCAAAACTCCGTCATGTTGAACCTCTCGACTCGCGCTCCGATCAGGAGATTCTCAAGTCTTTGAAAAGTCCTATCCAAGTCACTTCAGAAAAGAACATCTGGGCCTTTTGGGATTCTGGTCTCGACAACATTCCAAGCTGGGGCCAACGCAACATCATCAACTGGGCTCGACTCTGCGGTCCAGAATGGGCGATTCGCGTTTTGGACGACGTCCCAGACTCTCCCAACAACGCCTTGAACTGGGTCAAGGAAGACCAACTACCCGAGGCCTATGTTGCACACAAGATGGATGGGCCCCGTGTGTGGACTGGTCCCCACAGCGCAGACTTCCTCCGCGGTATTTGTCTGTACCAATATGGCGGTGCTTGGGTGGATGTGGGCACCATCCTCGTTCGGTCCATAGACGATCTCTGCTGGAAGCAACTCGAGGATCCAAACAGCCCTTACCAGGTTTCCGCCCCTTGGATGTACTCGAATGTCGTAGCCAACCATTTTATTGCAAGTCGCAAAGGTGACATGTTCATCAAACACTGGTAAGTCCGAATCAGTTCCAGAGCTCAACAATACGGCACGATTGCGACTTTGATTACGGGGGGGGGGGGCTAATTGACTATCAAGGCACGATTTTTTCATGGAGATTTGGAAGGGCCGCAACAGCTCCGATGGCATTTACGCAAATCCTCTCGTCTCCTTCGCACAAAACATGAACGCCGATGCAGTCGAAGCTCGGAACTTCAAGTGGAACTGGAGCGCTCCTCTCCCAAAGGTCCTGGAGTACATTGCTCAAATCGTTGTGCTGGATCAGAGTTGCTGCGGTTAAAGAGCCTAATGACGGCTTCGATGGCGTCGATTACTTCGACAAGAAAATCCTTCTCCACGACTCGCTGTACGAAGACTGGCCGGCAGAAGCCATCATCGGTTGGAATGGCGAGGACCTATTCAACCTCTTCTCAGTCCGATTGGACGCCGATCCAGAGTCTGAAGAATACAAGAAGGCTTATAACGTCGTATGGACGATTTTGACTACATCGACTATGCAGAAGGTCACCCACGCTGCAGGCATGACCGCGACCAATGCATTGGGGACTTTGTGGGATATGAAAGAGAACGAGAACAGGGACCATGAACCTGGAACTTTTGCGGAGTTGCTGCGGTATGGAAGCGTTCATTTTGAACAAGATCGAGTAGATTGAGTATATCACGCCGCCGAAGGCTGATTTTGTGTTGGAGAAGGGTGTACTCGAGCCATGAGGGAGATTTTAGTTTTATTAGTCTATTGCAGTAGAAGAACGCTCGGTTTCCTACAAAGCAATATTAGTTGGGACTGACTCCAAGATTCAATCAAAGTAGCAGGAGTCATTCTAGGCCCCTTCATCAACCGTGTGATAATTATGGAAATGTGACAAAAGATTAATCACCTAATGAAAATGCATGTCGGCGTAGTATGTGTCCCAAGAAAACCAATCGAATATCGCATCAAACGGTCTTTTCCGACCTCGCAAATCGGCGGTGGATGAAGCTTCAGGTTTGCGGCTTGCAGATCCGAGATTCTGTCGCGATTCAAGCCCCAGAGATGGACCAGATGTGAAAATGTCAGCCGGCAGCCAGTTAAGGAAGTTTCCGATGTCTAGCCCATCGTCCAAAGTGAAGTCATCAAGAGTGCCTTGTGAGGGGCTGGGGAGAGCATCCCCTGTGGAAACCTCCTCGACATGCTTTTCAGCTCGACTATTTAGTGGGGGCCATGAGGAATCGAGGGTCTTGTTGATGGCTGAATGACGATGTCGCATGTGTCTCCGAGCTAGTTCGAGGAACACGATCGCGACATTCTCCAGACGTGTGCATAGAATGGCGAGAAGTTGCATCTGATCTCTCATGCTCGAAAAGTAGGAAACAGTTGTAGCAAGGAGACCAAGATCATGGTCGATTGTCGCTGAGGTTTGGAACGTGGAGCTGTGGACTAGGTTCTCGAACACGGCAAAGAATGGTATGAAAGGATAGTACAATAGATGCCTGTTACATAAATGTTTATTAGAAGGGATCATGAATATAGGTTGGAGATCTACTGGAAAAGTCTTACCAAACAACTCCGTTATATACGGAAGACCAATTAGAGACAATTGAAGGGAGTAAGAATAGAGCCTCTCTCGCGCACTCTAAGCGTTGATTGGAGGAAGACTTGTCCCCTTTGAGAAGAACAATCACGACGTGGAGGTACTGGAATCTCAGACTATTGAGGCCTAAGGACATTTCCTGCAACTGAGTCGGCTCAAGGAGGTGCCTATCTGCGTCGATTATTTCATCCAAAATCTGTCATGTGCACAGCGTAAGCAGAAGGAAATGATTCGACGCGAATGTAAGATCATCCTTTCATTGACATACCTTTTTCGTTTGAGTGGACCATTCTTCGAGCTGCAGCTTGATAGTCTCTCTCGAGGTTGGTGAAGAACCTGGGGCCAGCGTATCGACGACTAAGCCCATGATCCTGGCTAACTCGATACCCCTGGTGAAGAAGTGTGCTCCAAACTCAGACGAACGAGCAGCCGGTGATGCACTGCTGAACTCCGAATCAAGATGAGGTCGGAACTTGAGCAGATAGCTGAAATCAGGCAACGGAACCTCTCGGTAGAGGTTCATCGGAAGGAATGGAGATCGACCAAAGGCGAGAGCACACGATTTATCCAATACAAAAAGAAGCCAAAACATCGAGAGACTACGCTGATAGGACTCAACATCGTTATGCATTGGCAGATGTAAGCCGAGAGCCTCCGCTTGGCGACAAGCATGACCAACTAGCATCCACGACAAGTTCGGAGAGGCGTAATCTTCGCCATGAACAGCTAGCAGAGCCAATGCTTGGACGTTTACTTGCCGTGGTTCCAAGAATATGCGGCTATCATTCAGGGCAATCCGCAAATTCTGCCGAAATCTCGCAGTTTCTTCGCCATGGTCTTGCTTCTCTGGAGAGACTTGAGCTAACATGATGTAGTTGAAAAAGACCAGCCAAGCCTTCTGAGAGACTTTATCTGGGTTGAAGACTATCTGCTTCAGAAGCTCCTCTGAAGGAGTGACGAAGAATGGCTCGCCCTTTGGCGCGTGTTCTAGAAACGCTTGAAAAGCCGATGTCTATCAGCACATGGCCAGGTCGTGTGGTCAAGGACCGATCCACTTACTTCCAATAAGCTTGTAGCCTATGGCTCTGGAAGGTACGTAGAACCCTGACATATGCGCGTTGTGCCCGGGCTCAACTGTCGCGGTAGTCAGGGACGTTGATAGAAACTGGAGCTCAGACTGAGCGTCCGTCTCTTGCTGAGACGAAGGACCAGGTATTCCAGGCGTGGACCGGATGTTTTCAGTTGCCTCTTTGACGAAAGAGAAAGAGTGAGACTCGCCAATGAACAGCTTCGGAACCCGAGGATCGGTTTGACTGTTCGCCTGGTTGGCCCGCGAGACGGTATGAGCAACGCTTTCCGATTCCTTCTCGGATGCAGCTCGCAGGACAGCATTTTCCACCAACGAACTTAAGCGGTCAAGTTTGTGTTCAATGCGGCAAAGTCGAGATTCTACCGTGGGATCAATTCGTGTGCCTGCCAGCTGTGGCGTTGGCTCGCTACCCTGAGTTTGTGATTGTCCGTGGGTTGGCACCGAACTGGGCTGGCTCTGAGTTGGGGCGGACTTAAGACGATCGCGAGAATAATTACAAGGCCCGGGCCATGGAAGGCATGCACTGCACTTTGGCAGTTCCCTGGAGCACCTTTGAGTTGTTAGTCTATACCCAAGATTTCCATTTCTTCGGAACATGTCGTTGGCAACAAGTCGGGCTAGTAATGAAAGTACCTGAACTTCTTTTGTCGGCAATAATCACACTAGAAGATGTCGAGCATGTCAGTGACGGGCTACCGATGACGATTGATCGATCTTTCGAAGGCTCACAGCAAAACGAGCCACCTGAGTGCCCTGCACAGGATCGCTACCTGAGCTCATCGTAATTGGTCTTGATGGGAGACCTGCTATAAATCCCGCAACAATTAGAATTCGTGCAGACAAGAGTTGACAGCGCAGAACAAGTCGGCTGATCAATTATAATAGCCTTCCGATAAATTGTGATTGTGCTGACAGTACGATAGAAGTGGTGAGGGATGAATGCCAACAGTGAACTCATTCCTCCGAATATGATGCTGACATTCCGACTATAGCCAATCAACGAGCAAGGTCTAGGACAATGTTCTCCTTACCCAATCTTTCATGGCAAATGCACCTCCGAGGTCAACCAATCACATCGGGAGCATCTAACACTGTTTGCGTTTAGCGCATCCAACCCGGAGAAAACACGATGTCCGTGAGTAAAGCGAAGGTCCGACTAAGTGAACCAGTAGATCAACTCAGCTTGGATGCTGGATGGGAATATGGCTTGTGTTTCTTAACACAACAGAACAGTATAAGAATGGAACAGTATAAGATGAAGGGGAACACCTGGCCTCTTCGTCCCTTGAGCTCATGTTTTACCGGAAACAAAGCAGACACACTGCTCCTTCTAGCACAACTCAGACTCAGATCCTTCGCATTCCTATGCAAACCTATTAACTACGCTATATCGAAGTCGTTCACCAATAAACACTAGCTGGAATCCAAGTATTAAAGCGACATATCACCAAATACGAGGAGGAAGTCAGATATCGAAGATATGGCCTACAGTTCAGCCTCCATCGCAATTATTGGTGCTGGTCCCTGCGGTCTGACGTTCGCCCGCCTACTGGAGAAGAACAACATCGACTTTGTGGTCTTCGAGAAAGACGTCGACTCAACTCCCACACCGATGTACCAGGGTGGAACCCTTGATCTTCATGGCGCCTCCGGGCAGCAGGCGCTAAGAAGTGCAGGACTCTTCCAGGAGTTCAGCAGGCTCGCGCGGTGGGATGCTACTAAGTTTGTCGTAATGGATCCCACGTGCACCTTGAAAGCCGAGTTCGGTCAGGATCGCGACGCTCCTGAGATTGACCGTTTCCAATTGCGTCAACTTCTGTTGGATTCAATTCCATCTCATAAGGTGCGATGGGGTCACGGCGTCCGGACAATTGACAAGGGCTCAGGTTCGGATTGGATCATCAAGTTCACGAACGGCACCTCTGCATCTGGGTTCCAGCTCATTGTTGGCGCTGACGGTGCGTGGAGCAAAGTTAGGCCTTTGGTGAGTAATCCTTGCGTATGCCATATTGCTCTCATGCCAGCTCTTTAACATCACATAGCTCACTACAGCACGGCCTGAATACTCTGGGAAGATGTTCATCGAGGGTCGGCTTTCGCACAACAACCCAACTTACTCCGCCGCACTGGAACTGTCAGGAACCGGCAATATGATAGCTTTGGGAAATGGACGAACAGTCTCGGTGCAACAGGTGTCCGATCGGTCGTATCGAGTCTATGTGGGCTTGGTGGCCCCGGAGAACCTGACAAAGACCACACTCGAGATGGCTGATACAGAGGCCACACGACAGAAGCTTCTTTCGTCGCTACAGTTCTTCGCGGACTTTGCTCCCGAATTACAAAGCTTCATTTCCAACGCCGAAGGTCCTTTTCGGCCCTGGCATCTTTACCGCATGCCCGTATCCTCCGTCAACTGGGATCGTGTTCCAGGCATCACCCTTCTTGGCGACGCCGCGCATGTGTCGACACCATTCGTAGGCGAAGGGGTCAATATGGCCATGTTTGACGCCCTCAAGCTCACCGAAAGCATCCTCAAGCACGGGGCTGCTATTCTCACTGAGAGAGCGCAGCGCGCATCGAAACTTGAGGAAGCCGTCAAAGAGTACGAAACGGAAATGTTTGGCCGCGCTCAAGACTTCATCAAGCGCTGCATCATGAGTGAGGAGATATTCTTTGCCGAGGACGGAGCTCAGCAGTTCATCAACATAATTAGCCAGACTGTCGAATGTCAGCATCAAGGACTCTTTAGAGAAGAGAAGTGAGCCCGTGCTAGATATGTGCTGTGCTGGGCAACTGATCAACGTCTGTCTATATTTTGGGGCTTGAGTCAACGTGTTAGAGGTGACCCAGATAGAACCAATAACTTTTCCGCCCTTCTACTTACGCTACTAGGGATCTCAAGTCTCTTTACATCTTACCCCTCGCAGTAGACTCTGACAGAGCCGGGCACCGGTCTTCGTAGGAATCTTCCCAGAATATATGTATTCTGCGCTAGTCGTGAATGTTCAGAAATTGACTGAAGTCAAATTGAACAAACACAGACAGCTTTCAAAGCTCCTAACAATAAGCGGGGACGCAGTATCTGAAACTAGACTGCGTGGAATAGGTGTGGCGTTCGCAAGGAGGCGTGGAGTGTTCGGCCGAAATCTGTCCGGGACTATTTCTAGCTAAGATCGAGCGCAGCAGCCAGCATGGTGGGCGGCGACCTTCAATAGTCGATCAAAAAGATGAACATGGATTACGGATTGATGGAATGCCCGTCGGATAGATAGTTGCCCGATATTTGTCTTGAGCTGGTTTATATAAGGACGAAGTCCTCAAAATCTGAGTTCGCCCAACAAATGATTCAAGCTCCGTGCTTAGCTTGATTTAACTTTTTTCAACTTTCAAAGAACTACAGATTATCATGACTACCATCATCGTCGCAGGAGGTACTCGTGGGATAGGCCGAGCTATTGCTGAGGCCATCAATCGCAAGGGTGGCTACCGCGTCAAGATACTCAGCAGATCTGTGGGCTTGTTTTACTCTCGTCTGAGCTCAGGGTATGGGTTAGATGCTAATTTGACTTAGGTGAATCCAACCCTTCAAGACGAGATGGGAATCGAGATCATTCCAGTTGACTACAGCAGCGTCTCAGCGTTGACAAAGGTCTTCGACGACAACGAAGTCGACACAGTAATCTCGACCCTGTTCGTGACTTCAGATGGCTCTCCTCAGGTGAACATGATACGTGCCGCCGAAGCCTGCGTCCATACGAGGAGGTTCATTCCAAGCGTCTGGGGAATCCCCTACTCGAGAGAGTAAGTCATCACTATTTCGTGTTTGCTACCACTCCTCCAAAAGAAATCCCGATCTTGAGAAGAGAATGTCTGACAAAGGCCTTCTAGTCAAGTAACCGAGAGGCAAATGACTATCGGTCAATCAAAGCTCGATGCAGTGGAAGCGCTCGAAAACTCATCTCTTGAGTACACCTTGTATTACGTCGGCTACTTTCTAGACTTTTGGGGATACCCACGAGTGAAAACATACCAGATCCAAAACGTCATTGTCGTCGACATTGAGCACAACAGAGCCGCCATACCTGGCAAAGGTGATACCCCTGTTACCTTCACGCATACCTTAGACGTTGCGGAATTTGTGGTAGCAAGCTTGGAGCTCCCCAAGTGGGAAAAGGAGAGTTATGTTATCGGCGAAAATTTGACGTGGAACGAGTTTCTCAGAATTGCGGAAGAGGTCAAAGGTAAACAAGACAATAACCAAAGATGCTTTAACGTGATTATCTGACATTTGCTTACACATTCTGTTGCTTTAGGCGTCAACTTTGAGGTTACCCATGACGATATCGACTTTCTGAAAACTGGCAAGATCACCGAATTGCCTTCTCACCCGTCTCTGTACAGTGTCATGCCAAAAATTCAACTTCAGGCTCTTTTCGCCACCTTTGGCATTTGGTTTGAAGAAGGACTGTATCATCTCAAGCCCAAGACAACTCTCAATCATTTGTTTCCAGGTATCAAGGCGCGAACCGTAAAAGAAGTCATCCACGCTGGGTGGGGTCAGAAGAACTGAGAACGTAGAAGCTGGTTGGGGTTGCCTTTTCTCGCTTCATGTTTCTACTCAGTGATCCAATGAACGTGAAGCCTGTCAGAAGTTCAGAATTAGACACTTGATATTGTGCGGAGAACCTGACTACTATATCAAAGTTTGAGGATCTGCTCGCCTGGATCCTTCACCCTAAGGCCTTCTTAAGTTTAATTGGATGTCAATCAAGTTTGACTTGCGAACTTTTCCCAAGCTTGTGTATCTCAAGAACCAACTGCCACCGAAGGGCCAGTCTGGAGAACATAGAGATTAGTGATACAGCCGAGACGCGGATGAATTTTACATCATCTGGGTGATTAGTGATCATCAGGGTCTGAGTGAGTGGAGCCAATGCAAGAAGATTTCTGAATGAAAGGAAGTAGTGCGTAATAGCGTTGACGGCTGAGAGAAAAGTCGAGGCGGAATAAGCTCTTGTAAGTTATCTGCGAGAAGTAGGAAAGTCGAGTCCTAGGAGCAGTTTTGGACTTAACTTAATCGACAGGAAAGACAACTTTATCATCTCAAAACATGACTGTTAAATACACGATGTACATTGTTATCAAGCCGCGTCATTGGTTCTCCGTGATTACATGAGCTACCAACTATACAAATTCACCTAGTCTGATGTTACCGCTTAGACCTTCTTCGTACCCTCAGCAAAACCAATTTCGACATGCTTAACGCCATCCTTTCCAATTGTTGTCGTCGTATCCATGGTAGGCCTGTCGAAAAGGAGAGCAATCTCTTCCAGGGAAGGGCCCTTGGTCTCTGGATAAACAAACCACAAGACGACAATCTCGATAAGAACCCAAGGGATAAAGATGGTGTAGAACTTCCAAGCCAATTTGTCAAGACCAATGGGGACAACGTAGGTCGAAATGAGGGAGAAGCATGTGGAGAACAGCTGGAAACAAGCTGTACCACGCATACGGAGGCTGTATGGAAGAATCTCGGTGATGTATAGTACCAAGTTACCGTTGAGACCCAGGTTGTAAGCAGGAGAAAAGAGGTAGAGGAACGCGACGACTGCTCCACCAGCGGCCTTGTTCGACTCGTTGTTTGCAAAGATGGCACTGCCAGCTGTAATGCAAACCAGGCAGACAAAGATGGCGGAGAGGGAGCTGATGAACAGTGTTTTGCGACCAAGCTTGCCAGGTAGTGTCGCAAAGTACAGCGCAGAAAGCCAAGAGAGAATCTGTTGGGTGGCGTTGATGAGAGTCTGTTCCATGGAAGACTTTAATCCCACGGATGATAGAATGCTGCTCAAGTAGTACGATACGAAGGCGTTACCACTCATCTGGGCTATGCACGAAGTCCAGAGAATGATAAACAGTCGCTTGCGGTTTCCAGGCGTCCTGATGAGCTCGAGGTAATTCTGGATCCAGCTGCCTCGGTCGATTGTACGCTCGTATGCGAGAGTGCTCTGGATTTCTTCATATTCGAACTGGACAAGAGCGTCATGTTCGTCACCTTCGGCATGGTACTTGGCTAAGAAAGCCAACGTTTCCTCGTTGCGATCTTTGGAAGCGAGCCAACGCGGGCTCTCCGGAACGAAATACAGACCCAGAAGCTGGATGACAGATGGAAGGCCCTGAATGGCCGATGGGATGCGCCACGACCATGTCGAATCGATGCGGAAGCTCGCAAAGGTTGTCCACGCCGCCACGATGGCACCGAGAGAATATGAGGTGTTGAACAACGCGGTTGCGGTTGCCCTGTGTGCCGGATGCGCAATCTCTGTGATCAATGGGGCGCCTGAAGCTCCAAGAAATACGGTGCCGCATCCGAGGATACCACGAGCGACGACGAACATGGCGAGGTTCTGGGCTGAGGCTTGGACCGTAGAGCCGATGATGCACAGGATCGCACCGCATGCCAGACCAATCTTACGACCAAATTTATCGCTGACGAAAGAGAGAAACGGGATAGCGCAGAGACCTCCGATGGGATAGGCAGCGTTGAAGAGGCCAAGGGTTGAACCTTTGGGCTCTCCAAAGTAGTTTCGCCAGTTCTCGACCGACTGTAGGCCGTTCATCATGGAGCCATCAAAACTAAATTTCTTGTGTAAGCATACAATACCATCGAGGGAGCGACGCAGTGCACCCTTACCCTTGGGTGAAGATGGACAGCATTGGAAATGCAAGAAGTAAATTCAGAGTGCGAAGGTTCTTGGACCTCCACCATTTCTTTGGGTCTACCGCGCCCTCTGGCATAGCGGTGACGAACGGAGCTTCGACATTGCTGCCGGGTCCCATGTTGACTCTGCTGGATTATAAACGAGTTTGTGAGTGTTGTAGGTCTTAGAGCGTTTGCCCGAGTTGGCTAAAGTTGCAAAAGGCTCGAAAAGATGTGGTGAATGGAGGCCAATACAAGTGAAGTCAGCGCTTGAACAGAGTCTTATAGAAAAGTTAACCGGCAGTCATGGAAGCAAGCTACAAATCGTCGCGTGATGCTAAAGAATGAGCAGAATACCGATGAGGTGTTTCCCTCGGACACGCTCAGCTTAGCGCCCCTTCAAAGATTCTTGGGATCCGGGGTATGGGGTGATTCGCGGGGGGACTGGGGGGCGTTAGGGATCCAGGCCGTCGAATATCGTGACCCGGTAGGTGACCGAGATATTTGCTTAGTCTCAAAACTATTTCTTCTCCAGCTCAAAGCTGGATTCTTCGGCTGGAAACCAGTTGAAAGAACAGATTCGGCCGCGGAAAGCCGGAGTTGAGACTGTCAAAAATACGCGGAGCGTGAAACAGGTGGAGCTCACGCGGAAAGCCGGGACAATGCATTCATCTCATATTCTCCCACTAACTTGGCTCGACCCCACGCTAGCCTTCGGTTCATCTCGAATCTGACTCCAGCTTGACGATTTTGTGAATCATTCAGGATGACCTTGCCCCTAGATTTGGGTGAATCAACAAGTGGCAGACATGTGCCGTCGCGGAATCTTGGTCACAATCTCATGGGGCTCGCGGGCTATGAGCGAACGGCAAGATGCTTGTATGCTTAGTATAACTTGGTACGCTAGGTACTCTACTTTAGTTGCAAGTTGAACTTAAGATCCCGACCAAAATGCTCCTCAACACCACTCGGAAGCTTTACGCTTACTCGAATCGAATCTTCGACTGGGATGTCTTGCAGAACAACCGACAAACTCAGCTCATCAGTACCAACCTCTCGGGACCATCTGACACGAGCAATACCAGGCGCTAGTTCTCCACCAAGCGCCACCTTGGCGTCAAACTCGCTGAAGAGGTTGAACCGAGGAGCGCAAGAGATGGCTCGCCATCCAGGCTCGAGTGGTTTGATTCCGGCGACCTCGGTCGTGAACTCGTAGAGGGGCACCGCGCTCCACGCGTGGCAGTCGGATCTGAGTGTCACCTCGTCCTCGCACCAAGTTGTGAGGTTCTGGCTCAGCTGATGCCGCCAGGGATCCCAGAAAGAGTGGAAAGCCTTGTCGTAGAGGTCTCCGCCAACTTCGGACAAGGCTCGGAGAGCATAGAATGACATCGCCGTGGAAACTTTGGTGAACGTGATGGGTTGCCCCGATGTGGTGGAGAGGTTCGACGCCCTCGAACCATGATTGAAGCATTGCGTGAGGAGTTGTCTCGCCTCCTCACCACTAGTCGCGCCACAAAGGACAGCCCAGATCTGATTATGTTGGCTGAAGTCCAGCGAATGGTCGGCTCTGGCCGCTAATCCATCCGTAAAGATTGTCCCCACGCGGCAGTGCTTTTGCGTGGCTGAGATGATATCTTCTGCCCGTGAACTGTACTCCTGCGCAAGGGCCGGTCGACCGAGGTCCCTGACAGTCTCGGCGATAGTCTTGAGCGTGTAGGCGTACAGAAAGTTGGTGAATGTCTGAGTACCCGTTCTTTGGGCAGCTGGCGGTATGCCCATAGGTCTCCATTGAGTTGTCCAGTCGACAAAGTCCCAATGCGTCTTGACTGACTGGCAGTCACTTGATATAAGTCCAGTTTCAGCGTTCAAGCGCTGCGTAAAGGACGAAAGTATACCGTCGCATACTGCCAGGAATTTCTGAGTGAAGTCGCCGTCGCCGTAATGGGTGAAGTGATCAGCTACCGTGCAGATCCAGAAGAGCGAAAAGTGAGGGATCACTTGAAAGACATGAGCAGGACTGCGACTTGCGATGAGTCCAATACTCGGACGATACGAGTTATGAAGTTGAACGATAGCCTGTCGAGCCATCCGATCGTCGCCTGACACGAAGTATGTGAACAGACAGGAACTGCGAACATCCATGGCGTATTGAAGCTGCTCATAGAAGGGGCAGTCCTCGTAGCAGTCGTGCATACAGTTGGTCAACGTGCGTGCGCTGTTCTCCCAGAGTCGCTGATAAGTCTTCTGGTGGTCATCGGTCGACAGAAGGGTCAGTCCGCTCTTGATTTCCAAAGGATAGTGCACCTGGTCGATAACAATTCCTACAAATTCGAGACCGCTCTCTGGGTCTACCTGGATGTCGATAGACATGAAGCGTAAAGTTCGGAAATGAAAAGGCGAGAAGGTCTCAAACTCCGCCGCATCTAGACCGTAGGCGATCTCGGAGCTGGCGTGAGCCCCTGAAGAGCCGGCAAAGATGTATTTGTCTTCGGGCCCGAACAGGGACTTGGTCGTGTCTCTTCTATCGCCTTTGCGGCGAATGTAGGGCACGTATTCTGGTTCCTCTTCATATGCCTCAGAATAACGAACTCGTAAAGTTGATCCCGAGGTTTTGGATCGCCTGAAACGAAACGTGAGCATCGCCGTCAAGTGAATTTCTGCCTCAACCTCGATGTGGTGATGTGTGCCCGCGGGCAGTCGGAGCGTGCTCGCACCATCTTTGAAAAAGCTTTCCCACGAAGCCTGGCTGATAGAACTTTTGACATTGTGAACAGCTGCAATTGATTGAGAGGTTGTCGTTGCCTGCGGTATCATTCGCGGTGAGAGCACCCATGGTGGAGTGATACCATGTGATGTTGGCAGTTCCAATTGTTTCGCTGATACCCAAGCGAGTTCCAACGCTTTCCTTGCGTCCACGTCTTCGTAAACGTGGAGAAAATCGTCTTCTTTCTGGTCGATGCGAAGCACCGTGGCACGGTCTATAGCGGCTTCCCACGAGCTGTCACTGCGGACAGGCAATGGGACCCCATCATTTGCTGCCAAAGGTCGAACAAAAAGTCCGGGAATGGGTAGTCGTGGGAAACTTGTGGCATACTGCGTGGCATGGAAGAAGCGCAGGACTCTGACTGAAATACAGTTCACCCCGACCTTCAGAAATGGTTGTATGTCGATCTCGTCATAGAACCAGAGATGTTCATCCCCTTTGACGGGGCCTGAAAAGACGTCCTGATCGTTGACGAATAGCTTGTATCTTGTGTCCGCCGTAATCTGGATTTTTGACGGCCCATGCGGAACTTCTTTCAACTTCAGGCTCTTGCGGAAGTGCACGATACCACCAGCAGTATTCGCGCCATGGTCTTGCCACTCGGGGTGCCAGATCCAGGGTGTGTCGAGTAATTGAGGATCCATGATATCAAAATGGTGCGCGGTGTCCTTGTTGTTGGTACCTGCGGTTGAGAGAGATTGGAATCTAGGGTCATCCACTGCGGTCGCTGGACCAGAGGAAGTTGCGCGGGCATGCGCTTATTTAAACCGTGAAATTGAGCATTTGACAATAGGGTGGGGGTTAAAAATACACCGTGCCATCCGCCAGCTCGGTGCCCTCTTGAGCGAGCTTCCCCAAGTTGATCGGACATACCATTATCGACCCGACACATCATGGAAGAAGAACACATCGCAAGGCCGCCTCAAGGACATGGGGAGCCACTTTTTTGTTACAAGTGTGAGTTCACAGAGCATATCATTTAATGCAGGCCTAAGTCTATCTCTTATCGTCTGTCCCTAATAAAGCTTTTTGGTACTCAAATGCCTGACCACCAGCAGGTCTTCTCAACCTTCACTGTGGCTACGAGAGGCGTCTCAAGGCTGCTGGTGCCAACCAGGATATCGTATTTCCCGGCCTCCACAGCCCATTGTTTTCGCGGCTCGTCCCAAAAGCTGAGAGCATATTTCTTGCTCAGAACAACTTCCACTTGAGTAGACTGCCCCGCTTTAACATGTGTCTTTGAGAATCCCTTGAGCTCCTTTCCAGGGCGCGTAATAGAGGGTTGTTGGGGCGAAACGTAGACCTGCACAACTTCGGAACCATCGACCTTTCCAGTGTTGTTCAACTCGACTCGCACCAGAATCTTCTCGTCACCGTCCGTGACTCTGTGAGAAACCTGGAGACCGTTAACGCTGAAGGTCGTGTAAGAGAGTCCCCACCCAAAAGTATAGAGAACAGATCTCTTGACTGCCTCGTAGTAGCGGTACCCAACAAAGACGTCCTCGCCGTAAAGAACGCGCCCTTGATCCGATCGGTAGTTCAGGAAAGCCGGGTTGTCCTCAACTCTGACCGGGAACGAAAGGGGTAACTTGCCCGATGGGTTGACGTTCCCAAATAGGACATCCGCAATGGAGTTACCCGTCTCATTTCCACCGTACCATGCTTGGATAATGGCCGACACGGAACCAGCCCAAGGCATCGTCACGGGCGTCCCCGACTGGACTACGACTGTGGTGGATGGATTAGCAGCAGCGACAGCGGAAACCAAGTCATCTGTTCTTCCAGGCAAGTCCATGTGCGGGCGATCATGACCTTCTTGTTCAAAGTCTGCATTGAGACCGACGCAAATAACGACTTGGTCCACCGACTTTGCAAGCTCTGCTGCGCGGCGAATCTCCTCGTCTGCGTCACGGACTTCGACACCGCCAATGCGAACACCGCCTCCGCCAAAGGAAACCACGCCATCGGCGTCTTTGACCTTGGATGCTGCGCCGCTGGCAAATTTGACCGTAATATTGTACGTCTGCCCGGCGACCAATGCCTTGGTTCCGATTTCCTCCATAGTACCGACGTTGAAAAAGCTTCCACCACCTCTTTGGACTGTCTCGTTGTCGATCACGAGCTCTCCGTCAATGTAAAGATTGGCAGTTCCGTGAACAGTCAGACCAAACTCGAAATCACCCGTCTCTTCGGCCGTGAAAGAAGCCTCAATCTCTCCCCACCATAGATCTTCCGTTATCTCGGGGTGGTAGTAGTCGGCAAAGTACATGTTCGTGTCAACGAGATGCAGCGTATCGACTGGTTGACGGTCGCTATCAGTTTCAGGTGCGGTGTAAGCCCTGAAGGTGACGCCGACCTGACCGTCGGCAGTTTTCA